CACACACACACACACACACACACACACACACACACACACACACACACACTCTCTCTCTCTCTCTCTCTCTCTCTCTCTCAGTTGCAAAACGGGATTCAAAACCAGCGACATGAGCAGTAGTGGGGGTGAACCGAGGTTGAGGCTGACGCCTGTCGGCATTCATGGCGCAGTGGTGCCGCAAGTGGTGTCTGATTCGCAGGTAGAGTTTCGAAAGCGGCGGGCGGTTTTGGACTGCGGTGTAGTGCTTGGTTGAGGGTCCATGGCTGACGGTCTCTAAACTGGGTGTTTCATCAGCTTGAACAAGCTCTGCAAACGACTCCACTGGGATTGCCGAGTGCTGCGCGCTTGGAGCAGGACCAAGTTCGGGCCACGGTTGCTCAAGACATCGTTCTCAACACTGCCAACCTGCGTATACATGACCCTCAGCTTGTGAGTGTCTACAACGAGCGGGCGAGCCGTCTCGTTCGTATGCGGCGCCTGCTCTCTCTCACACATGTTCCGATGAATTCACCTCTTGTTTTTGCCCAGGCTCGGCGTTATTGGGATCCCGAACTGAATCCGCTTGCTTTGCTTGCAAACCACCCGCGGCCGGTGGAGCGACGCCTTGTCCCGGTTCAAGATGAGCTGACGCTTCGACCTGCAGGTTTCACAGAGCTCGGCGGCAGTCAAGAGGCGGGCACGGCTCGAACTTCGCTCAGCTTGCAACGCACAATCGACAAGAGCAGTAACTTGACGTTTGGCTCCACTCTGCACAAGCCCTTCCAACCTGGCGGCCTGGCCCCGACCAAGATTAAATCCCATGCTCAGACTGCACCTGGTGCTGATTCCACAGCCGTCGACCCGCAGCCCTTTGTGGCTCTGCAAAATGGACCGGTATGGAACCTTTCCCGGCCTTGTACCATGTCTCAAGCCATGCAGTCACTACAATCTATGCGAGCTAGGCTCATGTTGACCATCGCTTCTTCCGTACGCAGACTCTTCCGACTTTTGAGCTGTTGTTCAAGGATGAGGACTTGGTTCTACCGCAGCTCACGACCTCGGGTCAGTCTCAGCGTAGTACCTTGACTGGACGGCTGGCTCATCACTACGCCTGGCTATTCCTTGCCCTCTGATCTGGTTTTGTGCCCTTCCCCCCCGCCTGATTTATCTTTATTACCTCTCATGTCTCCGTGTGCCGTTAAGCCTCGGACATGCTGGCTCGATATCGGATCCAGTCCCTGGATGAAGGCATTGCTCAACTCCGCTCGCTGCAAGCCAGTGCACTTGCTCAGGCGCAGTCGAGCTCAGAGCAGGCTCAAAACGACACAACTGAGCCAGAGGCCACGCCGCCTTCCGTACTTGAACCTGAAGCCGCCGCTGCAAGCGAGGACTTTGATGCTCTCCTCTCCACCTCCACGACGACAACGATACCAAAGCCCAAGGTAAAACGCCGTTTACAGATTCTACGAGCCACTCTCGGACTGGCTCAGATCCTTTTCTATTGAGCATGCGGCCACGCCCATAAAATTGTCACGCCGTGTTTTTTTTTTCTCCACGTAGGCCAAGGAGCGCAAGGTCTATGCCATCGAAGTGCCCTCGGACGATCCGGTGCGTTTGGTGGGGCAAACAGATACTTCCGAAGCCAGTCTTGACGAGATCGCTCTCGATACTCTCTCATCTACTTGTATCTGACCATCATGACGGGGCTTCTCAGGTCAAAGACTTTGCTGATCAAGTGCCCGACCCTGCTTACACTTGGCCCTTTGAATTGGACACTTTTCAAAAGCAGGTCAGGGTCTGGCGCAGGTGATGCAACTGACTGTCGTGCCCTCCTCCAGAACTAATAAGATATCACGGTATGGCTCTTGTTGGGGCTTGTCCTTGGCACTCAGGCTGTCGTCCGCATGGAGCAGCACGAGTCAGTCTTTGTCGCGGCACATACTTCAGCGGGTAAGACGGTGGTTGCTGAGTATGCGATTGCGCTTTGCCAAAAGCACATGACGCGCTGCATCTACACCAGCCCCATCAAGGCCCTCTCAAATCAGAAAGTGCGTCGTGTGGCACCATCATGCTCCTGCGATAGCTGACGGCTGGTAGCCTCGCTAGCTGCGCCAGCGTCCCTCTAATTGTGATGCCGCGTGCGTCCTGGCGTCATGCCCTCTTTGACAGTATCGTGACTTTCGGGATCGGTTTGAGGATGTGGGTCTCTTGACCGGCGACGTGCAGATCAAGCCGGCAGCCGCCTGCTTGATTATGACCACTGAAATCCTTCGCTCCATGCTCTATCGTGTACGTGCAAAATGAAGGTCCTGCAAAATGTTTTTCCTCTTTTTTTTTCTTTTTCCCCGCTGTTTTTTTTTTCTTTTTTCTAGCTTACCACGCTCTTGTGCGTTGTGTGTTAGGGGGCTGACCTGATTCGTGATGTTGAGTGGGTCATCTTTGACGAGATTCACTACATCAATGACAGTGATCGCGGTGTGGTCTGGGAAGAGGTCATCATCATGTTGCCAGATCATATCAACATTGTCATGCTCTCGGCGACCGTTCCCAACACCTTTCAATTTGCCGACTGGGTGGGTCGGACCAAGAAGCGTCAAATACATGTAATCAGGTGCGTGGCAGTCATCGCCTCTTCTGCACAAGCAGTCATGTTGACCAGTTTCTGTGCCTGGCCCCTTGAAGCAGAGCCAGGCTTCAAAATGTGTGCACGACGCTTGGGAGTGCCTACTTCTCGAGCCTACTTCTGCTTATTTTCATTTTCTCCCTACACGATGAATCAATCTCACAGTACGGCTAAACGCCCCGTCCCCCTGGAGCACTTTTTGTACACTGGCAATGAAGTCAACGCCACGGAGCATTTTTACAAGATTGTTAATGCCTCCAAGCAGTTTGAGGAACTGGTCTGTATCGCTTCTTTCAATCGCTTCTGGTGGGAGCAAAGTGCGGGTAACTCACCCCATTTGTCGGCACGAATTCCCAGGGTTACAAAAAAGCCCTCGAGAGCAAGAAGGCCAAAAAATCAGGCAAAAATTCGCATCGTGACAACTTTGGGCCAAAATCTCGTGACAAGGGATGGGGACACAGGTTTGTTGGATGGACCTGCGCACGCTGGCGCTCCCAAGCCCGGGGCATCACCACATTCTAACGCTCTACATACAACCGTGGCAGCGACAAACAACTGTATCAAACCCTTGTTCGAGTGCTTAAGAACAAAGACTTGCAGCCCTGTGTCATCTTTACCTTTTCGAAAAAGCGCTGCGAAGACGTACGATTACCCTCAACGGCCTCCGCTGTGTCGTTCTGCATGGGTTGGCATGAAGACTTCTGCCTCTTACTAATCATGGCTATCCATGCGCAGAATGCCGATGCCGTGCGATCGCTCGATCTGACGTCTCCCGAGGAAAAGAATTTGATTCAACACTTCTTTCGTCGTTCTGTGAATCGATTGGCGGGGACCGATCGTGACCTACCCCAGGTGACTCGGATGCGCGATCTTTTGCAGCGCGGCGTGGGTGTCCATCATGGCGGCCTGCTGCCCATCATGAAAGAAGTTGTGGAGATGCTTTTTGCCCAAGGTCTGGTCAAGGCAAGTGTAGATCATTTCAACCTCCAGCTTTCATGCCAGGCTATTCAAACTTGAGTCTTACATTGCTTTTGCGATGGAACCAATGCGCATATTTTGCACAGGTGTTGTTTGCGACTGAGACCTTTGCCATGGGTGTGAACATGCCGGCGCGCTGCGTGGTGTTTGATGCCGTCAGTAAATGGGATGGTCAAGACAAGCGCTCGTTAATGGCTGGTAAGATTGCTGGCAGGGTGTCAGAGGTTGTTGCTTATCCTGCGACGATACTCTTTGACTCAGAGGAGGCTTGATATACTTCCGACAAACTGTAACTTGACCCTCCCCGCCTCCGGCGTCTAGGCGAGTACATCCAGATGGCTGGTCGCGCTGGTCGGCGTGGCCTGGATCAGACAGGCACTGTCATCATCATTTGCAAGGTGACGATCGAGCTTTCTTTCGAGACTGTTGATGAATGGTGATGAACTTTGCAGTCCTGGCTGAGTGTCAGCTCATTGTGGTATTGGCATTGATTATCCTGGTAGGGGGACGTGCCTGATCGCTCGGTGCTTCACAGCATGATGCTGGGCAAGCCGACAAAATTGGAATCGCGTTTCCGCCTGACCTACAACATGATTCTCAATCTTGTTCGCGTCGAGGAGCTGCGGGTCGAGGTATAGCGTGTTGGCTTCTCGTCAAGTTGTGTGTGTGTGTGTGTGTGTGTGTGTGTGTGTGTGTGTGTGTGTGTGTGTGTGAACAAAAGAGGCGTGGATGGGAAACATATCAGAGGGAGGCGCGCAAAGCGTGGAAGGAGTGCTTATGCGCTCTGGCGCTTGGGGTTTCTAGGACATGATTCGGCGCTCTTTCGGCGAGATTACGACGCAGCAAAACTTTGGCGAGCGTGAGGTGGGTGCCCGCAAGTGATTGCTGATGGCGAAAGTTGGAATTGTGCACCCGTCTATCCTTTTGCTTGTCGTCTTTTTTCCATCTTCTGTCCTTGGTCTTCTGAGCATTGCTGCCTTATTGTGGGCATAGGACGAGTTGGAAGAAACACAAGGCAGGCTGGCCACCCTGGATTCAGGAGAGAAGAAGATGCCCGCCGACTTTCAGGAGTTTTACGAGCTCAGTAGCACCGTTCTTCACAAGTGCCACGAACAGCAGAGTAGTCTTTTGCAGCTCACGCAGGTGTGTTCAGTGTGTCGTATCGTTAAGAGCAAGACTGTGGTCGAATGAATCAGGCCAGTCGCGCTCACTTTTTCTGGTGTGGCATGCTCGTGGGCGCGAATCTATTCAGGGTTTGAAGGCCTTTTCCCTCGGACGCGTCGTGGTGGTGAACAGTGGCAGTTATCGCAACGCCCTAGCTATCGTTTTGGGTCAACGCCCATCAAATGCCGGCATCAGCAGTGGGGCGAGCACGAGTAGGTGCCCGAGGCAAAGATAGCTCGCACCGCACCAAGATTTCCTACGCCCATAATGTTCACGAGGGTGGTTTGATATTCATACAGGCGAGAGCATATTTCAAATGTTGGTCCTGGTCGAAGCACAGGGGAAGGAGCAGCCGGCCGAGCCTGGCGACCTTCTTCCACTGCCACTCACAATTTTGGCAACGCCAGAGGTGTGCTGATGCTGTACCATGTTGTTGTGTCTTCAGAGCCTCCGAAGCAACGGATGCGAGTTAGCACATGTGCTTTGATTTGGACTCATGCCAAGCACGCGATGGTGTACAGGATCCGAGCTACGAGGTGGTAGATTTGCCAGGCACAGACATTTTGACCATGACTCGCTTTAAGCTCAAGGTCGGTTTGTGGTCAAAAGCCTCTGCCTGGCCCAGGCATGTCATTGAGCGTTGAGCGTCGATCTGAGGTCTCAAGCTTATGCATGTCTTGGATGTTGGACGAGGAGTAGGTGGATCAGGTTGGCGTTGATAAGCGACAGCGGGACTATTGTCAGTCACTGGCCGTGGAGCTACTCAACTTGGCCCACAAATACAACAAGGTGATTGCACTCCTCTGCCAGCATGCGGCAACAGGCATCCGCCAGCGCCAGGGAAAGGGCGGGAGGTTGTCTGACAGGTCTCTTGGTTGCGTGGAGTCTGAGCTGAGCCACACTTATGCGTCTGTCTTGGGGTCAAAATTTCGGTTTGGTGTGTCAGGAGGGCTTGCCTGTGGTCGATATCCAAAAGGATTTGAAGATCAAAGAACTGGCTCTGGTGGAGTGCAATAGGGACATTCATCGGTTGCTGGAGCAATTGCGGTGAGGCACAACTTTGATTGGTGCATCGCGGTTGCTGTTCCGGGACTCATGAAAAAAATCCAAAACTATCCAAACCGCCCCGCGTAGGAACTTTCCTTGCACGGAACACCCCAACTTTGTACAGCTTTACGCTCACTACCACGAACGCAAGACGCTGGAGAAGCAGGTGCAAGAGCTGGAACATAAGCTGTCCGATGCTAACCTGCGTTTGTTGCCTGAATATGAGCAGCGCATGCACGTTCTCGAGCGACTCGATTACATCAGCTCGGAGCAGACAGTTCTGCTCAAGGTCAGTCTGGTGTCTGGGCGTAGGCACCGCACTAGCAGGTGCTGTCCTGCAGCACTGAAGCTGTGCTGTGCTGTGCTGTGCTGTGCTGTGCTCATCTACCTCTGGTATATCTCGGCGTTGGTGGCTGATCTAGGGGCGTGTGGCCTGCGAAATCACCACATGCGATGAGGTGTTGGCCACAGAGCTGGTGTTTGGTAATCACCTTAACAATCTCGAGCCCGAAGAAATTGTGGCGCTTCTCTCTGCGCTCGTGTTTCAGGAGCGGCGGTAAGATTTGTAAAGGTGGCGTCGACCGAGCATTGACTGTCGCCCTTGCTTGATTGCTCTCTGCTCTTGGTCACGCTTATGCTTGTCCTTTTTTTTGCAGAGTCAGCGCGCCGACCTTGACAGGGCGCTTGGAGGTGTGTGAGCCTGCTGAAGTTGCTTAATGTTTACACGCATCAACCAGCTCTCACGAGAAGGGGTGTGTGTGTGTGTGTGTGTGTGTGTGTGTGTGTATGGGGCAGGCCAATGTAGAGGTGATCAAGGGCGTGGCGACACGCGTTGCCGAGACGCAATTGGCGTGTGGAATGAACACTCCCGTGGATGAGTATTTGGAAACACTTCACTTTGGTCTCGTGGAGGTGGTGTATGAGTGGGCGTGTGGCATGCCTTTTAAGCAGATTACCGGTTCGTATCTTGGTTCTTGAGCAACACAAACTCTTTCGTGCCTCCGGCCTGGATCGTACGGTGGCGCGTCTGGCTTAGGGGATGCTTGGTCATTCTGATGCAGGTCTGACGGATGTTTTGGAGGGTTCCATCGTGAGATGCATCACGCGGTTGGATGAGACTTGCCGCGACATTCGCAATGCGGCCCACGTTGTTGGCGATCCCCGACTCTTTGAGAAGATGCAAAAGGTACGGCCTGAGACTTTACGGTCGACGCTTCGTTGCAGCGCACCATGTACTCATAGTTCCCTTGCATCCCAGGCCTCTGATTTGATTAAGCGTGACATTGTGTTCGCGGGAAGCCTCTACACGGCCTAAGTGACAAACAAGGGCAGCCCCCCCCCAGGAAAAAAAAAGAAAAAATAAAAATAAGAAAAATAAAGACCAGAACGCGAAAACAGTGAACTCTCCTATACAAATTCATTACCAACTGTCATCGATCTCGTCCGCGTCAACCACACACACACACACACACACACACACACAACACACACACACATACGCACATAGAGACAGTTGTGCATTATTAAGAAGTCTCACAACAGGTACGGTACCTTAAACAAATGGCAGCGCGGTCCATGCGCTGCTGATGCTCGCCTGCGGGTGGCAGTGCGATCCCAAAGCCATAGGTTTGGTGTCGTTTATCTAGGAAGGTAGGGTTGGGTAGGGCTGGTGGCTTTGAGCTGCCACCGACTGTGATGGGCGTGTGATCTGATCGTTGACGACTTCAGGCGCGATCATGCCCTGCGAGCAGACTGATCTCCTTCATCCCCACTTGCACCTTTCCCCCTTGCCCCCGGCATTTGCCTGCCTGCACCGATTTTGCCCGCCCAAGCTGACGAGCACTTGAATGAATCCACGGTTGTGGCGTGGGTGCATAGAAGTTGAGCCGCAAGCGTACGGCTTGCCCTGATCCTTGCTTGACTTGGTCGACGTTGAGCTGGTGAGTGAGGCGCCGAGTTGCTTGGCTGCATGGCGGATCTCTTCCGGCCATGCTCTGCCACTTCTTCGGGGTGCCTGGCTTTTGTGCCCCTCCATCCTTCTTCCTTCTGGGCTCTCTCTTTCTATTTTGCCATACCAGTCTTGTTTTTGGTGATTTCCCCGCCCCTCACCTCCATCTGAAGAAAAGCCATGCTTCTCTTGTCTTGTTAGCTCTTCTGAACAGTCTCACGCCGTGTGCTCGTTGCTGCAGGGCGTCGCCGGACACGGTCGCTCTCACCCGCCATCTAGCTGGCCACCAACCAGCGCCAGAATGTTCAGTCCTGCGGCGGCTTTGCTGCCGCTGGTGCTGGTCCTGTGCACGGCCCGTGCGGTCACTTCGTTGCAGGATCCACCAACAGTGGTCCCAGCACCCCACCTTGAACTGTCCTTGTTCCATCATGAAGCGCTTCCCTTTGGAGCTTTGACCACACGCGCACGCCGCCGCCGCAGCTACGATGAGGCAGCAGGCCTCATGGTGCGCCTTGAGGCCCTCAACACGACCTTGGAATTAGAGCTGGAGCAGAACCAACATCTCTTCCAGCACGGCCTTCGCGTCTTCGAGGTGGGCGCCGACCGTGAGCTCAAGCGCATCGCAATCGACCAGGAGAACTACCTTTTCGGCCGCGTTGTTGGGCAGGAGAGTAGCTCTCGCGTTTGGCTCTACATGGATGGAGACCACATTCATGGCCGTATTCAGCTCGCCGATGACACTATTTATCTCGAGCCCAGCACCTTTCACTACTCGGAAGATCATCTCCAGCTTGTCGTGTACCGCAAGTCGGATTTGCGGCCCGATGGCTGGCGAATGGGCCAGAACGCCTCGTCCTTTTGCGATTGTGGCCAAGATCATCTCTATCACAATCATTCCGCTCAAGCTGATCCCGGCCATGGCCATGACCATACACATGATCACGCGCATGATCATGCCGATCATTCTCATGCTTCAGACTTGCACAACGCTGCCGCAGACAACGTGGACCCATGGCGCGCCTACTCGCTCGAGCCCGAGTCAACCGCCAAGCCGGCAGACATACCACCTCGACCTCGGCTGCAGCCCCCTCGTTCTCGCAGTCGCCGCAACGATGCGTCCTCCACCTACAACACCTGCACGGTTACCGTTGTGGCCGACTATCGCTTCTACACCCACCACAGCTCTTCCTCCGCCTCAGCCACCTCGTCCATGCTCAGTCACATTGACGAGGTGGACACAATCTTTCGCGCCACCACCTTCAACTCGTACTCAGGATTGGGCGTTGCTGTCGACACTGTCATTATTGAAACCACCTCAGCGTGAGTGCATGTATCCGCTTGATCCTTATTTTTTTTTCTGCGCCCCTTCCCCTTTCTCCCTCCCTCTCTCTCTCTCTCTCTCTCTCTCTCTCTTTTTTTTTTCCTTCTTCTTCTTACTTCCAAAAGTTGTCAACTCTGTTTCTCTCTTTCGAATCCGTCGTCGCACGAGACTATCACGACGACCTGTGTCCTCACCTCACAGACTCCTTTGGCCCCGCAATCTGACAGGTCGGACCCCTTCTCAGGCAGGAGTACATGGCCTGTCAGTGACATGCTCAGGCAATTTTCCGAATCATATGATTTTTCGGACACATGCCTGGCTCATCTTTACACGCGCGAAGACTTTGATGGCGGGACCTTGGGTCTGGCTTGGGTCGGATCACCCGACTCAAACCGCTACGGTGGCATTTGTTACAGCTCTTCCTCGCAGTCGCTGAACACCGGTTTGACCACAAACATCAACTATGGCAACACCATTCCTTTCGCAACGACCGCTCTTGTCTCTGCACACGAGATTGGCCACAACTGGGGCAGTACGTTGCTCGTGCGACTCTTTGCATATCCTTTGCGTTCAGTTTTGACTTCAGCTCACGGCTTGCACGCCTCTCTTTCTTCTTGCTCTTCTTCATCGTTCTCTCTCTTCTTTGTTTTTCGCCTCATGTGTTGTGTTAGGTTCACATGACACCAGCACTCAGTGCGTGCCATCCGATTCTGAGGGTGGCAAATACATCATGTACGCTGTGGCCGTGGACGGCAGCGACCCCAATAACGACAATTTTTCTCCGTGTTCTACCGCCAGTATCTCCAGTGTTATCGCAGCTAAAGGCGACTGCTTCATCGTGCCTCCTGCCGGTCGTTGTGGCAACTCGCGCCTCGAGCCAGGGGGCCGCGATGGAGACACTTCTACAACGAACGACAATGAAGAGTGCGATTCCGGCGGCACTGCCGACAATTGCTGCAACACAGAGTGCAAGCTCAAGTCAAGCTCCTACACCTGCTCGCCGGCTAACGACGAATGCTGCAGCCCATCCACATGTCGCGGCTTCTTGCAAAGCGACAATTACACGTGCTTTGTGCCGTACGACTATGATCCTCAATGCCGTGCCTTGGCTGTCTGCACTTCCGATGGCAGCGGCGAACCGGCTTGTCAGTCCCCCATCCCGGCCAAGCCGGAGGGGTCCGTTTGTGGCAATGGTGGGCGATGCACGGGTGATGACAACACAGCACTCACAGAGCGGTGCATCACCTTTTGCGAGCGCTTTGGCGCCGTTAATTGCACATGCTCAGACGAGGAGGAGGAGTGCTCCACCTGCTGCCAACATAACGATGAGTATAGCCAAGCAGATTGTGATAATCCCGCCAACTTTGACAGTTTATGTGGATGTCCCTTTATCGGACAATCCACGTGCATGCCTGCCATTGACCTCATCGCTGCCCTGGAGAGCGATTCGCGTGGTCTTCCCTCGCACTGCTATTTGGACCAGCCTCCGGATACCTCGAGTGCGTATTCGAGCAATCCGAAGCTCAACCCCTCATGCTCAGGCGATAGTTGCCAGCGTATTATGTTTCAACTGTCCGGTACCATTTGCAGCTCGGGCTACTGCAACTTTGCGGGTAGCTGCGAGACACCTGACACGGGCACTGCTCGCTTTTGGAGCAACATCGGTGACATCTCCATCGATGACTTGGCTCGATGGGCACGAGAGAACATTGTGGGTGCTACCATGATTGCCGTGTTCTTGCTGTGGCTTCCAATCTCCATCTGCATTTGCCGTTACGATCACAACCAACGCAAGAAGAACGTGAACTATGGTACAAAGGTGAATGTGGGAGGCACGATGCGCCACCATCGCAAGCATGGCCATTCTCAGCGCGGCGGCAGCCAGCGCGCCTCGACGCGACGCAAGGCTCCGGGCAGTTCGACCAGCGTTGTGGCTACGGCAGGCCCGAAGGACCCGAGTCGACGCAAACAGGGCAGTGGTGACCGTGCGCCTCGCAGCGCAGCAGCAGGCAAAACTAACAAATCAAGCAGCAAGCCGACCCCACCTGCCGGGGCCACGACCAGCACAGCAACCCCTTCGAGCAAGACACCTGCTGCTGCTGCTGCTGCCCCTGCAGCTAGCCAGCCCAAGGCGACCAGCGGTGGTGCTCTTCCAGGGCGCGAGCCTCGTGCGCAAGACCGTCAGCCTCAGAAACAGGACAAGCCCAGCAGCTCCAGCCGGGACCCCTATGCCGGGCGCAGCCGCCAAGATCCTCGAGCGAATGCGCGCTCGACCGGCGCAGCCCCAGCGACTGCCGCAGCAGCAGTCGCATCTGTACCAGCTACTGGCCCCTCTCGAGGCGGTGAGCAGCCTTCGCAGGCACGCAACTCCGGGGCGCCCAAGAACCAGCGAAGCGGGCAGGCGCGCGATCCCTATGCAAAGCGGGAGCGTCGTGCAGACCCATATTCACAGCGGCCACGCGATCCCTATGCTAATCGAGACCGCCGCACAGACCCACGCACTGCAGCTGCCACCTCTGGCGCTGCCAGTGGGCGTCAACTGCCTGGCCGGCCTCAAGGCGCGGCGCACGGCACCCCGTTGCGGAGTAACGGTCAGACACCGGCTGCCTATGATGCTCGCACTCCACGTGATGGGCGTGGCGGACGCACACCGCTGCCTGCACAGTACAAGCGACCCGAGCATCGTGGTCCAACAGCGGGCACTCGGCAGCGCACGGAATCTCAAGTCGATCTGGCTCGCCAGCAACAAGAGCGCTCGCGCGCTTATTTGGAGCGCAAGCAGCAGCAGCAGCAGCAGCAGCAGGTTCGCCGGCCATCGTCCGGCAGTAGTTCTGGTGCCCGGACGCAATTTGTGTAGTTGACGTTTCTGTTCCTTTGGTTTTCGGACTGATTGAGTCTTTGCACCTTCCCCTAAGAAAAGTTAACAAATTGATATTATCGACAGGCCTTGGAGGAACTGTCTCCTCAGCTTCGAGTTCATCCGAACACCCCAACAATAAATTGTTTTTCCGCTTTTTTCACATTTGACCAAATCTTTCAAGTTTTTTTGTTTCTTACTTTTTCAAACCGACTTGAAGATGGATTCGGCTGGCGAAGACTCTATGCCTTCGTCCCCCGGGGCTGGGACTGGGGCCCAGTGCGTGCTGTGTCATAAACAGGCTAGCACATTTATGACTAGCTGTTGTAAAAAGCCCTACGCTTGTCGCAAGTGCGCGTAAGTAGACCCCTACGCAAACACCTTTTTGCCCCTCACTTCCCCACTGGAATCTCCGCCTCCGGCCCAACCAGTCTCACACCCATTGGCGTTGTGCTTCTGCCGCAGGATGAAGGTTGCTTCAGGTTATCGATGCAAGCTGTGTGACCACATGGCCGTGGGCTTGGCGCGCATGGTGGGCAAATAAACGCGGCATGCTGTCTGTCATCTGTTGTCCTGGTCGGCTCCACTGAGTTGGGATCTGGAGCTCTCGCACCGATGCCTTTGCGCTCCATCGTGCGTGGCCTCCCCACCATGCATACTCGAAGGAATATGCAGCTTCCTTGCTCAATTTTGACTCAGCAGGTGGGGGCCATAGCCGCTGTGCGGCCATTCTGATGGAGGTCTGAGCTTTGGCAGCCACGCGCTTGATTGACGAGTGCCTGATGATTGACTTTGAAACACTCATCTGATCTTTTTTTTTTTTTTTTTTTTTTGAGAAGATCAGTAGTGAGAAGAAAAGAAGAGAAGAGAGGAGACAGAAGAGCGAGAAGAGATAAAGCAAAAGCAAAGGGAAAAGCAGAGATGAGATGAGCTGGGAGAGAAAATATCCATTTAAATTTTTTGTCATCCAAATCAACAACACCCCCCCAAAACAAACAAAACCGGTTTCCCGCCAAAATGACACGTATTTGTCGACAAACAAAGTCAAAAGAGGCATGGCTGTGTGGATCTATGTCGAGCGCATGTTGCCCAGGTCCAGTCATGGTATCAGTGGGTTGGTAGATGTGGCTGCCCAGCCGGCACATCGCGCGAGTGTCGGCCCACTGCCGCGTTCAACAGGCTCGCCCATGCCACTTTCTATGACAGCAACCTCAACCGTGCAGCAAAACGTCAAATTGCTTCCTCCCGTCGCAACTGAGCTTGAATCAAGCCCTCCCCTCACGTTTGACGGCTCGCTGCCCAGTCCCAGCTTCGTAAGCCTGGCAGACCCAGGCCCTGGCTGGGGAGTGGCAGAAGATCAGCCTGGCACACCATCCCCGCCAAGCATCAACTTGCCGCAAACCCCTTCACGGTCGACTAATTCTGTAACTGAAGCATCTGACGCCATTCCGAATCTGCTCATCAGCCCGCCCGAGGTTGTGGAGGGTGCTGATCCATCCCCAGACCACCACACACTACCCGTCTTGGCGCTTCAGAGTACCGCTGCCTCGGACCTTGCCCCAGCTGTGGTTGTGTGGCACTCCACCCCCACGAAGCAATTTATGGCCATACCGCTGGCCCAATGGCTTGCGGTGCCGCCCCAGCCAGTGTTGGTGTTTGATTTCGAGAATCTCATTGATCAATTGCCATTGGCCACCACAGCGCTTTTAACAAATGTGAAGCAGGTGTACGACCTGGCCGTGGCCGCCTTTCTCTTGGACTCTGCCGTGCCACCCAAGGTGGACCAAGTTTGTCAATTGTATTTGCCTGATCGAGCCCCGTCTGCATCCTGGCCCTCCTTGTTGAATATGCTCTGGCGAAGGCTAAAGGCTGAACTGGAGCAGCGGCAGCAGCTCACACTCTTCGAGCGTCTTGAGGTGCCCCTTACACCAGTGCTTGTGCGGATGCAAGTGCTAGGTGTAGGCGTCGCCTTGCCGCAGCTGGTAGCTACACAGGCAGCGCTGCAGCACTGTCTTCAGAGCCTGACTCAGGAGGCAGCCATTCTCGCTGGTCAAAGCTTCAACCTGGACTCGGCACAGCAAGTAGCAAACATACTCTTTACGCATCTTCAACTTGGTCGCAACGTGCCCATGCTCCCCATGACGGCGTCCGGCAAACCTTCCACCGGCGAAGAAACATTGCGCAAGTTGCAATCGAAGCACCCCTTGCCTGGGCTCATTCTACGCTACCGTCAGCTCAAGCGTTGTCTCAGCGGCTACATTGAGCAAGTTTGTCCCCTTGTTCACGAGGGCACCGTGCATCCGCGCTGGCACCAGGTCGGCTGAACTTGTCCATGATCTGCCAATCCTCCTTTTTCGCTCTCGTGTTCTCTTCGCCATATGCACCACACAATTGTGGACTGGTGTCCTGTTTGGGCTCACACGTCTTCTCTCACCATAGACACGTGTAGTCACCGGGCGCTTGTCATGTTCTCGGCCCAACCTGCAAAATCTCCCTCTTGAGCCTTATCGCTGGCAAGACCAGGAGTGTGATGTACGACGCGCGTTTGTGGCACGTCCCGGTCATCTCTTTGTATCATGCGATTGGCGGCAAATTGAGTTGCGCCTCCTCGCACATCTTTCGCACGATGCTGGGCTACTTGCCGCTTGTGATGGCACCTCCGATCCTTTTGCAACTTTGGCACGTCAGTGGTTTGGGATCACATCAGATGCTGCTCTTCAGGTGCGATATGGCCCCTCTCAATGTGTAGCAAGCTTTGATGACTGAGCTGGTCCCAATCTCATTCTCCTGCATGGCTGTCATGACCTGCCGTCTGCTTTTCTCAGCCTGGACTGCGTGAGCGTGGAAAGCGGGTTACATATGCTGTTGTGTATGGTGTCGGGGCCGAGCGGCTCGCTGCTCAGCTCCAGCTCTCTGTGCCGGAGACCGGCCAGCTGGTCGCCGAGTTCTTGGATCGTTTTCCAGGTGTGGCACAGTTGCGAGATCGCGTCGATGCTTACTTGCACCAACACGGCTACGTAGAAACCCTGACAATGCGGCGCCGTTACCTCTCCCCACCCGTACGAAGCATTGTGGCTGCTCAGCCAACCGAGCGTCTGTTCTTTGTCCCTCCTTCTTCGTTCTTCCTGCTGACCGTCTTCACTTCTCATTGGCAAAATATTATTATGGCTTTCTCTCTTCAAATAACTAGGGTACGGGAGGAGAGAGCTCCACAACCCAGGCGCGGGACAGTCGCGCCGCGTTCAACTTTGTAATGCAAGGGTCAGCAGCGGACATTTGCAAAGCAGCGATGGTGACACTGCAAGCCCACCTCGACAAGCACGAGGTCGAGGGCGGCATCGTTCTGCAACTGCATGATCAAATTGTAATCGGTCCGTCTCTGGCTGTCAAAACGATCCGCCCATACCACCCTGACAACCCTTCAAATCGATCCGCTGACAATTACGTGGCTTGCTCTGGCTCAGAGGTGGCACAGGAGCGTGAGCTGGACATGATTGAATTCATGCAAACACCCGCTTTTCGGGAGCCTCTGGGCTCACTGCGTGTGCCTTTAGATGTTCGAATCACTACGGGGTTGACTTTGGCAGATGTGTGATAGCGCATGCCCCAACAAGAGGTGGCAGTGAGATTTGAGAGCTCAACTCGAATCAATTATCGGTCAGTCAAAGACATACAACAATGTTGGCTCGACAACGATGTGGCGCAGCCGTTTTCAAAACGCGGCCGAGTAGATGCGGTGATACCGTCAGGAGGTACCCGCCTCTCAGGCAAACACGATGGCCCAAATTCACGCTGGCGGCGACACAAGGATACAGGCAGGGAAGCGCACACACCACACACAGGAGCGTGCACATGTTCGGTCATTCATTCATGTAAGAAAACAAAGAAAAACGTTTGGGAAAGGAACACGCGGTCATACAAAAAGAACAAGAAGAGACACCGCGAGGTGGGGGCTACAAGTCTGTCGATCGATCAAAGCGTTTGGTTGACATTCATGGCCAAGGTGGACAATGCCAGTTTTGCTGGCAAGAGCACCTGAACGCGTCCCGGCTGAAGAAACTCGACTCCGAACCGTTGCTTGTCTGTTAGCGTTAAGACAGGAGGGCAGTGCAAAATGTGCAAACCGTAGAAAGCATGAGTTGAAGCAGTTTCGTTGCACTCAAAAACACCGCGACTTGTCGAGTGCGAAGGAATTCGGCCAACTGACCACGGAGATCCATGCCCTCTTGAGGTGGCGCGAAAAAATGAGGCCGATAGCGGGCGACAGTCACAGCATGTGAAATGCATTGCAGTTCGATGAGATAAGTCATCAAAGCCTATCATCGCCGTACGCAAACCCGGCCGTGAGGATAGGCCACAAGCAAACAGATCAAGGTAGGAGCGAGCGCGAAAAAGGAAGGCCTTAGTGCAGCAAACAAGCTGAAAATATTCTTGACAAGCGTTCAGGCCACGAACCACTGCGTCGAGCGGGCGCATCAAGTGCTCCAAAAGGCGTATCAGCCGCAACTGTAAACGCATGGCAGCCAGGCGTACGAAGCGCAAGCAAACATCGCTGGTCAGCACAACGAGGATGGGTTTCAATGTCGCTCCACGCCCACGGCACACGAACCTCGGAAATACCCGGATTTTGCGCCACATGGTACAACATGGTGCCGGCCAAGAAATCAAGCATCGCATAATCAACGGCGCCGGCCGGATCGTGCCATACATGAGGGATGAAGTGATGGTCGGGAAGGCACCACGACTTCGCGTGCCGGCTCGTCACAAACATCCATGGACACGATCCGTCATCCACATCACTAGACCCAGGTAAACGCACTATCAGGCCTGCCTCCAAAAGGGCCGATAATGCCGTCTCAAGTTGGGCGGTAGTTGAAGGTGTCAGATCGGCAGCAAGCTCTGCTGGCAGCATTCTGCGCCATACATGAGCATGGCGTGTATGAGGCAACCTTTGCGAGAAAAGCCATTGACCTGATTTCTGTTGCGAGAGCACCATCAACACCAACAAGCATAGGCACAGCCTCGTACCCATCGGCACCAGCGGCGTCCAAGTGCGACCACATGGCTTGCGCTACCGCGAGCAGCGGCGCATCGAGCTGCGATAAACTATTCACGACGAATAGTAAGCAATACATCACGGGCTGCAGTACCATCCGTGTAGCAGCTGCGGAGACACCCAACTCACTGTCCAACTGCATCTTCCACGGTAGTCACCATCTGCAAAGGTTGGTGTAGGCACGGCAAGTTGCGTCGCTGTGCTGGTTCAAGGGTGCGATGCCGGATGTCGGTTTGAAAGTCCTCGCCAATGGCCAGCCCCTCGGCTGGCAATTCCACTACAAACATAGTATCAAGCACAAGTTTGCACATCAAGACAGAAGAAGAAGAAGGAAGGAAAAAAAAAAAAAAAAAAAAAAAAGGAATACAAAAAAGAGAAACGAGGCCAAACACGCAATGATAGAGCCTGCAGTGCCAACCCACTCGTCTCTAGAATGGCTTCATCCCCACGGATGTCATACACGTCGCGACTGTGCTTGTTCTCGCCAATAGAGCCAGTTGGGGGTGGGCGAAAGCTCATTTCGCCCTGCACCTGATGGCATTGGACTGCCTCACTCAAAACCACGACCTAGCAGACACAGACGTGAGCCTGAAGGGTGGTTGCTCTGTCCCAACACAAAACGCGCGTTCTGTAATCTACTGTGTTTTCGGTAAGCAACCACAAGAGCACTTACAGTGCCCGCAGGCAAGGGGTCCTGAGTGACGACTAGCTTTCCAGTGTGCAACACCCCTTCAAGTGCTTCGCGCGTCTGCCGCAGCAAGTCAGGACCCCATTCGGTCTTGAGCAAGGCTTGTCCTTTGGGACCAAACACATATCTAGTCAGGTAAGCCGGCAAGGCACACAGCAACGGTAAGCTATTCGAGTGCTGCCAAAGAAAGCTGATCAAGGGCGAACAACAGGGTCTCCAAGGCTTTTGGCGCGGGCGCCCACCCCCGGTAATAGCGCACTTACGAGGCAGGTGACAAAGGACTAGTTTTGCGCTTGGACGAGGTGGCCACAACGCCGTCGGCCACAAGGGCTTCAACAACCTGCTGCCGCACGTCTTCAGGTAGTGACTGGGCAAAAGACTTTGCCAACTTGTTCATCTGTGCACCATCACCACAGATGAGGCGAGAAACGCAGTAATTTGAAATATGCATCGCTTTGAAGACGCGTCCATTGTTTTTTTGGCTCGTACCCATGGTGCCTTCACATTCGAGCTCGGCCTACCTTGTTTGGGGCACTGCTCCCATCAGAGCGCGCCAAGTGACTGCTCCAGATGCAATGTAAGAACAAAGTGGCACCGACGTGATGCTGCTCAGTTAATGCGTCGTCCAGAGCTGAGCCAAAGGGCGCAGGCAAATGCGCAGAAGTCGAAGAGGGATAAGATACTGTGAACTTGGCCTTGAGTTCCTCGATGGACGGTGGTAAGAGCATGGCAATCGGGACTAAGCCATCGCAGCCAAACGTTAGCATAGCAGGTTTGCGATCATGCTTGAGAGCAGGTCCGAGAAAGCTGAAAGTTGGCCCGGTGCGTGATCATACCGTCGTCGCGTGCCGCCAGGTCTGCTAGCAGATTATCAAGGCAAGTCGCGATTTGAGGATCACTCCAGGTCGTCAAGCCACGCAATGCGGATGGTAAGCGCTCTCCCACAAAGATGCCAGCGTCCAAAACGTTGTTTTTCTGACGCTGGGTGGTTTGCAAAAAACAAAACAAAAAAACAAAATAAAAAAAATCAGCAGGCTGGCAGCTTGAGGTGACTGTGGCATAAAGTCAGCAACGTTCAGACGGAACGTACCACAAGTTGAACATGGCGACGGCGGAGCTCCTCGCCGTTTCGCCGAGTTGCAAAGCGGCTCGTGAATAACTATGTCGTTTAAACGAGTTAGCGCATGAGTAAAAGCAATAAGGGACCCTTCTGTCGGCACTTAAACAGAACAAGATAATAACACGAGTTGCGGTGAAACAGAAAAAAGGATGAGGTGCAACACTGCATACCTTCAGAATCTCCGTCCAATCAACTGCCAAATTGAGCTACAGTCACAAAATCATCGCCCCCAGCAGTGTGAAAACCAAGAGCAAACGAAGATTTGAGAGTGCTTCAAAAAAAAAAAAAAAAAAAAAAAAAAAAAAAAAAAAAAAAAAAAAAAAAAAAAAAGAAATAAAAAGGATCAAAAGGTAGTTTTTAAACATAGACAAAAGGCATTTTGTATACCTCTTGGCTGAGGGCAAATATCACCATCAAAAACTGATCTTGTTCCGCTGTATAACCAGTGCTGGGCCGTGTTCTATTGCGTCGCTTGACTAACGATGGCCAGCCAGACGACATGAGCATACAAGGCATCCAAACGAGCAATCAAAAACCAGCATCCGTCCCATGAGCAAGCTCAAACCTTTCTTGCTACAAGGCTCAATGGTGCCGGGGTTAGGCTTTAGCAGGGTACGGGGCTTGGCTTTCTTGGCCGCAGCCAGGGCCCGGATGTGACGCATGAAGAGCTGTTTGACCTGCAGGGTAAGCCAAATGAGTGCATGGTAATCCTGATGCAGTGTACACAGGGGATCAAACGAGTCTAGCTTGCATGTATATATACAAGCAAGGTAAATCCGGCAGGCCCGGACTTGGGTCTTACGCGGTTGAGGTCAAGGTCGGCCTCCATGGCAATGCTCTGCAGTTGGGACTCTTGGGCATCAGCGTCCAACAGGGAGAGAAGCCGAACCGCATGTTCCTCATTTCGGGTGAGCTTGCTGGGCTACGGCCAGGTGCATGCTTGGTTAGATTGCGAAGAGACGGTCTCGAGTTGCTTGTGGTACCAAGCGCCTTGCACCGACCTTATCTAGAATGCTGCCTGGATCTTGTTCGCCTTCGCGAACCTGCTCCTCAACCATCGTGCTGAGGTCCACCGGTTGCAGACGCCCGCGCTTGCGATGCCGCAGGCGACTGTTGATGCCACGCGATCCTCCTTGTGGGCCATGCTCCAGAGCCGTGGCGTCGTTGTCATCCACGCCACCATTGTTGATATCGCCCTGTTCAGTGTCGTCACCATCATCATCATCGCCATCATCAGCTTCATAATCCTCGTCGTCATCACCATCGTCATCGTCGTCGTCATCATCGTCATCGTCATCATCATCGTCATCATCATCATCATCGATCACGTATTCATCATCACCGTCATCATCATGCTGAGTGCTGCTCTCGTGCTCGCTATCCTCGAAAAAATCATCCTCGTCACCCTCCTCCTTCTCCTCTGCGTGACCGACGCCACCAACGCTGCTGGTGATGCTGCGATCTGCGCGTGTCCGCAAAATGCGGGTCGATCGACGAGGCTGCCCAGACACTGCTGCAGCTGCCTCGGGTTGAAAGTGAGGTGCGCTTGGGAAGGCTTCCTTTGTGGAGATGGTCTCTCCCGGAGTTTCAGGTGCTCGTGCATCGACGGTTCGAGGTGGGGTATGGCTTCCTGGTTCATTGTTATCATTGCCATGGGCAGAAGCATCGTTTCTGCCTCCACCTTCATCACAATGTTGTGCGCGATCGCTGTCTTCGTCTTCACCACCATCATCGTCGTCCTCATCACCAGCTCCGTCACCGCCGGCGCCTTCAGCAGCAGCACCCCCCATATCTTCCTCGGCACCTTCTTCGGTGGCAGCCGTTGGCGTTCGCGTTGGCGTGGATTGTCGAGTAGAAGCCTGGGTGTCGGTACGGTTACGTTCCGAAGGGCTGTGCCTTGGGCGCTGCTGAGGGCCAGCACCGTCTGGGCTTGGTGCGGGAGGTGAGCTAGGGCGTGCTTGTTGGGGAGAATTGTGAGCTGATCGGTGTTTGCTGCGCTTATCACTAGGACCATCCTGGTCGCCGGGACCGTCAGCGCCATCCGCTGTGCGTTTGCCGTTCCGCGGTGATCGCGACCGGGGACTTCTCCGTTCATTTTGGGCTCCTGTGGCAGCCCCAGTGTCCTATCAGCGGTGTATTTGCGGTCATTAGACCATGAGATGTCAAGACCGTACAAGCGCGAGCAACCTATGCAAGGCGATTTTCTGAATGTGCGAATTCGATGCGCAAAAGCCGTACCTGGGCAGCGCTTGAAGCTGGCTGTGATGGATCAAGAGGAGCATGCATGGCATCCACGTGGTCTTGAACATTGACTGCCAATCCATCTTGCAAAGGCTCAATCGCAAGCGGGGCACCAACTGCCTCATCTCCAATATCCATTGGTTGAGGCGTTTCAAGAACGGCATGCGGATCCGTGGGGTGTAGCAGCTCAGCGGTCTGCGAGGCATGGCCAACGGGCTCGCCTTCTGGAGGTTCGAGTTCAAGGTGCTCAGCATGGTCAAGCGGCATGTGCTCCGACCCCACATTGTGGTCAGGAGGCGGGGGCACATCTACACTCGTTGCAGGTGAGCCATGGCGGGGCAGGTGATGGGAAGGTTCATAAACGCCAGCTGAGGGTGGCATGATTGCCGCATTGACCGAGGCGTGGGTCATATGACCATGCGGATCAATGTGGCTTCCTGATAAAGCTGAAGGCACAATAACGACCTCGTGGCCCAGGTCGCCGTGTGTCAGTGAGGTGATGGAATGCAAGGGCATTGCGTCCGGAATGGCCGAGGGCTCTGGTGGCACGGCTGGGTGGATGCCCGCTGGTACAGCTGGTGCGGCGCCATGCGGCGCCATGAGTGTTGCAGCATCTGGCGGGACGCCGGCCAACTCCAATTGCTCGCGTGCTAAACATGATTGTGAATCAAGAGAGAAACCGAGAGGCGTTGGGAATCAGCTTGAGTGACCCGCCAATACGGATCAAGTGGTGATTGAGAAACTTACGTTTGAAGTAAATACCCAAGGGCGCTGGAACGTTGGCCCCGAGATACGATTGGTAGTCGAGGGGCAGCCAAGAGGAGGGTTTGGACATTACCGCTGCCAACTCGCGATCGAGACCTCCAGGTGCCGAATGCTGTGATGCAAACGCGTCAAGTTGAGACCAATGGCCGCACCAAGAAGACAAGGAAGGATTAGAAAACAAAATCAAGGCACAACAAAGACAGAAACTGCCAAGCTTACGTTGGCAGCCGTTGTTTCAATGATTTGGTGCACACGTTCCCAAAATTTGACCGCGCCGTCACAGCTCGTGATGCTAAATGTTGTCGACAGACCAAAAGTGTGAAGTACCATGGCGATGAGTATTGCTCGAATCAATCCTCAAGTCAATCAGGGCGAGTGGCAAGCGCCATACGAGCAAAGGCCCAAAAAGGCGATGGCCAAACTCAAACAAGCCAACAAACAGCAAGAACAGCAGGCAGACCGGTGAGGCTCGGCAGGCGATGAAGGAAGCGATGTGTCCTTGAGATTCACCGAATCAGAAACAGTAAAAATATGGCTGCGGCTATCATGAAGCCATGCAGGAATATTAGGCAGGTCGGGAAGGGAGCAAGGTAGCCGGGCGAGGAGCAGCATAGTCGCCGGTGTAGTTGACATACTTATCGAAATGCACCAATCCACTTGGTCGCAGGAGCTGTAGCAGCTCTGATATTTGAGTCGAAAAGTAGAGATACTGAGATCCGCAGCATGCCGAACACATGTTGTACAATTTTGCCCGTGAGCAACCGTAGTGCAGGGGTGAGATGGGGCAGGCACGGAAGAGGTCATGGGATGTTTTGTTCAAGATGTAGCAGAGGCGTGACCAACCGAGCTGGATAGGGCCTCCATGCGGGCCTCAGGCTCGAGGTCTCGCATGGCAGGGTTCTCTCCGGACTCGAGGTACTTCTCGATGAGCGGCGAGCCGATCTTAGCTGTAGGATCAATCAGGAGAAAGGCGTGAAATAGCAAAGAAAGAAAGAAAGAAAGAAAGAAAGAAAGAAAGAAAGAAAGAAAGAAAGAAAGAAAGAAAGAAAGAAAGAAAGAAAGAAAGAAAGAAAGAAAGAAAGAAAGAAAGAAGGCAAATACAAAATATGAAAGCTTATTTGAGGCAGGCAAACTCAGCTAGCGGCCTGATCTCGCTGAGCACGATTGGCAGATGTGCTTTTGTCGGAACATACCATCCTTGCGCCCCTGCTTCGGTGCGAGGCCGATGACGCTAAGATACAAACGCAGGGGCATGCTAAGCACCACCTGGTGGGCATTGAGTTGCGCGGCACCCAAGGTCACATCGTGATCATCACGCTTGTGTTCCGGGACATTGTCAACGCCCACGAATCCTAGCACAAGCAAGCGCATTTCAGCTGGCCGTGCAGCAACGCATCCGAGCAGCGGAAGCTGGTGTCATTGCGACCAAAAGGCGGAAGCGGGACACACCTGTCTGCAGCTCGTTCTCCACAAGGCGCACCAAAAAAAAGTGCAGCAAACGGATGCGCAGCCCCTGATGCCGACACATGTAGCCGTAGCGATTGCGTGCCTGCAAGAAGGCATGGTGGCAGTGACGAGAGCCAGTGCGTTAATGCGGTAAAATTGAACGGGGCAAATCGGAGAAGTCGCTGTGCATGCATGTACAACGGACACCCATCGATATGGCTTACGCTTTCGTAGGGGTACAATTGATACCAGGGCAGCTCGTGGCCTTGGATCGGGGCGGGCTCGGGGGCTTCATCAAGCGGTCCATTGCCATCGTCTGCTGGCATGATGGGCATCATGCCCACGCCCGTAAAATCATCTGCATAAGAACCGTCCAGGCGGCGCCCTGTGGAGCGACAAAGCATCAATCACAAAGACCATAAGCAAAACAACAAACACACACACACACACACACACACACACACACACACACACACACACACACACACACACACACACAAGAAAATCAAAATACAAAATACAAAAAACAACAACAACAGCAAGTCGCGCCAATAGACCGAGCGGCGACGAGGTACCTTCGCCAAGAAGTGGGTGGGCACGAGGTTGGATGCGTTGAATGTCCAACTCTGGCAGAGCCTGCATGTACAATGCAGTGAGTCGAAGACCACGCTGCAAGGGTCGCTGAAGGTGTAATGCGGTCAAGGGCTTACGCGGTTCGTGGCGATGGGGTTGCGATGCGCTTGAAAATCCTGCACACATTTGATGACTGATGTGGCGACAACAGATGCGAGTGAGCCGATCATCACTGACATGCATCGCGTGAACCTTGGTACTGTCAGCCACGTACCATCGGCTTTGGTAGCGGAGGGTAGCTGAAGAAGATGAACCCGATCACGTTTGCCAGTGGCTGTCACATACTCGTGCTTGGACAGCACGGCTTCCTCATCCGCGGCCAAGCGTTCGGCCAAACGGATGCGGACCTTGCGGTCCATTAAAACGGCCGCTACAGTCATGAGGCAAAGTCAGATGCAATGCGACAGTTCGGGGGTGAGATTGGTCCTCAAATCTTGACACGTACTATCAGGTGCCGACTCGAGCTCGATGGCGTAGATGGCCTTGGCAAAGTTCGTATCGTTGATCAAAACCTTGTGCTCCTTCAAAAGGTCGATCGCGATTTGTCGACGGCGGAGTGCGAGGTTGATCAAAATGTTGGGATTCAAGACTTTGTGCTTGCCGTGCTGCGTTGAGTCAGGAACATCAGGCGCCTCATAAGTCGACACCAGACGAAAGCTTGTGGGGGCTCCTTGGTTCTTGAAGAAGACACAGAAAGAAAGCAGAACCAAAAACAAACAAGCAAGCAAACACGAAAGCAAATGGAAATTGCCTCTTGGCTTTCAAGCTTCCAGATGGTGTTCGTGACGCGGCAAAGCCAGATTCGGAAAGCCACACCTGAAGCTCGCGCTGGCCATGTTCATCGTTGAGCAGAGCTTTTCCAGCATCGGCCGTCGCTTGGAACGTGGTTTGAATGTTCCAAGGCGCTGCACCCGACGCTTCAACGGCGTTGCGTCGAACGAGCATGTTGACTGCGGGGAACATTGCAAGCAAAGATGGTCAATAATGGATGGGGCTGGCATGGTAGACCATGGGCCAAGGGGCAACACACGAGGTTTGAACATACGAATGACTTCAACTCGAGTTTTTGCATGCTTCATATCGAGACGAAACATGATTTCAGCCATGGACAAGGCTCGCGGCCGTTCACGTCGAAGTAAGGTCATCACCTTAATGACACCAAAACACGTGTCACGAACAGTAGCGTTAGAGAACGGTCTTGATGAGGGAGGAAAGCAAATAAGGCATGGTTTGTCGAGGATCTTTGAAAAGCTTACATGCCAAATGTCTGTGCGTTTGTGGAACACTTCGCGGGTCAGCTGGGAAGGCTTGATGCAAAGCCGCACGCAGATGTGCTCTTCCCCTTGCACTAAGGCTGCAAATTCCTCAATGAAGCGATCTTTGCGCAGTGACATGTAGTACGCGTTGAAACGGGCAGTTGAAAAGCGCTCTCCCAGGGCCTGTTTATGACATACACAAAACGGTAGCAGCCATCAGCACCCAACCCCTTGGTGAAGAGCACAACAGCGCGCTGGGAAGGGGCTCAAAGAGAAGCATTGTGTGTTTTCGCTCATGTGGGAAACATGGCGGGGATGTAGCACAACGCAATGGGAACTGACCCATTCAAGATCCGAGCGAACGAGGGTTTTGGTTGGATGAATGGCAAGCTCTTCGAGAATGGCAACGCGATTGAGCGCCGGTTTCTTGTTGCACTTGGGTAATAGAAGTTGGTTGTCGGCGGCACGCTGCAAAACATAGCCTTCAACGTCCTCAAGCCAATCACCAATATACACAGGCGCCTTGACGCTGCGAACGGCCAAATCACAACGCTGTACCAGTTTACGGCTGCGATCAAGGGGCACACCATACCAAACAGGCAAGACAATTCAATGCACCGGTGTGCCACCAGGTCAAGGCAAGCGAGACATGAGCGAGAATGGCGGTGATTATTGCCGTCACACCAGCATGCCGACTCCACGCGTGACAAATGAGCAGGGCCGTACTCGACAAAGGCGTTGAGGTAGCTGTTGATGTCGATGCGCTCCCGATCCACAAAGGTGGAAACCAAGTCCTTGTGCAAGACGCCCCTGTGTCCGAAACGCGATACAAACTGGATAATGGCCCAGCCGAGGTCACCCAGCATGGGTAGGAAGCTGGCTTGATGTGACTGCGGCCCTCACAAAGACGGGGTCAGGCACCGTCGCCTGGAGGAGAGCATACGCGAGCGAGGTGGGCAGGACACCAAATTGACCAACCATCATCGGCATCTGAGTATGGCTGATCAGAGGCCAGGCAGGAACGACGCGGATTTCAAATTCGAGAGCTAGGAGAGGGCGCGAGTGTCAAAAAGCGCACTTGAATGCAAGGAGCCCACGAGCGAAAGGGGGCAACACGACAGCACTGTCGGTCAAACAACGTACCATGGCCCACGTGTGCGCTGATAGCGTTGGTGATGATGGCTTGTGATTCTTGATCGGGCAGCAGCTCCAGCGCTTGATTCAAATTGAGTGTAGTGCTAAAGAGCACTGCGGAAATGGATCATTGGGCGGAGAATGAGTGGTTTCGAGGGTGTGCTCCATCACGCGCGGGTATGTGGATACGGGCACAAGAGGCGTCTAACGCACTTGCTCGATGTTCCAGTCGGTCCATGATGTGCTCAATCGGGATCAAGCAGCGCTCAATATCGTTTTCAAACTGCAGACCGACTAGGCCTGGATTCACGGGGCGGACATGGTGTAGTGAGCGCCGGACGTCCGCGACACGAGTAGCAAAGCCGTGACTGCGCAACATGATCTCGTTCAAGGATGCAAAGAGGGTCGGTGGTCTCAAAAAAAAAAAAAAAAAAAAAAGCCACGTACCCAGCTTGGGATCTTGTCCCGCACGCCAATGACTTTGTGGGGCTGAGGTTCGCTTGACCTGTCGTCCCAACCAGATATGATATTTGCGGTGCCAAGGGGCAGTGAGTGGACAGCCGAGGTGGTGGACCGCAGGCCGACGAACATGCTATTTGAAAACGCTACCTGCAAGACAAAGAAAACGTCGTGCGTGGAGCGCGTGGCCAGCAGCTCGGCGATGGCGACAGAGTCTAAGGAAAGGTCGCTGGGGACACTGGGCAAGCTGGTGTAGAGGCGATTACTCAGCTCAAAGAGAGAGACGCCTGGGAAGGCCAGGAGGAAAGGAAATGAAGTGATGGATTGGCAAGCCGTGTGAGAATGGCGCCTTGCAGCAGAGAAGCGAGGTCAAGGAAGCAGGCAGAAGAGCGGCTGCAGCTCGTACCGGGCATGCCGGAGAGGGCCACCATGGTGCGCAGGATCTTGTTGAGGTCCTCGGGCTGAAGGTTGATATCCTCGAGGACATAACCTTCCTGGCCATCACCAGCACGAAGGTCACCCTCGCCCTGATCATCGTCGTCATCAACATCATCCTCAGCCAGGGAGTCATCATCATCATCGTCATCGTCGTCGTCGTCGTGAAAGCCTCCCATTTGGGAGTCCTCGAGGTGAGGCGGATCTAGCGCGAGGTCAGCATCGCTACCCTCACCACCACTTGAAGCCTCATCCATGGTGGGGGTTGCAGCAGAGCGCTCGAAGCCCTGCGACGCACTACTCGGGCTACAGCGTAATGCAGCACGGCTGTGTCCCACAGGACAGGCGTCACGGACAGCTCAGTCCTAGATGTGTGTGATGCGGACTTGCGTGTCGGTCAGCTCTCTTACCAGACAGACCAATGCAGCAGAGGGAGGGTGGAGACCGACTGACCTTGTGGTGGGTCCAAAGACAGCGTGTGATGTTCGACAGCTTTTCAAACGCAGTCAGCTAGTGAAACGGCGCTGCCATTTCACGCCATCAGAAGCACATACATGTACGGACGACACACACACACACACACACACACACACACACACACACACACACACACACACACACACTCCACGAGTTGAGAGAGATTCGTCGATTCCAACGGCAACGATCCGAACAGCGGCGTCAACTATAAATAGACGACAACCCGAAACGGGTGGACGCAACAGCTGTTGTATGGGAATATGAACACGATGAAGCCAATGTTTAGTTATTGACACACTTTTGAAGAAACGTGGGTAAAAAAGTGGCGAGGATTTTTTGCCGCTTGCAAGCGATATCGACGAGGTTTCGACCTTTTCTTATCTCGACCAGGTCAGACAACATGATCGAGAACTTTGACCGAGAAAAAAAGGAGCCAAGTGGGCCGACGGCGCACGTTGGCAGCGCTGCAGGAAGGGTGGAGGCAGACTTGGATGGCAGCGGCTGGTGCAGCGTGGAAGCTTCTGATTGAGTGCTCAGCCATTCATATGTATATGGGCGGCTGATCCTCTCTCAGTCTGCGCTGCCGACCTTTGTCGAGGACCATGCATGTGCTCTCCTGAGGGTTGCTCCCAGCCTCGTGGGGTCAGCTGCGCCAGCACGTCTCATGCCAGCGTGCCAGGGCAGCGTTGCGCAGCGAGTGTACAATTGGTTCTGAAAAGCTTTCCCTCAATCAAGCACGTTACGGAAATCCTCATGCTTGTTCATCTCTGGTTGCCATTTTTCATGTTTGCCTTTGACAGTCATCATGGCCAAGGGTGACGTCCGCAATGAGATGCTCTCCAAGGGCGTTGAGCGCTATGGTCGCTCCGCCATGTACAAGCGCCGCCTGATGTTCAAGCGCAACAAGGTTTGTTGACTGCGTGGATTCTTCGCAGCTGTTTGCTGTACTTTTTTTTCTCTCGTGTGTTTGAACGGGATGGACCAGCTCGGTCTGGCAATGGTTGATTCTGTGCAGTTTGTACAACCGTGTACATCGTTGGCCATTGTTTGTCTGGATGCTCCTTGTGTCTCTGCATGCGTGAACGTGGGCGCGTGGAACACGACTGCGTGTTGACCATCAGTTGGCAAATGCTTACACGTTTTTCCCACTTCGCTGAATACTTGGGGTCTCTAAACGCTTTTAGGTTCAGGTTGCCAAGAAGTCGGTGGAGAAGCCCACGACCAAGGAGGTCAAGTTTGGCAAGTCCACCCGCACTGTGCCCCTTGAGCGTCAGTCGCGCTTCTACCCCGCCGAGGACATCAAGAAGCCCCTCCCCAGCCGCAAGAAACCCGGCTTCAACAAGCTGCGCGCCAGCATCACCCCCGGCACCGTCCTGATCCTGCTCTCGGGTCCCTACCGTGGCCGTCGTGTCATTTTCCTGAAGCAGCTGCCCTCGGGTCTGCTCCTTGTCACTGGTCCCTTCAAGGTCAACGGCGTGCCTCTTCGTCGTGTCAACCAGGCCTACGTCATTGCCACCTCCACCAAGGTTTGTCAAACTCAGTCTTTTTTACGCTTTTTGTGTGCCTGCCCCTGAGGATTGTCGACGGGATGTTTGAATTCGCCCACCAACTTAGTCGGGCTCGACTTTATGTCTTGTTGCTCTTTCTCTCACGTCTGACATGGTGTTTGTGTTCAATGGCTGTTTCTTTGCACACAGCTCGACATCAGCTCCGTGAAGGTCGATGACAAGATCAACGACGCCTACTTCAAGGCTGAGAACAAGGCTGCCAAGGCCAAGGATATCACTGAGGGTGACAAGCAGGAGAAGGAGCCCCTGTCGGCTGAGCGCAAGGCCGATCAGGAGTCTATTGACAAGGCTATCCTGGCCATTGTCAAGAAGACTGACTACATGAAGGGCTACCTGCAGACTCGCTTCACTCTCACCAACGGTGTCTACCCTCATGCCATCTCGTTCTAAGTACGCTGAGGGCAGGTGGAATTGACGACTAAAAAACCCGATTTCTTCTTTCACATGTCCATCGTCTCTTCTGACCCTCAACAGGCAACCTTTTTGGGTGGACTTTTTATTTTTATTTTTTGATACCAGTGACATTGAGACTGTGTTTCCGATTCTCAACTGGCCATCGTCCTAGCGGGAAGCAGAGACAAACAGACAGGACAGGGTCCATCATCAACCTCATGTCAAGATGAAGTGTAGTCACTGCTGTGACCGTCGTGACAGTCAAGCCCGGCGTCCTGAGGCTGTGCGCGCGTCCTGCACCAGCCATATCTCGTCCACCTCAGGGCTGTGTGGCAAGGTTGGCAAGTGCTCCATCAATGGGGATCGCGGACCAGTCTCCTGCCACCGCCACTGCAGATGTGTGTGGTTGACCGCGTTCAAAACGCCAAAGCCATAGTTGGCACTGCAGCGGGCCATCGTGCCCACAATGTTGGGGGCCACCACGTCCTCACCCACGCACATGCCTAGCACCGCGCATCCATGTATGAGACAATAGCAGTGTCGGGACAGCCGATCGGCGAGGATGCGTTGTTAACATGGAAGAAGCAAGGACTATCTCTCGCGCAAGCAAGTACAGCGACGATGACCCACCCTCTACAGATAGCTCTTGATCGCCTGGAGAGCCGGCAACGATGGTTGTCATGTGGCGGCAATTGCGATAAATGTTACCATCAACGCAATCGCGCTCCACCTCCTGAGGCCTAGGGGCAAGAAGGCACGGACGTAACAGCAGATCGGAGGTGCTTAGTTGACCAAGTTTCACTTCGGTGAAGGCGAGCGGCAACCTACGGTTGGTAAGGAGCGTGCACGGCGGGGCCGAGGAGAGGAAAAAAGCGCTGGTAAATGTGCAGATGCCCACACAACATGAGATCCACTTGATACTGCTCCGCCAGTCGTGTAAAGCCTGTCCTCTCGCGGGAAACATGGAGTGAGGATGAATAATGGTGATAATCAAAGAAGGGGAGGCCATAGGCATACCGGTAAAGTTGGTCACGAGTTGCGGTTTGAGGTCGTTATGCTTGTCGGGTTGATAGTCCATGTGCCAGCCCTAGCCTCAGGTCAAGGCCAACATCAGGACATGCAGGTAACCACCTTCTTGTATTCAAGCGTTCAAAAGAATGGTCTCTGTGGGCAGAAGTGGCTTTTGACGAGATCATTCGGCCTGCATACCTTGTGCCCGTACATGATGATCCAGGGAACCACATCGCGGTTGGCAGTCGCTCGTTGAAGATCAGCTTCAAGCCATTGCAGCTGTTCCTCAGGCTGAAAGGGATAAATTGACGCCTGCGTCTCATTGTACCACTCGTAGACCTGCAGCTCGCCATGGTCCGTGCCCCAAGGTGTAGGCAGGTGATGTGAATAGGGTTTCATCACTTCGCCCCCAAGCCAAGCCGAATTCCTGCCGTTACCTGCTTCATATCGAGTTTCTCAAAAAAGCCAACCAATTGACCCACCTCGGTGTCGATGGCGATGAAATGAATCAGTCCAACATCGTACGAATAGTAGAAGTTTGAGTTGCTATGGGAGTGCTTGCCAATGTTGCGGGCCACGCCCTCGAAACGCCGCGTGTACTGATGGGTGTCAGGTACCGAACAACGCAGTGAGGATTGTGCCAAGTGTTGGCCGTGGCCAACCTAAGGGACATTATATCCCACCTGCTGAAAGCTTCCATCATGTGCTTCATGGTTTCTATCAAAGTGAGGCAGAGAATGAAGTGAGACAGCCGGCTGAATCGCCATGTAATGTGGTCCGCCATACTGGCTGGGGGTGGATCAAAACGAGGAAGGGGCCTACCCTGGGGCAGGCATAAAAGGCTTGCGAGACACAAACGGCTCGAGCGTGTTCATGAATGCGTTTCCCACAGCCGAATGATTGTCCTTGAAATCATCTATGCATCTCTCATGAGCAGGCAGGTTGAGCCGACTGCTTGTCCAGCAGCGAGCAGGCAGTGGATGGGCATGACGTACATGCAAAGTCACCACCCAGAATCAAGGCATCCACAGCATCGGCTGCAGCGAGTTGCAATAGCGTCTCCATTGAGACATCGTTATCCAGACCAAAGTCGGCCAGGAAGACGATTCGGCTGCCATTGTCGTGTTGGGGTTCGTTGATAAAATCAAACACCTACCATCATGGGGTTGGGGGTGTACGGGGACGAGCATCAGGTAACTGTTGTTGTGTGAAGGGACACCGTGCGGGAGAGTGCCAGGGCCAGAATATCGCAGCACCTACGCGAGTGTCGTTGCCACACGTGATGGTGTAGGACACGGTGCCATTCAAGGGCAGCTGATCCATCACAGCGCTGTAGGTGGAGCCGATTTCTGTAAAGGACCACATTGGGGAAACTGAATTACACTCACTTGGCTTGTTGCTGATGTTGTAGCAGAGCTGACAACTGTTTGTCGGGGCCACCCATTCCACAACTTTGGCCGAGCTCGTGTTGGTGTAGGACAGGTGGACCTAGGCTCAAGCATCCGATGAAAGGTGCCTCCGCGCGATCGCGGCCATCAAGAAGGGATCATGTGCAACAACACACCTGTTCAATCACCTTCCCATCCTGCACAGCCACCACACCCACAGCCAACCAGCCAGCCATCATCATGGTCATGGCCAGGCCCATGACCTCCATTCTCCAAGCTGCCATCCTCGCTCCTCTTGGATCTCACTTGAAAACCGCCCACAGTCTGTCTCTGGGGCATTATGTCAACAAACACACAAGGAAAATCTGACATTTCGGCATGAAAACTGTGAAACTGCGGACAATGTGTGTGTGTGTGTGTGTGTGTGTGTGTGTGTGTGTGTGTGTGTGTGTGTGTGTGTGTGTGTGTGTGTGTGTGTGTAACAGCCCACAGGCGTGTCAATGAACATTCGGATGGTGGATTGATAGATGAGACTAGTGTTGAAAGACGGCCATGGCCTCCCACATGGCAGCGACCTGTCCGGCTTGCGATGCAGGGGCGCTGGGATCGTAGAGACAATCAATGTTCCAGACGCCGGTGCCGAGGAGGTCGTACTGACGCGCCAGCTGAAACTTGGGGGCGAGCGTTGCTTGGTCGTCAAACCAGACCTGGTGCACCAGCCCATCGTCGCTCACATAGTTGAAGGTTTTGGAAACAAGTAGGGCATCTTGGCGCACGGTCGTCTGTTCAACCGACGCATTGCGAAAGAGTCTTTGAAATACGGTCCAGTCGTACTCGCGACCGGCCGCATCACTGCATGGTGCCCCCTGAAAGGGCACCGCCGCAATCGGGCAGTATCTGTGGGCGTGGGGCAACACATTAAAGGACAAACGGTCGTGTCTGGTGAGGTGCGGGCGCGTACAGATGCGGCAAATCCCATGCCATTCGCTCGACTGCTCGCATTGTCTGCTGCGGCGACGCGGGCGTTGAACCGGCTGCATCACACTTCGACCAGGGGGGCAAGGGTGGCGCGCAGCATCTACGAACGTGTCATTGAGTTGCGTGTTGGGCACACAGGGATAATCGTAGCCATACCACGGCAACCCCAGCACCAGCTTGCTGGCTGGGATGCCAAGCGCCAGGTATTCCTGCACGCCGCGCTCCGCCGTCCTACAGCAAGAGTCAGCGATGAGCTGATTTTGGACCAGCACAACCCAGTGGCGAGCAACTTTTCTCCCAAGCAGGCAAGTGCACTGAAAGCAGGAACCAACCCAAGGGGTGTATTGGCCGAAGCCAGGCAGGGGCCGTAAATCTGAGAGCGAGTGTCATAGGCCATGATGAAAAGCAAGTCTGCAGCCGCTGCCAGGCCCACGTAGTCGTAGTTGCGTCCATCGACGTCATAGGGCCCCCAAGCCACATCCACGGAAATCTGGCAGCACAGCAGCGTGTATGCATCGAAAGTCAATATGGGTCGGAGGCGATCGGACTGCGAGCATGGTCGCGAAGCATATCCGAGGTTGCAAGCACCATCCAGCCGACCTGGGCAAATGGATTAATCTTCTTGATGGCGCGAGCGGCATTATTTACCAGCGCCACATACTGGGCTCGCTGGGGAGAGCTCAAGTTGATGGGGCTCTAGCATGGAGGAAGATTGATGGCACCAGCAGTTGTGAGCCCATCCGAGCAAGTTCAGGGACAGCAAACAACATGACCGGCACAGCCATTTGCCGCAAACCTCGTAGTCAAAATTCAGGCCATCGAGGTAGTTTTCGGTGATCATGGCCACGGTGGCATCGATCCATGCAGCTTGAGTAGCAGCATCGGAAAACACCGTTTCATTCACGTTGATGGCCTTGGCTACCACCCGCACATTTGCGCGATGGGCCTCGCACAGGAGCGTCTTGTTTGTGTTCCAAGCGATGGTGGTGAGCACATCCAGTCGATACTCGGTCCAAGCCGCCTGGCTCGAACCGAACCCAAACACTTCCTTCCGAGGCCCCAGCTTCAAGGGCTGACACAAAGAAGCATCTTCGCATGGACACCCTGCCACCACGACGCCGCTCCAAGCCAGTACGGCCAGCGCCAGTACGATTGGCCTCCACTGCCCCATGTCTTGTGTCTACCAAAAAGAAGATAAGGAAAAAAATAAAATAAAACAAAAAACAAAAAAACAAAAAACACCAAAAACACCAAAAACAATTCGATCGGTGTGGGTGTGGGAGTGACTACTACAGTACCTACGGATGTGCATGTGCTACCGATGTGAACATGTCGATGCACTGTAGTTCTTGGATCTTTTCATGTTTGAGGCCCTTGTTGGTCTGGGCTAATGAATGAGATGATTGTTGATCAAAAATCAATCCGCAAGCAAATGAAGTTTTATAAGAAGAAGCCAGGGAGAAAGCGAATCAGCCACAACAAGCTCCTTTATTGTGGAGCAGGGTCGTGGGGCGCATCCCGGGCCGTCTTGAGATCAATAGTCACTTGGTCATCCAGTTTCAGGGCACCACCCATGTGCAAAATCGTGCGGTCAACGCCATCATGCCAATCGGCAGCCTGGGGACGCTGAGCCTGCATCAAAGGAGGCGAGGCATGGGGCATCAGGGTTCATGAGTCGCACCAGGGGAGTAGCAACAGTCGCACCAGGGGAGTAGCAACAGTCGCAAAAAGCACACACGCTGTGAACAGACCTTGCGGCGATGCGCAGCAACGAGCTCATCCCGAGCTCGCTCACGGTCCTGTGCAGAGAGGGCCATGTCTCCACCGCATCCCCACACCTACGGTCATTGTTTCATGTAAGCAAACAGAAAAAAAGGCAAGAAGCAAAACACGTGTAGGGTGTGAGCAAACCCAGTTCCGCCATCTAGGACCAAGGGCAAGGGCCAGAAAGACAAAAAAAAAAAAAAATACCTCAATCTTGGCCACCTCAAATGAGCTGCGCAAGCCAATGGGCTGGTCGTGGTGCAGTTTGGTGAATCCCGAGCTCAAGTCTGCGTTCAGCCATAGCCTGGACAGAGGTCATCCTTGTGAGTCAAAAGACCTCTGATGAGGCCAGGATGGGGGCAACCAAAAGACTAACGTGGCCTCTTCCTCCTCATCAGGGCGAGCTCCAAAACCAAAGCCGTGAGCCTGTCCCCGCGTCTTGGTGTTTGAGTATACTTTAACTGTGGCAACGTGTTGGGAGTACAAGACAAGGTTTAATGTGAAGGCTATGGTCAAACAGGCGAGGTTAGTGCGTGGGGTGGATCCTACCGGCGTGGTCACGGCTGATGTGGACTGAGGGCTCAAGGCGGATAATGCGACAGGCGGGGCCGCCCCAGGCTGCGCTGCGATCGTCACGCCATTCTTGATCCACGGCCACGGTATAGAGGTGCTCATCCTTGGTAAGGATCAGGAGCAGAGACGGGCCTCGGTATTGATATGCGTGGTGCTGAAAGCGGTTGACGCTTTGTCCGTGATGGCTGCTGCAGTATAGCAGACGCCACGACGCACTCTGCAAGTACATGTCTAAACAAAATGCCCCGACGGTCGTGAAGGCATACAGGTTTTGTTGCTCAGGTGCATGGGCAGTGGCAGGAACATACTGGGAAGGAGGGACATGAGGGCCCAGGCATGCGAGGGCGCCAATCGGTGACGGGGGATTTGATGATTATCCTATATCAGGAGAAGCACATTGAGTCAGCCATTGATTCCCGGCGCGGACCAGCTCAAAGGCACGTGAACGCACGAGTCGGGGAAGAAGAGCTTCGACGGCATAAGGCCACGGCTCTTCCGGGGTCGGTGACACCAACTGTGTGCAGTTCAGCGGCAGGCATGGTGATCAGCACGAGCAAGGTCATTGAAGGCCACACCAAGGGCATGAACCAGGTCAAACTCACTTGGAGCTCGATCCACTTGAAGGCACCGTTGAAGCAACCTGCAGTCGAGCAAGAGGCGTCCACTGCCAAATGAGCTACGTTGTACCGCACCACGTACGGCGGCCGTGTTGGCGCGTGGGTGATCACCAGTCGCCAGAGGCACACGTACGGGGAAAGTGATGGGCAATAAAGGATTCCGCTTCCGCCGGCGTGAGGTTATCGGTTTTGGTGCCCTCGATAACGGTGAGGGCCATGCCCTTGATGACACGCGAGGCAACTTCCAGCGCCGAATCATCGCTCTCATCCACCGTCACATCATTGGCTGCCATGGCCAGATATAACGCCACTGTAAACAGCTTGACGAGACCTGAGGCCATTAGCACCCACGGTGATGGTGGTGAAATGAGTCGCGGTGGCTTGGTGTGCATACCGATGCGACCCGTCAGGGCAAAGCTGGGCTATGGAGTGTGCTTGCCCAGGGAACGAAAGGCAGGGGCCATGGTGCAGGGCAAGCTAACCTTCATGATCCACAGTCTTGTCTCCCGTGAAGCCGAGGCAGGTCAACATAATCTCACAGCGGCGGACAGCGGCATTCTCGTGCGCCAGTACTAGATGGCGCCAACGCGTGAACATTGGTTTTGCATCAGTGCATCATTGGTACCAGACAGCAGCTTCAAATGGAAATAAACGAGGCCATGGAGTTGAAGGCCGAGGATTGGCGTGAACGGGATACGGACCAAGAACGTGGTTGACAAGCTGACGATATTTGATCAGATCAACGACGGGCTCGTCGTGGGTGAGAGGAAAGACGTTGACGAGCATCTTGCCAAAATCGCCGCAGCGCGGTGCTGAAAGCACCTGAGTTAGAGCACAGCATCATGAGCACGCGCGCGTCGAGATCAACGTGGCAGGAGGTCCGACAACCTTGGCGATGGTGTTGATAGGAACGTTGGACTCGCCCTCGGCAAGGTCATTGAAGCGGGCCTGCGACAAGAAACACGGGTGGCGGCATGAGCGCCATCCCACAGTTGGGCCAGTGGCACATGCCAAGAGCTGGTCTGACCTCAATGCCCGGATGGCTGAGGGCACCGCCCGCGACGGGATGAGCTGCCGATGATGAGTTGCCCATGTTGGTTGTGACGTCTCCTATCTGCTGCGCGAAAGCAAAAAAAAAAAGGTCTGCGCGGGTGCCCAAGGTCGTAGAGGTGAGATGTCTGAACAACAAAGTCAAAAGCAAAAATGTCCATCCGAGCTCTTTCTCCCGCACACCCCCCACGCCGCTCCCGCCCCGCCCTGCTTCCCTTGGAGGACCCAGCATCCTCCAACACGCCAAGCACCCCCACTGCGAACGCTCGCCACCCACTAAACTTGATAATGTGATGCTGTCTTCTGTCATCAGTTGTGAGGTTGAGAGATTGAGAAGATCGATTGAGAGAGCTTGAGAGAGAGAGCTTGGGAGAGAGAGAGCTTGGGAGAGAGAGAGTTTGAGAGAGTTTGAGAGAGAGAGAGTTTGAGAGTTTGAGAGAGAGAGAGTTTGAGAGAGTTTGAGAGAGTTTGAGAGTTTGGTTGAGAGAGTTTGAGAGAGAGAGAGAGAGAGTTTGAGAGAGTTTGAGAGAGAGAGAGTTGAGGGAGCGAGAGAGCTCGCTATGTTGTGGATGTGTGCAAGATGAAATCAAAGTTGCATCATCATGCTTTGAGACGATCGATGTCGCAATTGTCATCATTTCACAATTGTCATACATTATTTGTCGAGAAGATGACACAACGCACTTGCTTCACACACGAAAACTGTCATTATGGGCGCACAAAAACAAGGTGCTATGGGGTGTCGGCGGCTAGGTTGGCAGAGCACGCTGCCGTCGGCTCGGTGGTGTGCCGAAAAAGAGGCAGGGCCTGGTGCGACCATAAACCAACGCCATTCTGTGTGGCCACAGAGAGACGGTAGCGCTCGCCCTCTACGACCAGTGGAATCGTAATTCGCGCCGGTGGCAGGAGCGCATCGTGGTTCACCGTCTGGTCCACACCTGTGCCATTGATGGAGATGCGTACTGCCACCACGCCCGACTCGGGGTCAGAGCTAGCCCAGCTCACCCACACCGTCTGCAAATTTCCACACAGTGTGTGTTGATGCGTGTAACGCGCCATCCCATCTGGCGTCACCGTCACACCTACCAATGTGGGACCGGTGCGATCTACCGTGAAGGGCTGCGCTGCTGGCAGCTCATGCCCATGAGCATCCGTGTAGCGCACGCGCACGCAGCCATTAGCAACATCCGACGTGTTGAGCACACCCGCCCCCACCGACAGCTCAGTCGCGTCCGGGGCAACCTCAGCCCACGTGGCGAGCTCGCAATCACTGCACGAGTGGCCCACGCAGAGCCCCCCCCACCAGTGGTGAGACATCGTGAACTTGCGCAGACAGCTGCACTGAGAAACCAAGCGGCCCAACCACGCCGTGCGGGGCCCCGTACGGGCTGATCACATCCAGGTCAAGGGCAGCAAAGGGCGCCACCGAAGGTGCAGTCGTGTCCACGACGTATACGGCTGAAATTGTCGGCGATGGAGCACCCGCGCCGTTGATTGCCCGGACCGCACAGTACACCAAACCACCAGGACCAAGGCCTCTTTGAGCCCCGTCAACGTCCACGATGCGGCACACCTCACTCGCGGCCGCACTCGCGTTGGCTGGCAGCGCCTGCCACGCCTCATGGCATGCGGCACACGCGGCTACGCTGTACTCGAGCCGCAGCAGCCCCGATTCGGGGTCTTGTGCGGTACCTGTCAAGCCACAATGAGGCACCCCAGCTGAAGCCACCGTGGCAGGGCATGCTAGCTTCAACGTGTTCTGTGCCGGTTCCGTGAGATCAACCCCATGCAGTGCTCGTTTGGTTGACGGACAGACTCGGCCGTCCGCCAGAACTGGCGTCACGTGCACTTCCAACGGGCTAGAGCGGGACGCCTGCATGCTATTGTTCAACTCAATGTGACCACTGAACAGGTGTGGCGTCCCCTGCTCTTGCGTGGCCAGCGCCACACCGGTGTTGCTCTCTGCTATACTCCAGCGCATGGATTTGATGTAAGACGGGTCGGTTACGTGAACCACAATACGGTGGTCACGCCCCATGTAATCCAGATTGATGGCATAATTACTTTCGATCGAGACAGCCGTGACATCGCAGCTACGCATACATGCGGTTGCTGAGCGGCCCGGAGTCCGCCGACGTGCTTGTGCTAGAGACCCGCGAAGCATTTGTTATTGTATCACCCCAAGGCGAACAAGCTGGACTTGTGCCCAAAGCACAGTATGGCAGCCTTTTTGCGTGGGATAGCAACATGCTGGTGCTGGCCGACCCAGCGCGTTCGACGGTCTCAATTTTCAGAGCCACCGCATTGCTGGATGGCTCGCCTCAACCGAAGCGGGTGTTCAACCTTACGACAAGCGAGAGGGCTGTTGCTTTGGCAATGAGCAGTACTGGTCAACTCATAGTGAGCACCGACGCGACTTTGTCGTGCTATGATTTGATGGAGGGCCGTCAGCAGTGGGCGCGCGACTGGAGCAGTGGTGCCGCCTTCGTGGTGCCCACAGCCGGTGCTGGCCGCGGCATGCTTCTTGTTGACGCAGCTGGCATGGTGCGTGTGGTCGGGTCGGGTGCCGGGAGCTTGGCAGACGGAGGACCTGCAACAGAACCCAAAACCATCGTGGCGACGGGTGGTGCAGTGGTCAGCAGTGCCTGTGCGTTGCCGACAGGAGATGGTTATGTGGTGGCCCTGGCGGCCGACAGTGTCAGAAATACTTCACTGCCCACGGCGCCTGGCCGCTTATTGCTCGTCGCCAATAATGGCAGCGTGGTGGTTCAGGTGACCATGGCCTTGGACCTCGACGCTAGCTCATTGCAGTGCTTGGCGCATGGGTCATCATCTGCCTCCCTCACCTCGTTTATTGCCCTCTCCTCGCTTCCGGGTGCTACCCCAGGCGGTGCGAGTGTAGTGGCGCTCTTTCAGGCAGACGTGCCTGATGCCATCTTGCACAATATCACGCGCGTCTTGCCGAATGGGGATGACATTGATGCCTACGTCCTGGCTGACCGCGACGTCGCTAACAGCGCGCTCACCTCTGTCCTCGGTGCGACGCTGCAAAACAATGCGTTTTATGCAATTGACGTGTTGTCGGACGTGGGAGCATCCGCCCTGCGTGCTCATTCATTCTGTCCACCTCACACAAAAGTGGTCCTCGAGCCTGGGGCTCGTGTGGTGTCGATGCGCTGTGAACCTTGTCCGCCTGGCCAATGGTCACCCGGTGGCTTCCATGCAACATGCACTGGGCTTCCGGCGTGTGCAGACGTCTTCGATCTGGCCGTGACTGTGGCCGTGCCGGCCAAGGTGGCATGGGATAGCAACAGCAGCAATGTCGTCTCGATTGTTGCATCGGGAAGCAATCCGCGTGTGAGCCCGGTTCACCTCACTGTGGGCACTTTTAAATACGAGGTTCAACCCCCAAGCATTGTGCAGCTTCTTGATGGCATTGGTTCCGCCGCCAACACGTGCAATAACGAGAGCAGCGCCGGATGTACGATGAACGGCATGGTCACAGACGACGAAGTGGCACAGGCCGATCCATACTCGTTTGCTTGTACTTTTTTGGCCCAGCATCAGGCACATCGATGCAGATTCGCCTTGACGCTAACAATACCGTTGGCGTGCTTGTGCCGTGGACTGAGGTAGCCACGTCTTCCTCCAACTTTTCCATCGTTCTTGAAGATCCTGTCCCACAGGGTAGCAATGTGACGTGGACCGTCAAGGTTACGTCCGTGACAGGTGCTACCAGCATGACCACCTCCAGCGGCGTTATTGTCGACACTGAGCCACCCCGCATCTCCCTCAATGATGGGCCACCAGACCGTGACTACAACTTTACCACCATCACAGACGCTCTCCTCATATCTTTGGCTTCATATTCGGCCGCTAGTCCACTGTCGGAGCTGGTTGTGAGCGTGGGCACAACGCCTTGTGGTGCGGAGTTGATTCCCCCCACCAGTCTTGGCTCAGGCCGAGCTTTTGGATTTGAGAATTTGGTGTTGGAAAAGGATGTGGCGTACTATGGCTGCGCACAAGCAACGAGCGCGGCAGGTCTTGCCAGCGATTGCACTTGCACAGATGGCATTCTTGTTAAAAGCGGCGCATCAGGTCACGACGTCGCAAAGCATCCTCTTGAGCTATTGTTCCGGTTGAACAGCATTAACGAGAGCACCGCTGAGGCAGAGACGCTCTTCAATAAGAAGTCAACCGCTGATAATGTGACGGTCATCCAGAAGCCTTTGGCTGCGGGTTTATTGCTTCCTAGACATTCTTTGGGTGATGATGTGGAGTTGACAGCTACCCTGAAGGAAACGAAAACTGGCCAAGTCCTCACGCGAACATATGTGTCCGCCGGCCTCAGCTTTTCGCTTAATTTCGTCAACACCAGTGGTGGCGAGATGAGTGAGCACTATTACTTTCCCAATGGCAGCTACCCCACCATCATCACATATCACAATGCGACCAAGGTTCGAGCAAGACTACTGGCAGAAAATGCCGAAATGGTGGATTTGATCCCCAGGCTACTGGTTCGCATGGGCCCAAACGTCGAAGATTTGATGCCGGCTGTTGAAACTTGTAATTCCGTGGATCGCTTTGAAAGCTACAACTTCACCACGGGGGTTTTGCGTACTCGCATTTGCCATGCATCAGATTTTATCCTGGCTTTCGTGCATTCGCACTTGCAAGGCACCCTGAGTCTCATCTATGACTCACTCACTGGAGTCTTACGAATGTCGCGGACACGAAGCGCAGCGGGTGTGTGTCAAGTTGCAATCGAGGTGGATCTGATGAACCACGGGCACGCTGAAATGCGCATGGAGCTGACTCCGCGCGCGTGGAATCAAGCAAAACAACTCATGCTACCCACGCTTGTTCAGGCCGTCCGATTGCTGTGGGTCACCGGCTGCAATTACAATGGATCCATGCTGCTGTACTCGTCTGAGTCTGAGAAGGGCTTGAACCGCACCGCCGATTCTATTTCGGCACCGATGCATGAGACGCAAACACCAGCATACGTTGCAATGGCGTGCCTCCTTTTGTTGTTTATTGCTGTCGGTTCTCGCATGGTTGGCAACGTCCAACGCTGGGAACGCACTCGACGCGCGTCAAATGTTGCGTTGATGGCGTCAATTGCAAGTGCCTTGTTATGTGGCACCGGTCTGGCTGCCTTGGCTTCCACAAGCAGTATGGCTTGCGGTGCTCTGGCTTTGGCTCTCATGCTGGTCGCCACCATGACCGTTCTGGTTTCGTCCTTACAGCATCAAACCTCAACTTTGAACTGCGTCTTATTTGGTGCGTTTGATTCTCTCATTGGCATAACGTGTTCTGCTTGCAATGACTATCTTGCTTTTGATCAAAGAGGGTCCACATGTCTTTTCATCCAATGTGCTGCGTGCTATTCTTGCCTGTGCTACGACGACTTGCGGGCATAGGGGTGTTGGTCGGTAGCGTGCTGACAGTTTACCTCAGTCATCCAGATGCCTTTGGTAGTAGCAGGGGCCGAGTGTAAGTATTCCATCTCAAGTGCACGCCAAGGTCGCTTTCGGTGACGACCAGATTGTGCGAAATCATGAGACAAATGGAGGAATCAAGGCTTGTTTGTTTGATTTTGGCTTGTGTCATTTCAAATTTATTAGATGCACTGGGCGGTCCGTGCTTGGGGACTGTTTGACGCTCGGCGGTCCAGCTTTGCTGGCAGCGACGACGCTGTGGTACCACCACAGGATTCTACCGCACGTCTACTTCAAGGACACGGCTGCCCATCGGCATGCCCCAGTCTCCGTTTTGGTGAGCTTTCTCCTGCAACAGCTCGAGTGGGACTGGCCCGCTGGTGTACAAATTGGCGTTTGTATGGCCAGTTCTGCCGTAGCCCTGTGCTTGATTCTTTGGAAGTCAAGAAGAGGGAGCCGGATCACTTTGGTAGGTTGCGTTGCTGCTGATGATCAATACTTGCTTCGTGCCTGTGCATTTGAACACCGATCTGAATACAGTCTGCCGTGGCACAGGAAAATGGTCACGGTGATGATGATGACGGACGGGGGCGAGATGTGATCGAGCTCGACGCACTGCCCGGTCATCAGAACGGGAATGGCGACGTGGCTGGACAACGAAGGCCGGATCAAAACCCACCTCCCGTTTACGGTGCCTGGGAGGCGAATGAAAAGAGGCCGGGAGCAGCTGGTACGCAGGCCCGTCACGTCCCCGTTCAAGGCGCCCCAATTCACGGGCAGCCTCGATATGTTGAGCTACCAGGCAACCTCGACATGGAAGTTAGGGCAGCCAGTCAAGAAGATCAAGCCGCGTCAGCCCATCAGGAGGACCAAGCCGCGTCGGCGAATATGGATTGGTTCAGTTGTCAGAGTCAACAGGTCTTCCAGGATACTACTCATTGCTTTGTTGATGCGCCTCGTCGCGTCCAAAACAATCTAAGAATTGAGCCTCAAGCCGAAGCAGCCGCGCAAGGCGCCCCGCCCAAGCAAAACCCACGTCACAGTGGTATGTTGCCCAACATTTTCCGCCGCTCGACTCTGGTCGAGCAATACCAGCCAGATGACAACCAGTCAAATGGCGACCATTCAGATGACGACCAGCTGGATGACGACCAGCTGAGGGGGGACCTCTCGGATGGCGGCCAATCGGATGGCGCCTTGTGGTACCTCACAGAAACAAATGTGTAGCCTGCTTCTTAGGCTTGCTCTTACTGTTGTGGTTGTTACTGTTGTTGTTGTTACTGTTGTTGTTGTTGTTATTTCACATTCACAGTGTGTGTAGTCAGTTTCAAAATGTCAGATAAATTCGTTGAGGCGAGACGCTGCAACACACACACACACACACACACACAAACACACACACACACACACACACACACACACAAACACACACACACACACACGACGCACACACTTCACGATGGCGACGGGACGGCGAGAGGCGCTGGTGCAGCGGATTCAGGCACATCATCGTGCATTGCGGCTGGCGTATAAAACCCAGGGGAGGTGCGTCGCTGGGAGGAATATTGGTTGGGCAGTGTTCGGTTCTCTTACATTCCCCACCTCACACATGTTCGGCAGCAGTGATCGAACATCCGAGGCAGATGTGGCTCAGCAGGTCTGGGACCGGCACTTGGAGGACCATGCAGCGCTGGAGGTGAGCAGAGCGGCGTGCCCATCAGGTTGGTGTCTTGTCTGCGACAGAATATGCGGCTCATGGCCCGCATGCCTGTTGTCCGTGGTCAGGCATATGCAGCGGCCATGCACGAGCTGGCAGAGTCACACTGGAAGACGGCCGATGACCGAACCGACCACGTGGATCGTGTCGCTTGGTGGGTATCCGCACTGCTCGTACCTGGGCCCTGGCCCGCAATGCTAAGTCACATGTTATCCATGACGCGAAACAGGAGCTATCAGCAGATATCCCGTTACTTTACAAAAGAGCTGAGCAAATGTCTTGCCAAAGATGCACGACGCTTGCAGCACCGAGATCCAGGCCCTGATGTCGCTGTGAGTGTACCTCCAGCCACAGCAGACGAGCATCCCGCAACCAAGCAAGCCAAGGTGGACCCGAACCATTCATTTGCAGCACCTTTTCGGGTACTTGATGTGGGGTCTTGCTTCAACCCCCTGCGCGTGCACAAGGACCTTGATGTCACGGCCCTAGATCTGGCTCCCGCCACCCCCGGTAAGTTCGAGCACGCATGCCCCCTTTTGCCTTTTGGAAAAAAAAAAAACACCTTGACGTGCTGATATGTGGACGCGTTTCTCGATTTGGCCGAATTAGAGGTCTTGCGGGCCGACTTTTTGCAGTGCTTTTCTTCGGGCCAAGAGGGACCTGCGGCCGAGCTCTGCCCACACAGCTTTGACGTGGTCGTTATGCATTACGTGTTGAGCTATATGCCCTCGCCTTGGCTGCGCTACAAGTTGGTTCCATGGCTGGGTTTACGCAGATGGCCATGGCGGGAGGATCGGCAAGACCGGCGTGCAACGCGTGACGCTGATCTCTGCTCCGTTGGTTGTGCGCAGATGTATCCAACAGGCGCGGCGTGCTTTGCGACCCAACGGTCTTTTGATCCTCACCGACCCCGACTCGAGCAAGCAGAACAAAGTACGATTGCTTCGGCAAACCAAAGCTGAAGGCAGGCCAAGAGCGCACGGGTCGTTGGGACGTTGCCTTTTTCTTTTTCTTTTGTTCTTTTTTTTTCTTTTTTTTTCTTTTTTTTAAGATCTGACTCCTAGCATGTCCCTTCTGATTGGCTAAACTGATAGAATGGGCCCAGGATGGCAGCAGGCTGGCGGCGCGCGATTCAGAGCTGCAAGTTTCGACGCGTGGCCTACGAGCGGGTGTGTTTCGTGCCTGTGGTGCATCGGCCTCCTGCTGTGCGCGTTTGGCCGACCGAGCTTAACGTGTTGGGAAAACCGACTGTGCTTTCATTTTGGATGCAGCTTCCCCACTGTCATGCAATGAGCTTCCGTGCTGTTGAGCAGCCCCATCTCGTCGACGCTGATGTGTACGTTGCCAGTTCTGCGCAGAAGCTAGGGCAGGGACCCTGATGCCTGCTCTCCTCACTTTGTCCCTATTCTCCTGCCCTGTAACCAACCTCGGCGTCTTGGTACCCCAGGGCGCTTGAGGCCTCTGAGGCAGCCATGCTTTTAGAAATTCCACAAGACGGCAATTCATCCGATGGGCCAGTCGGCGATCCATCGAAACGCCAGTCGAACTCGCAATCAAAGACAAGCAAATGCTTGTCCACAAGTTAATTTCAACTGGAATGTTTAAAAGACCAATCCGACCATCCCTGACCGCGCCTTTTCAACGACCCACTTGCATGTCTGCCAAATCTACTTGTCCCATGCTTTGCCTCCACACACAGCTCTTGCTTCCAGCGCGGTCTCGAATTGAAGAGGAAGCGAGCTCGAGAGAAACTTACACACACACACACACACACACACACACACACACACACACACACACACACACACACACACACACGTTATAAGATCTTGTGTTTTGGCTGTTTCCTTGATCACTCACTACTTTGTAAGCACACACACACACACACACACACACACACACACACACACACACACACACACACACACACACACACACACACACACACACACACACACACGTTATAAGATCTTGTGTTTTGGCTGTTTCCTTGATCACTCACTTCTTTGTGTGTGTGTGTGTGTGTGTGTGTTTGTGATGTTTTCCATGTTGATGTTTTCTTGCTTATTTTTTTTTTTTTTTTTAAAGGATTTTGAACATCGGGAGTGGCAGTGGCAGTGTCTGTGCACTGGGCTGTGGCTGTAATGATGATGATGAAGACGGCGACGACGATGATGATGAAGGGAAATCTGATTGCTCGATCGGGGTGGTGGAGAATGCTGGCGGTGGTGTGGATGGTAATTGGTGTTGGTGCCTTGGCGGTGGTGGGGGCGCCGTCGTGTAGCTTGGAGCAGGGCATCGTGGTGGGTTCTAGCAATGTGACGTTTAGTCGCATGGCCGTGCCGGACGCTGCAGCCTGCTGTGCGTCTTGTCATTCCACCTTCGGATGTGCGGTTTTTACGTTTGAGTCCAAGGACGGCACCTGCTATCTCAAGGGCGAGGACGATGGCTCTTATGCTAACCCGGGAGCCGTTTCGGGCCGCATCGCTTCGGTGGGATCCGCCAACCTGACACTGGACTCACGCGCCCCCATCTCCACCACCCTGCCCGAGTTCAAGTCCTGGACCATTGATTCCTCCACCAACCGCGAGTTCTTTGATCGCAACCTCAGTGATCCAGAGCTGCACTACCTTGCCGCCAACTCCATGCCCGGCTTTCTTCGCTTCGGTGGCTCGGGCAACGACCAGCTCATCTACGGGGTGGGCAACCTCAGTTGCAACGGCTCACCGTACTGCCTCAATGATACCATGTATCAGGATCTACTTCATTTTAGCGAGGCGGCTGGAACCAAATTTATTTTTGGCATCAATCTTCACTATCGCACTCAAGATGGACACTGGGATCCAACTGCCACGGAAATTCTCATCCGACGTGGCCTGGAGCTAGGCTTTGACTTTTATGGCTTTGAATTGGGCAATGAGCAGGACACACAGTTCTCGGCTGCCACTGAAGCCGCTGACTTTCTCATCATGCAGCAGATGCTCGACCGCATCTATGGCCCAAATTCTCGGCCCAAGGTTGGCAAACCTGGGTGCCTACCTGCTGCGCTTCAGCATATCGACCATGCCCCGGCTCACTGCCCTCTTTTGCCTCAGATCTTAGGTCCCGATCCCCACGGCTTTCACAAGGGCACCGACACCATCATCGAGTTTCTTGCCAACTTTACCATGGATGCCGTCCAGCTTGGCGTCGATTTGTTTGGCGTGACGCATCACGAGTACGCGTCCGCTGGGTCCCCACGCTGCTCTGCTGCTTTGTGCTACGCTACGTCGCTTCCGTCTTGGATTACCGTACCACTCTCATTGTTCCTTCATGTTTTCTGTTAACAACACGCTTTGCACGAACACAGGTATATTGAGGTTGACGTCAACAGTAGCTTTGATGCCGACTTGTTGGATCAAACGGGTGAGATTGGTCAATTGGTGAACCACACGATCCGTAACATCAATGCCACTCTCCTGCCTTTCGCCGGGGAAATCGGTCCCCATAATGGTGGCAGTCCAGGCTGCAACCACTCTTCCATGCGCTGGGCCACCTTTGCCGATGTGTTCTGGTACGTCCTTGGCCACACTTTTCCTGACTTTGGTTTCCTCCTTCCCTTGTTGATTGATGGCACGCGATTGCCTTTGCTTGCATTTGTGTGCCTCCCCGCTTCCCTTTCCAATCCCCTCTTGTACGAATTCTGTTAAGGTACCTGGATGCGATGGGCTCAAAGGCCAAGGCCGGTTATGCAGCCTTTTGCCGTCAAGATTTCATTGGCATCGACTATGGCCTGCTGGATTGCGCCACGTATGAACCATTGCCCGACTACTACGCTGGCATTCTCTGGGGTGCAACCATGGGCACGAGCGTGCTCAACGTATCCGTGAACAACCGCCAAATCCGAGCTTATGCCCACTGTGGCACCAACCAGCGCTCAAACCTCATCACCAACCTCAACTCATCCCCCTCGACCGTCACGTTGCTATTACTGAACTTGGACACGGCCAGCCACGAAGTGACGCTCCCCGCGGCCTTGGCTCAACAAAGCGCGACCGCCTTTGAGCTTCAAGCCGGCCCGGGGGGTGTCGGCGGCCAGACTGTGATGCTCAATGGCAATACCCTGTCCTACAGCCGCATGCAGCTGCCCAAGTTGGAAGGACGCATTGTTGGCGTCGAAGACACATACTCCCTTCCCCCCCAAACCGCTGCTTTTCTCTCCTTTGAGCAAGCATCCGTCCCAGCCTGCTCGACTTGAGAGGCCACGCAGCCTTTTCGTCAAACAGAGTCGGGCCCACCCAGGTCTTCTCTCCCGCCACGTGGCTCGCCTTGATGGCGTTTTTCTTAGATTGCTCTTTGCCGTTGTTGTACGGTCGCTCCTTGTCGTGCCGCCCTAGATTGTTATTGTGGTAGAATTTAGTTCTCATTCACTTCCTCTCTACCTGTTTCCGACTCTGGCGACTCTGGCGACCATGCCCTGATGAATATTTCTTTGGCACACTCGCGATTATACATTCAATTTCGCTTGCCAAACCTATTTTTTCTCCACGCGCCAGGTCACTCATTTCAAGACGGCCTGCCAAATGGGAATGATGGCATGTTCAGATACACTAACATAGATGTTGCCATGTGTGCTGACTGATCTCTCGCCGGCAAAGAGCGCACAGCAAAACACAGACGCCTGTGAACCTCGCGCATAAGTGAGAGGCATGCCCAAGTCTTTTGCGCTGTAAATGCCGGATCCATAACACTGGCCATTGCGCATGGTCACATGAGAGCTTGATCCGGGCAGTTTGAGCCCTTCCTTGGTGATCGAGCTGGCACAAACGCTCACGGTACCATGATAGGTCTGCACAATGCCCGCCGGTCCGGCATCGGCAGTGGAGGAGCGATTCTCCCCCTTGCGACGAAGCCACTTGATTTGCTTCGACTTGCGAAGTTGGGGGTTGTAGTCCTTGATCCCCATGACCTTTCGGGCAGGTGCCCTGGCTATAGCGTGGCACAGCTGCGACATGCGCTCTTGCAGGACCTCTGTGCGCTTGATGATCGGGCTACAGTGCCCCTTCTCAGCCAACTTTTGCTCAAAATCCACTCGCATCGTGTCGAGGTACAGTTCCACCCGTGTCGCAATAGTGCTCTGGTCTTGGAGACGAGCAGCTCGCCGCGAGCGGCGACGATTGAGCTTGACGCCGGTTTCTCCGTCAAGCGATTGTGGTGACATGGACTCACACAGCCTGGGCTCATAGTGTTGGAGGCATTGCTGGTCTCGAACCCACTTTAGTAGAGCCTCGTCTTCAGCTTCAAGTAGCGTTCCCTGCTTGGCACCAAACATCGCACTGGTGAGCGACAGAACGGGCTGCGAGCTTTTCTGGCCACTTGGTTTTGGCTGCGAGAGCACTGCTTGCTGTCTTTTGTTTGCAGGCCGGTCCTTGGGTTGGAAATTCTGAAGATCAGGGCAATGGCGGCCGGACGTCCACTTGGTGCGGAGACCCGAGGCCAGCTCGGCTGCTTGACAGCCACCCTCGCGGCGCATGCGAACTCGAGCCCGGGCTTGCTTGTTCTTGCTCAGACATTGGAAGCGGTTACAGCGCGAACCCCAGCGTTTGTATTTGCATTTCTGGTCGCCTAATTGCTTGCGCAGACACTACGCGATATCCCATGACATGTGAGGCGAGGCTCGTTAAAACAGCGTCAAGTTTCGCCGTGGTTGCAAACAAATACGTTCTTACCCGCGGTTCCATGCCTGCGCCATAGATGTCATCTTCGTCACCTTCCCATGTCGTCGCATCAGGCGCAAGGATAATGATGGTACCCGCCACCAGCCATGCATCATCATCGTCCGCCATACTGCGGCACGTCGCACGCGTGGTGTCGCAGGCAGGGCCAGAAGCAATCCTGCTGAGACCTTCTCAACAACGAACAAAGAGGAGCTGGTTCCCTTTTTTGCAGTGGAGGTAGCTGCGCAGACGAGCCGTCGAGAAGAGGACAAACACGATCAAAAACCGTTCAAGCAGCTGAGAGTGACGAGAAGAAATTGCCCGATCGAGATGCTTCAGATACCAGAATTTGGTCTTCCAGCACCAGCAGCTGTCCACCGTCACGCAAGAGCATCTCTGGACGCCTCCTTTTACGTACAGTGACTTTACATCTCTTACGAGTACCTTGGCTTGTTATTGTTACGTAACCATCATGACAAATTTGGCAATTGGTTTTTTGTTTTTTCCTTTTGTTTCCTTTCGTTTCACCAATCAAGAAGAAAAAGATGTTTTGGATGCGTCTGAAAAAAATTATGGTTATGAAACTACGCGGGGTTTGGGGTATACTCGGGCCGTGTCGGGGCTCAGGGCGAGGCGCTCAGTTGGAGCTCATGACAGAAAGAGTCAAAGTTGTGGAGGTAGGTACCACCCACAAGAACATCCATAGCTGCGGCGAGCAAAGGCAAGTAAGTCAGCGGCAGACATGAAGTTGGGCACCCTCACCACCACCAAGCATTTCAAGCCTGCCCTGGTGTTGACTCACTGTGCAGATGCTTGGTGCAACGATAGGCAAAGCTGGACTCTTCAAATGTGATACCTCCAACATAAAAAACGATCACACGGCGTGGTCTAGGTGCGCAAAGCGGGCCATGAGATGGGCCAAAGGACGTCGTGAAAACAGGATCTGCGCGTACCGTTTTTGTCCCAAGAGGCCGGGCACCCAGGGATATTTCTTTTCATTGAGTGAGCCCTTGTCAAGCTCCTGCAACAAGCCAGCCAGTAGTGGCGTGTGGGAATCTTCCTCTTCATCGTCAGGGTCCGCGTTGGGAAAAGTTGACCGCAAGATGTAGCTATGAAGGGGCCCACAAAAAATCAGATGGACAGGTCGGGAAAAGAAAGAGGCTTGGCACGAAGCAATCTGACCTTTCCCAGTCCTTGGAGCTGGCCGGTGCGCTGGGTCGAGAGAGCTCGGCAGCGCGGTCCACACACTGCAGATCCAATGGGCTGAGGCCAGCGTTGAGGAACGCCTCCTGGAGCCGCACATATTCCGCGCAGCCCGCCTTGTCCGGATAACGGATTGCAACCTGCATGAAAATGCTGTACCACCAGAATTTAAAATAGGCGCACATCCCAGTCCAAACATCACCCCGCTGTCGTGCAAATCCTCGAATGAACAAAACAACTAGAAAAAAAGCCGACAGCAAACTCACCGAAGCAGGTCGCGTGGCTCGTAGCGCCGCTCCCGCAGCGCTGTCTGAATCTTCTCGAACCGCTCCTGTGCATGTGACTGCGACATTCAAACAACAACAGAAACAGATATGGCGAGGAGGAAGGATTAGCACAGGCCTGGGAGGTATCTAAAACTAGCAGGGTGAAGCTACGGCTGTACCTTGCGCAAAGGATTCAGTGACTTGCTACTCAAAAAATTCTCCAGCTGAGTGCAAGCAGCCGATATCAGACCGGGTGCAGAGTGCTAGGCGAAGACGGGCAGTTCCTTTGCCGCACCTGGAAATCAAAATAGTTGGACTCAGGTGTGCGAAAGAAGCGCTTTGTCACTACTTTTTCGAGCTCCATGATCGAGAGGTAGTTCTATGAACATGGCAACGGCCGCATGAGATAGCTCCAAAGTGCGGTATGCTAGCACGTTGTGATACGACGCGGCAGGAGTGCTTGCCCGCGAACTTGAATGAGACAGCACCCACCAGCTCAATCGTTCGGCACAGTTTCGTGTACTCTGCGTAATGTTGCAAAAATTGCTATCGGACACATGCCCGTGAGTGCAAAATTAAGGCAGATACGATAAAGTAGAATGCTTCAGGCAGGACAAACCTTCATCATGGCCAAGTCATCGGAACGCCCTTGCTGCTTGAGGTCACGCACGCGACGGTATTGTGCCGACAGTTCGCGAAGCCGCTTGAGAAGCTACATCCCCATGGATGGCAAGTCCCACCACAGTGAGGGCGTCGTGCAGGCCAAGGCTGCGATATCATATGGGGTGCTGATCTAACCTGAGGAAATTTGGTAAAGCGAGCACGGCCAAAAAACTCGTCGGCAAAGCTCGTCATGACGGCCGGCTCTTCAACTTCTTTGAGCTCGGCCTGGGCTCGCGTCAGATCCAGGCGGCCGCATGAAAGGCCGTACAACTCGTGCATCATGGCCTGATATGTCCACTATCGCCGCGCGAGAAAGAAAAAACATGCACACACAAAAAGAGAAGAGGCGAGGGTGGAGTCAAGGGGGAAACAAAAACAACTCGGAAGGACAAGACAAAGAGCCGAGAAAACGAGTTTGTGCAGCTAAAACAAGCACCTGCTGGATCGAAGGGGTGACCAGGTCCTGGCGCCGGTCGAGTAGCAGCAGCATGGTGTCCCCCTCTGTTGCTTGAAGAAGGTGCGGCTTGAGCGCCTCGGCTAGCTGTTGGCATTGCCCGCTGTTGCCCTGGTACCTATCGATGGCGCGGAGGGACGCCGGGGTAAGCCGCTACATCGCCACGTGTGGCGAAACCATTTCGACTGGCGTGGGGTCTGGCCCATGCCCCAAGTGTTGTGCGATCTTCAATACCGAAGGGTGGGATGAAGGCCGAGGCCACGAATCACGCTCAGTAGACCATCACGACAACGTGACAGCATGTTGCGCGTTAGCTAGGCGAGCGGGGCAGCGCATCCCATGTGAGATCAAGGGATCAAAGTCGGCACTCGGGATAAGAGGGCAGCCAGCGCCCGGACCGAGCTGAATGAAGATGGGCCAACCTGCTCGGGGTGGTTAAAGGCCCCCAGGGTCTCCAACGAGAAGAGGTTGGTATCCATGGGTAGATAGTCAAGGTTGACCACCTTGATCTGCACAGGTGTATGAGTGAGACCTTGACTTTTGCCCAAGCATGAAGGGCCACGGCAGATGTATTTCGACCCCCTGGGCGACGTACTTGAGCAACGAGTTCGCGGGTGTCGGCTTCGGCCAGCAGTTCAAGGTCGGTAGCGTCCACCTCGTTGGTGAAGAAGATTGCATATGAACGATAATTGGGCTGAGACAGCTCTTGCTGCAGCGACAAAATGTTGCCCTGGCGCCCATGGCGACAGCGACTGAGTGAGTGCGGCGGCGTGTGCCCGAACCTCCGAACAACGTCTCGGAGGACTCACATGAGATGCTCGGACAAAGACAGTGGCGTTGACTTCGGGCATTGGTTCACGCAAACTGGCCAGCTTGTCAACGCTAAACACCTAGGAAAAAGGATGGACAAGATTGAGAGCATTCCATGCGGTCTAGGGCAGGGAGGGCGCGGTGGGGCCAGAGCTCACCTCCTTGTCTGACAGCTGCCTAGTTCGCCACCCATAGACCATTGAAACAAGAGGAAGCTGCGGCCCGCCGCATAGCATGAATAAGCGATAAGGATGGGCGGTACAAGAAGGAAGGGGCAGGATTGTGCACTAAAGTGAAAGCAAGCCCTTGAGCTGCTCACCGTGTCCTCATCGACGAGCATCACATTCAAACCATCCGTGGCCGCGCACAGCTCGTCCAACACGGACCGCGCCAAGTGATAGACGTTCATCTTGTCGGCTGTGCTTCCATCAGCCCTCACGCACGCCGACCCAGCACACAAGCCGTCTCCTCGCGAGCCCCAGCAGGCGCCAGCGGAGCCCCACCCGTCCCCACAGCGAGCCACTCAAGAACCGCGAGCTCCCTCTTGACTCGACTGCCGCTGAACGTCAGCGTCAGTAAACAGTGAATAATTCCTGTTGCTACAGGAAAATCATTCTTTCCTTCATCCCTCTCTCTCTCTCTCTCTCAAAAATCTCTCTCTCAAAACAAAAGTCTCACTCTCAAACTTCTAAAAAAAAATCTCTCTCTCAAAAATCTCTCTCTCAAAACAAAAGTCTCACTCTCAAACTCTCTCTCTAAAAAAAAATCTCTCTCTCAAAAATATCTCTCTCAAACTCTCTCTCAAACTCTCTCTCTCTCTCTCTTTTCTTCTCGAAAGCATTTTTTTTGGTCGGGTTGGGCTTCTGTTCACATGGGCTGACCGCCTCACAGGGGCGGATGGTTGCATGTGCCTGAGGTACCGCTCTTCCAAGCGTGAGGCCAGGGTATTTTTGCAGGACTACATGTGTCTAGCAGTTTAGAGTGCCTGCAGTTTGGCGGTACCTGTCTGGTCGGGATGGAGCTAGGATCACAAGCCACGCCTCGCCGATCCGGCAAGCGCGGGTGAGCGGATCGGGAGTCAACTCGGATGGCGGGCCCTGATGCTGCTGACTCACCTCTGATCTGACCGACTGGGCTTGACTGTGGGGCACAGGTCGTGTGCTTCGCGAAGCTCTACTTCCGAAGACGAGGCGCCCTCTGTGGCACCGGCTGCACCCATGGCGCACGCCAAGCCCACCAACGAGGTTTTTCACGGCAAGGGTGGTCCACAGAGCGGCAAAAAGGTTCGAGAAGAAGGTGAGTCGACGGCCCCTGACCCCATGGCATTAGGCTGGCTGCGTCTTGAGATTGCCTGGACCTGATCATGAATGCGTGTCATCGTGCTGCATCAACAGAAATGAGTTGGTGGACACGCTTCCTCTTGGGCTGACTGAGCTCGTGAGCTGCAGAGTGGAGTGATGAGTCAGACCCGCCATGAGAACTTGGAGCCCACCCTCCGCGAGACGTGCCAGCTGAGGCCTTCTGAGTATGCGTGCGTCACTGCAGCATCGCCAATCTGCCAAGGAATGCCCCTACGCTCACGCGTGAGGCAGACTGGCACACAAAGGCGGGCGGGACGCAAGATTATGATACCTTGTGTGTGCTCTGTCAGCACAAAGAGCCCTGCAGGAGTTTGGCGGAGCTTGACAATTGATGCGACCTGCAACCCCACAAGTTCAGGAACAGCTCAGAAAAGAGACATCCCCAGCGACATCTTCCCAGCTCAAGGGACAAATGCGTTTTGCTAGGCAGGTGGCTGTTCCGAGAGGGCTCTGTTGGGATCGAATTCAAAGTAGGCGCGCTTCAATACGGTTACGTGGCTTCAATGACGCCGCCAGCGTATCGTCATGGTGGTCATTGATGTTTAAAATTGTGTTGCATCTTCAATGTACCCGGCTCCGTTGCGGCCACGAAAAGTCGTGGTCCGCTTTCTGATCGGATTTTGAAGGTTATCTGCATCTACAGGCTGGAACCAGAACGCGACTTGGGCATTGCCAGCAGGGCTGGATTATATTATAATAATGTATCGAGCTTCATTCTTTCCTCTTTCAAGTGCCAGCGCAGAGGGGGCCACCTCCAGGGGTTTGGCTTCATTGGCTTTTGGGGCGAGAGCGACTTGCAAGTTGGACGATGCGACAGGCTACCTACCATTGTGATAAAGTCGAGTGCTTTGGATTGTGGTGTTCACATTCTCAAGCTGAAGGCAGTCAAGCCTGACCTCGCCAAACTCGGGGCGTTGACGTTTGGGGCAAAATACCCGTTGGTGTTCATATGCTCATATGTACATTTACATGTAGTAGTTTCTTGGAAGCTTTCCGTCACCTCAATTGTTAGTGAATTCGTTTCCAAAAAAAAAAAAAAAAAAAAATGAATCCTTTCGCTTGTAATCCGAAGAGTCTTCTATTTTGGTTCCGGCAATGAGCCCGGCGTCGTTCGTGCCGTTCACGCAGACGCTCGTTTGACAAGTGCAAACATGGGTGCCAGCACCCGTCGCCAATCGGTCGGAACCCACCGCGTGCTGCTTAGCCAAGCCGTGCTGCTATTGCTGGCCATCTCTTTAAGCCACGGCGTCGCATCAGTGTCGGACTGTGAGTGCGAGTCAGCGCGTGTGCGACAGCAGCAAGTGGATCAACTCTGTCGCACCTACAGCGCAGAGCCAGCAGCGAGCCTGAGCCCTTCGATCAGTCAAGCCCTTCAAGCCCTCTGCGGTCCTCTCGCAAGTGCCCAACGCATAAACCCCCCACCCGCTGCCGCTTATCAGCTCGACCAACAGGTACCACATCAGTCATTGTGTCTTTATTGAACAGTGGCAGCTTGTGCGTCTTCACAAAGTTCACAAAGCCGCCTGTCGTTGATTGAGGCAGATATCACCGCCGATTGCCCAGCCTCGTCGGTCGACACAACCCAGGCATGACGCTATCCAGGTGAGGCTTCAGTTGCTGATCGCATGGTCATGGATCCGTGCGCTCACCCCCTTGCCGCTGGTGCCGTAGGGGGCCGGAGTCACATTGGCCCAATGCTGGCCTCGAAGTGAAAGCAAGAGCCGAGCCAACTGCAGCTGGTCGCTCGTGACATGGGAAGAGCTCGACTCCACCCCTTCCTGTCGGGCTGATGAGCAGGTCTTGCTAGTTACAGCTCCTTGGACTACCGGTTGCACCGAGGACGCCGGTTTGATGAACATCAGCAGCACCGGCATGATAATAAGCACGGATATCTCAGCCCTTGTTGCCACCTGCCTTTCATCCGTGCCTTGTCGGGTCATGCTGCAGCGCATTGAGACCCTATACATTTACACGCCGCTTGTGCAGGACGGCCTGCAGGCTCTACAAACATTGCTAGCCCAACCTTCGCATTTGACGTCCTTTGGCCTGCGGAACCAATGCGAACACGTCAACAACAATAGCTTTTCGGCTGATATTGGCAATGTCCTTCCTCAGGGATTACTCTGTCTCGATCTTCAAAATCTCTGTTCCGAATACAGAGGCTTCACCTATTCGCTGGGTGCAGGCGCATTCGATGCTTTGCGCCAACTCGAGGTGCTTGATCTGGAATATACGGAGGTAAAGCATCTCCCTCCCAAAATCTTTGATCAACTTCATCAACTCCAAGACTTGGATCTCGGTAGCACGAGTTTGGAGGGATTACCGCCTGGTGTCTTTGACCACCTGCAGAGCCTGAGGCGCCTCGACTTGAGCTCAACGCATTTTGAAATATCCAGCACGGTCTTCAACGGTCTGACCCAGCTGCAATCGCTGCAGCTCCATCACGCTGACGTGGCTCTAGACTCGGGTGGATTTCGCAGCTTAGGCCAACTCGAGGAGCTCAACATATCTCACGCTCGCCCCTCAATTGCTGCGGGCGCCTTTGATGATTTGCATCAGTTAAAGCGCCTTGATATGAGTAACAGTGGACTGACGTCCCTCCCCAACGGCCTCTTTGCCAATGTTTGCCAGCTGCAGGAGCTTGATCTACATGAAAACGTCCTCACAACTCTTTCAGTTGGCCTCTTGGCCTGCGCACGACAACTTCAACTCCTCCGATTGGAAAGCAACAGCCTCACTTCGCTCCCGGCGGGCCTGCTGGATGCTGCTAGTCGGCTGCAAACAATCAGGCTTCAAAACAACGGTTTGATGACGCTCCCAAACAACATCTTTGACTACGCTCGCGAGCTCCAAGTGCTGCACCTGCACAAAAATAGCCTTGCAGCTCTACCTGCCAACGTCTTTCAACACGCCACCATACTTCAGGACCTTTGCTTAGAAGACAACAATCTAGATGCCCTCTCAGATGGCATTTTCAGCACCTTGTCACAGCTGCAAACAGTATCCTTGAAAAGCAATCGACTCACATCACTTCCTGTTGGCGTATTTGTCCATTCGAAGGAGCTGCAATCCATCTTCTTGGACAGCAATCGTCTGACCACGCTCTCGGACCAGACTTTTGGCAGGATGAATCAACTGCAACAGTTGTCCTTGGCCTACAATCGCCTCGTCAAGGTTGAGGCTCGTGCTCTGGAAGGCCTAAACCAGTTGCAAGTACTCAACTTGGCTGAGAATCGTCTCTCAGCACTTCCTCGGGGAGCCTTCGACTCCCTCACACAGTTGCAAATGCTCTTGCTGGATAACAACGCCCTCACTGGTCTTGTGCCGGGGCTCTTCGACCATCTGCGCCAATTGCAAGAGCTAGACCTGATTGGCAACCACCTCAAAACACTCCCCAACAAGGTCTTTGCTGGAACCCCCCAGTTGCGAGCCTTGGCGTTGACCTCCAACCCCATTGAAACGCTCCCTGCCGGCTGGCTAACGCCTTTGAGCAACCTTGCCTATCTGGACATCACCGACTCCAAACTCACCTGGTTGCAGCTTGACCTTACACATATGCCCCGGCTGACGGACCTCCACGTCGGCCGGAATGATTGTCCTTTGGAATTCACAGTCGACGTGAAGCTTGCGCCAGCTGTACAGCTCCAAACACTCGACCTCACAGGTGCCACCATGTCAGGCCTGGAGATCCTAGCTCAGCATCAACTCACGGAGCTGGGCCTTGATTTATCCATGGACGACACAACGGTTACCTTTGATGCCACTCGTCTCAAGCTCGCCAAGCTGACGGTATCCTGCTTCAAGCGCACGACGTCGTTACATCTTGATTTTCCGCCAAAATCTACTCTAACCACGCTTCAAATCAATCACATGCCCAACCTCAAGTCCATTCACCTGGGTGCAAACGACCTGCCCACCATTGCCCTCCTCAACGTGTCTTCCAATCCACAACTGTCGGAGATGAGGTGGCCCGTATCGGACCTTCTTGATATTTCTCGTACCAACATTTCCTGGTCGTCCAGTTTATGCCAAACGGCAGGACGGGTCTATTTTGCTGCCTTGAGCATGATCACGCCATTCTCCTGGCCACAAGTGCTACAACACTGCCTCGATATGGGTGCAGAGGCCATCGACTTCTCAGAGAATGAGATTGCCGATGTCCGGGCCATCGCTGAGGTTTTTGCTTCACGAGTTTTTGTCGGCAACTCGGATGCAACTTGTTTCACTCCTGAGGGGAGCAGCTATGTTTTGGCTGATGGTCAAACGCCAGTGTGCGACTACAACAACTTGCCGTCACTGCGGCTGCACAATGTGCCCTTGCAATGCGGTCTGCATCCTGCCACGAACCTTGTGATTAGCCGAAATTATGGGACACAAGTCCAGACCATCGGCGCGCAAAGTTTTCAGTGTCAATGTTCACCTGGATACGAGATGAGGAAGAGTGGTGGTTGTACTCTAAAGCCACCCCCGGTGTATCAACAGCCATGGTTCGTGGTCCTCATGGTGATGCTTGGCTTTGCCTTGTTAGGTGGCGTGGCGCTGCTCATACAGCGCTCTCAGCAGCGATTGCGATTGACAAACGAGCAACACGAATTGGAATATGGGCTGTTGTCCCAAGCCTACCTCGAGGACGTGGCCGAACTGAAGGAAGCGTGGCGTGTTCAACAGTCCGAGATTGCGCTAGCAGAGCGAATAGACGATGACTCGCCCGGTGCCTTTGGTGAGGTCTGGCGAGCTCAGTGGCAGGGCCTGTCTGTGTGCGTCAAGTTGCTCAAGATGTCAGCCACTCTGGACCTAGCAGCAGTTGAAGACTTCCAGAAGGAACTGGAGTTCTTACAGCGAACGCGGCATCCGCAACTTGTGCGGTTTTTCGGAGCGGGCGATGGCGAGTTTAACGGCCAGAAGAGCGTGCCGTTTTTGGTGCTGGAGCTCGTGCCTTTGGGCTCGCTCCGCTCGCTCCTCCGCGGAAAGCGGCCAGGGGAGCTGAGTCTGCCGCAGCGATTGCAGATTCTGCACGATGTTGCAACGGGGCTGGCCTACCTGCACGAGCTGGGCCATGCGCATCGGGATGTCAAGGCAGGCAACATCCTGATTACCGAGCAGCTTCGTGCCAAGGTACAGACTTTGGGTCCGTCAAGCTTCGGGACCGGGCAGTGCTGTTACACAAGCCACCGAGTCGGCGCAATGGCGCCGTGCCTGCTGACGAGGCTGAGATGTTTGAGTTGAACGATCTTGGGGAGCAGAGCACTGCTGTTGGCACGCCCCTTTACATGGCGCCGGAGGTTCTGACCCTAAATCGCAACGGCGGCTATGCAGCCGCCGTCTTTGCCTTTGGCGTGTTGATGTGGGAGACACTCACTGGGCAAGCACCGGATCTGTGCCTCCAGGAAGGAAGGCAACGCGGTCCGATGATGACGATGCTGTCAGCTCTGCTGGAGGCGGGAAAACGACTGGACATAACGGTCGTGCACGCGCGTTGGCCACACGTCCCTGACACTACAGTGTCACTGATGCAGGCGTGCTGGGCGACTGAGCCCGCAGCTCGCCCAACCCTGGAAATGGCTCTGACCCAGCTGGGCATTGATGACGCGCAGCATTGATGGTTGTTGCTAGTGACACCACACGATCGTTGATCTACGCCGCTTCATCGCCATGGTTCTGCTCTCGACAAGCGTCGTGTTTGATGATGGTATTGAAACTGCCGTTGAGGGTGCGCTGTAAATTCGACAAGCCTCACGCGATTGCACCGAGTGGCCAGTCAAGCTCCGTGATGTGGGGCGACGAAGCCTCGAGTGGTTTGAAGGAGATTGTGCAAACGTCCAGACGTTCTCGAGCCTGACAGATTGAGTGGCTGTCCGGCGGGATGGACTGAGAGATTGGGTGGTGTCACGTCATGAAGTCAATCGAATTGTCTTTCTTCGGCAAAGTACTAACAATGGCGTGGTCAGTGGTGTGTACCGTTCGGAATGGCTTTTGAGTCGCTCGAGCCCGAGGTTGGGGAAGGTGGTAACAACCAGAGAAAACAGTAATAGTCGCGCGCCTGTCTCTTCTCCCAAAATGTGCGACGCAAGCCCAATAGTTTGGTTCGTGTACCAAGGTCGATAAACACGCGTGAAGCCTCTCTCTTGGGGGTCGAGGGCGGTGTCAGATCGGCTGGATACACGCAGCAGGTACCGCATCGAGACCGGGCTCTATGCACAACCGTCAACGCAAAATTTCAAGGGGCTTCTCGCAACGAAGAAGAAAAATTATCGAAAATTGCCTGTAAATTATTGAAGATATTATAGCTATTATCTCGCGCGCTGTGAACAGCGTTCGCCAGCAAAAACCACACGCTCGTGTCTGACTGACATGTGAATCGTTGAGTAGTGGTGGGGTTTGAGGAAGAATACAATTTCACTTGATGAACATTGCCCGGGGGTGGGGATAATAAAAAGAAGAACTTGGGGCATGCAATAACAAAAGGGCGCTATAGTGGAAGAGGGTCGTGTTCTTCAGGGGCCGGGTCAGAGTCAAAGCCTTCCTCAATCCGACTGGCTTCCCTGCGTTGCAGCAGAATACGCCAATCAAAGGTGAATGTTGGAAGAAGTAGAAATACGACGAATAAAAAGCCAAACCGCAACAAGCCAAACACGGTTTGGAAGAGCGAAACACAAACCGAATGGGACGGGTGATATTGTCCAGTGCTTCCGAGCGGGTTCTGACTAGTTGGGCTCCTCCCGCCTGCTGTGAAGCGCCTTCTGTATATGGTCTGCAAAGGTGGATGGCAGACCAAGACCAATCAGCTCCTGGCGCACTGCAGCGCAGCTCCTGGCGACAACCAAACGCACCTTGTCGAGAGGACAGCACGGATGGCTTGCAACCACATGTGGCGATCCTCCTGGGCCTCTGCTTGCTATTTGGTGTGAGACCAGGATGCGCAGCGGGTCAGGGGGTCAAAATAAAAAAAAAAGGCACAAGAAAATGAAAGAGGTCGTGCTGTATGCTGCAGGGCAATCCAACAGGCAAAGTGCAGGTGCAAATTCACACTCGTACCAGGAGGAAGGTTCGTTCCGGTGTGCAAATTTCGAATGCAAACTGGAGGGTAGGATCGTCACGCTCGCCCACGCTCACGCATTCATTGAGGTCAATCTGGCCCAACGGAGGTGAGATACCCTTGGCACGATAGTAGACAATGTATTCGCCGCGCAGATGAAAGTAGCGCCGCTTCCAGGATTTGACCTGCATACAGCAATGGCAAGCGGGATCGTTGATAAGACTGAGCTGCCAGAGATGCGTCATTAAGCTTTGGGAGGTCACAAAACGGCTTGCAGGAAGCCTCGCAACACTGACGCGTCCCCCAAGCTTGGTGAGGTAGCCGGAGCAGTAGTGGGAGCTGGGGATGGATTGTCCCGATTCATTGAGGTTGGGGGCATTAGAGGGGGGTGGGAATTCGGCCTAGAACAGACACGGGGTCAGTGGACAGCGAGGCAGTCAAAATGGCAACGGACGTCAAGTGGAGATGCTATGGTCACCTTGGTGTCGTCTTCATCATTGGAGGAGACAATGCTCGTCGGCCGATCGGCTAAAAGGGTGGGGCCGAGGTCAAGGCCGAGGTCGAGGTTGAGCTTGAGGTGGTCGGCGCCCCCTCCAGTCGATGGGTGACACGGGAAGGTGGGGTTGATGATCAGGCGCTGCTTACCCCCGACTTCGATGCAATCTTGGAGCATGTGAATCCATTCTTCTCGTTCGGACGCTGTGCTGCTCTGCAGCAGATAGGTGCGGCCAGGCATTTCCAGCTGCAGCGGTACGAGATGTGGCATTCAAGGTAGATGAGCAAAGGTCGAAAGAAGGAAAAGCATGGTGCAAGCAGACAAGTGCTCCAGGCAGGGCGTGTCATGGCCAACCTCAAAGCCATATTTGAAGCCATTGTGGGGGGCCAACGCGTCGGCTTCACGGATGGCGATGGCATATCGGGGTTCGATGATGCCCAGGCGGGTGGACGCCTTTTGCGATCAGCAAATGGACAGAAAACAGATCAAATTAAACAACAACAATGACAGGACCAGCAAAATTAGCGATCGATTATGTCGGGAAGGGGAGGGCTGGGTGGCAGGGCATGGAGGGCAAAAAGGGATTGCGGCGATGGCTGACCTTGGCATCTCGGTAGTAAATGAGTTGGACGGGCTTGATCTCTGCATCGTTGAAGATGGTTGGGGCTACCAAGGTGAACCAGCGTTGCTTCCAGTTCTGAGGCCAGTTGACACGACGCGATGAGTTTTGCAGCAAGTCAAGCAAGCACCTCGGCGAGGGCAAGCGTGCGTCAAGATTTGGACTTGGTGTTGTTGTTGTTGCTGTTGTTGTTGAGATTTTGGTTTGTTTTGGAAAGTCATGCATATGCTTTGATGGTGCCGGTGGCGGCGAAGGGAGGAGCGTGCAATCAAGTGACACATGGACTTGCCTTGCGCATACCGCCTTGCTTGACTAGGTAGCCTTGTTTGAGTATCTGCAGCCCAAGGAGGCAGTCCACATGAGCGTTGCCTGTGGGGGCGCGCGCAGCGTTGCAAGTCCATTCTGGTTTTGGGAGCGACAAAGCAAGGAACCTTGGCAGGCAGCGGCATGGTGTCGTGTTGGTCTAGCTTCTTGCTGGCCGCCGGGCGAGATGCTGATTACAATTGCATAGGGTTCGAGACTGCCCAAAGACGCAAATGTAAAAGGTCTGCACGCGATCCAAAGCTCAAACACCACCGCCCATGGCTCTGATGGCGCTGTCTGCGGTGACGCTGGCCCTATTTCGGGACCCGCCGAGAGGTGCGACCAGGCGCGATCAAGCCGTCAGGGTACCACCGGAACCGGAACCGTCCAGGACAGTGCACAGGACGAGTCAGTGGTTGATGCTATGTTATACACATATACATCCGATATCAGGATGTATTTATCTATCACATGTGCCACTGCCTTCCGCCACTGCCACTGCCGTCGCCGTCGCCGCCCACCAGGACAAAAAACTGCTTAGATGGACACAAACAATTTCAGAGAGAGGAGTGAGAGAAGAGAGATTGAGAGAGAGAAGAGAGAAGAGGATGAGAGAGAAGAGGAGTGAGAGAGAAGAGGAGTTAGAGAGAAGAGAGTGAGAGAGAAGAGAGTGAGAGAGAAGAGAGTGAGAGAGAAGAGGAGTGAGAGAGAAGAGAGTGTGAGAGAGTTGTGAGAAAAAAGTACACACAGAGTGTGAGAGAGATCTTTGGTATAAATTGAGGGGGTGTTTTGAGATTGAGCTACAGTGAGGGCAGGTCACCCAATATCATGTTTCAAGCATGCTTTTGGGCACGGGGCACAGACGGGTGTCATTGATCAAGTGCTTGCCAACACTAGGGGTATGGTGCTTTCTTGTAGTTGTCATAGGGGAATGAATGGTCGAAAAACAATCGATTGATTATGTTCCTTCGGAGATACAGGCGAGGCGCGAGCAGCTCCTTAATCGACGCAGACGCAGACGCAGCGCACACAAGAAAAGTTTTTCAAACACAAACGAGAGCACCAGGTAAACCACCTCGAGGTGGTTCTACCAATGCCTCAGTCCCACGCAGTGGGTAGGTGGCAGGCACACAGGTGCAACAGACAAACAAGGCGACAAAGACGGTACAGCAGGTAGCACGGCGCCATACCGCTGCTCACTCTGAACAGAGCAAACGCAACGCGCGGGTCACTATCAACGAGCACAGCTCGCTTGCTGGCAAGGTCACACTCCACAAACAACTTTAATCGACAAGGAAGACTCGCAGAGCCAAACGGTGAAGCCAAGCAGGAGCTCAGAGGCTCGCTGCCAACCTGACACCAGGTGCAACAAATGCAGCAAATGAAACAAAAAAGAAAAGGAAAATGGGCATCAAGGCCAGAGCATAGCGGCCATCGTGATCAGCTCAGTGGTATGCCAGGCAATTAGACAAAGATGACGGCAGAGTTGCGACGGGAAAAGGGCGCCGATTGGGACGGGTCCTTGACCCAATCGTCGGCGAAAAAGGGAGTCCGCTCGACCCAGCGGTCCATTTTTTCCTCCAAGGAAAAGGGCTGAGCGGCATAACACTCGAGGGATTCACGACTGAGGCGCGAAGTGGTGTCGGCCAGGCTGGGTGGGGTGGACGAATCACGCGAACTGTTGTCAGCGGCGTGATGCGCGTGGTGTCCGTACTCAAGGCCACGGCGATCAGTGTGCTTTGCGGCCGAAATGTTGGCTGACCCTGAACGATGGCGATGAAAGGGCAATCTGGAGGTGACATAGAGGGGCAAGGGCAAATAAGGACGCGTGAGACTCACATCGGCGAGCAGATGGATCAAGGCTGACAGAGAAACGCACAAGAAGAGCAGCAGTACGAGCGTGGGCCGCCGATGTAACTCACTTCTTGACGGCGCGTGAGAGCCAGTTGGGGGACTTGGTGTGGCCAGCCATGCTGTCGGTGAGAAAGGGCGGGAGAAGAGGCAAGCTATCTGATTACAGCTTCAATGTAAAGATGGCAGCGAGGCAATATGGCGGAGCGATCAAGAGAGTGGGGGAGGGGCGCGGAGCAGATTGCTTAAAAAAGAAAATGCCGACTACACGAGGGCACGAATGTTGATGCAGTGGGGGAGCTGAGGCGCGGGAGAGTGGGCAAGGGATGTTGTTCCCGAAGCTGAGAATAAAGTTGTGATCTGCGTTGCTCAGCGGGGTGATGATCGCAGGTGATGGCGACGCCGTCAATCTTAAACGAGTGGGGGTGGAAATTAGCGTGTGGGAGGTGCAAGGGGTCATCGACCGAGATGTGTGTGTGGCTTGTACGTGGCCAGGTGGGATCGTAACGTAACGACCACCGATGCCCCATGTCCCACCACACGTCGGGTCACCTTGTCGATTGAGGCGTGCAGGCGCAACCACCCGGCAACAAACTGGTCTGGCTGTCCCATCGGCAGAGATGGGAAGCAATTCTGGCTGAGTTCAAGAGATGTGAGCAGACATTGGAAGCCAGTCAGAGAAGTACCCGAGTCACAGTGTCTTTGTTGTGTAAATCTCTTGGTGAAACCAGAGAAGAGACAACACTCAAACCATGTGCAAGAGGTGCAATCCACCACGGGCTTCATGTCAGAGACGCTGCTCCAACGCGCTTATCAACTGCATGCGTGCATGACCGCGCCAGCAGTACGACTCATTGCAGTAAAGTCGTCATCACACACACACACACGATGTGGTGTTACGTGTGTTGTAAGGATGCGTTGCAACGGCAACGTCATCACACAAAGACACACACGGCTGCATACAGGCACGAGCGCGCTTGTTGGCAATGACTGTTCTGGAATGCTGTAAATACAAGATGTTGCTTGGCCGGAACACATGTTGCAGGAGCCAAGAGTCTTTGTTGGGACTGGGATCGAGTCTCCCAGTCTTCAATGTTCTGGGCAGAGGACGGGGGAATTGGCAGTCGGCGTGATCCAGAGACACAAAAGGGCAGAGCGGCAATGGCACGCCAGGGGTGCCGCTGGCCCGTCTGGCAGGCCATGCCAGCTTCTGCTCCTGTTCCTGCTCGGTCCGTTGACGGCGCTGCCGACCATCCTTCTTTGGTTATTGTTGTTGTTACCCACAACAATAACATGCCGATCTGTCATCCATGGAATACCGTCAGCATCTTCTGTCCAGAGAGAGCGCCAAACGTCACCTCCATTCCAAGCGTAACCCAAAGCAAAAGTCAGAGAATGTATCACTCCACCGCCACTACCCGAGAGACCCCAACGCCCCCCTGGGTGTCCGCTTGAAGCGCTTGTGTACGTTCTTTGGCTCTGCGGGTTGCCCTGTCTTGGTGCTTCTCTCTGGTTTGGTTAGCCAATTCAAAACTTTCTCTACAATGGAATTTGGATCTCCCTCTTTCTCTGTTAGACCTTGAATTTCGTGTGGTGGTCCGTCATCGCTTTATCAATCTCTCTGCCAAGTGCACGCGTCGTGTCCCTCTCTCTTGTCCCTTCACGCCCACATCGGCATCCCTCTTCCGCGCTCATGTTCTCCCCACTCTCTCTCTCTCTCTCGTGCGCGGGGCGGCTTACTTACGACTGACAAGACTGGACGGAACGGCAGCGTGCTCTTCCTTGGCTGCCCAGTTGATGCCGAATGATATCCCTGGCTCGTTGTCTACCCCACGGTCTTGCGTTGGAATAAAACTCTTCCAGGTAGGCCCTCCTGACATGCGCCGGGGAAAAGAACGAGCGTGTCTGCCGGACTGCCATGAAAGGACTGGCTGACGTGCGGACACACACACACACACACACACACACTCTCTCTCTCTCTCTCTCTCTCTCTCTCTCTCTCTCTCTCTCTCTCTCTCTCTCTCTCTCTCTCTCTCTCTCTCACACACACACACACGCGCGCGCGCGCATCGAAGCTTCCCCTTCACTCGCCCTTGCCTCCTTGGTGCCCTCTTCTGGTTGAGCACAGCCCGTGCAGGCCCAGGAGGGGTTGACTTACTGATCAAGCATTTAGTGCTGTTTTCCAAAGGTGCGCGACCGCCTGACATTGTTCCTGTTTATGTTTTGACCGCCGCCCTTTTTTTCGAGACGCGAGTCAGCTTTCAAACTCCCATCTCGTGATCTGGACGTGGCTGATCACATGACATGTCTGGCCCAACGGGAGCGGTCGTTCGGGCATGCACGCTTCCGCGCGCGGTTGGGGTTTAGTTGCTCTCTGTGCCCATGGAGCGCGCTCCAAGGACTCACCCGCGCTGCGCTGCGCGTGTCGATCTGCTCGCAGAGTCAAGAGTCCCAGTGCCGGTGCCTCGCCGCATTTCACCAGCGCCATGGCCACCAGCCCGGGAGCAACGCGGCGCCTCTCCATCATTCGGTACTGCCTTGGCTTCTTCAGACACCACCGCCTTCACCCCAGTTCCCACAAAGCCCGGAGCCAACCCGACCGTCCTTGTCGACCATCGAGGCACTCATCGCTGTGACCCTGCGCCTGTTCTCCCACTTCTACAGCTCGGGCTCCGACGCCTCCCTTCCGCCCTCGCCCAATGTGCGCCGTAAAATGCATGCCAAGTTTCTCGAGGTTGGTGTTTTTTGATTTTTGACCCTTGCGCCTCGACTCTCGGCCGTTGCTCGAGTTTTCGCGTCCTGCCCTCGCCTCCTCTTTGACAAAGCCCGTGCTCTCCACCCGCAGGAAGATCTGACGGCCTTTCGCTGCGAGGATGGCAGCGAAACTGACAGCTCCCTGAGTCACGACGGTGGGCAACATGTCTCTAGCTTGCTTCGCGGCCGGTGATGCTCGCTCTGCCTCTGCTCTTCGTTCGCCATCTCACAGTCACCTCGTCCTCTCTGCCATAGCCATCATGACTTCGGTCCTCCTCGAGAACCCCGAACGCGAAACGCGGTGGTACTTTCGCTACTTTCTGGGCAAGGACCACGCCAACCTGGCCGCCACCATCGTGGGCCCCGAAGGCCCCGAAGTCGTTCTCCTCTCTGTTCTGCAAGACGTTCGTCTCGCCCTCGTCTCCACCCTCTTTGAAGCTCTCACAAATTCTGCCGGCGCCTACCGTCTATATTTTATCCAGCTGGCCATTTGCTTTCTCATCTCCTCGTGCTCGGGGCTGAATCGTGGCACAGATTGAGGACAACCACGTCAAGACAATCTTGTGGCGCGCGTCTGGCAGTGAGCACATGACCTTTACCATCGACAAAGTCGTCAAGAGTTCACGACAGTTTGACTTTAAGACCATCTTTAGTGGCTTTGATGTTGCCCTGGCCGACCGACCCATCGAGGAGCTTTTGGGTGCGTTCTTTCCTGATTTCCTGAGTTCCTGTTTTCAACTGGTCTTGCAACCGACGTGCAGTCAGTCCAGAGTCAGTTCTTTGCGCTCATGCCATGCCCTGCCGCAAACACGCAAACACACACCCACACACACCCACACCCACCCACACATACCCACACACACCCACACACAGATCCCAACGTGCAGCAACGTCTCCTCATTCTCGAGGAGCAGGAAGGTGCCGTCAACTTTAAAATTGGCATCCTTTACGCTTTGCCTGGACAAGAGACGGATGATGACATGTTCAGCAATGAGCACGGATCGCCGGCCTTCAATGAGTTTTGCTCGCTGCTTGGCGACAAGGTCGAACTCGAAGGCTGGGCCAATTTTCGCGGAGGGCTCGACGTCAAAGCTGGCTCCACCGGCACTCATAGCCACCACACCACAGAGTTTGGCAAGGAGATCATGTTCCACGTCTCCACCCTGCTTCCTTACAGCAGCGGCAACCGTCAACAGGTCTGTTCAATCTCAGTCCAACCTTATGATGTCCTGACTCTTGAGCTGCTTTTCCTCACATATTGTTTTTTCCGCACAGCTGGAACGCAAACGTCATCTGGGCAATGATATCTGTAACATTGTTTTTGTCGACGGCGAGTTTACCGGCTTTGATCCCACCAAGATCAAGTCTCAGTTTAATCACGTCTTTGCCGTTGTGAGCCGCAACCCAAAGGATGAAACGTATACCGTCCGGGTACGCCTCGCCTTGCCTCGCCTAGCCTCGCCTTGGCCCGCGGGCGTTCATCTCTCGCGCTGCCATCTGTGTTGCCCACCCTGATTTCTCACCGATTGTGCTCCAATCTCGTTGGCGGCCTCCAGATGTACATCAAGCAGAGCGTAGCTCAGTTTGGCCCCGCACTGCCCAATCCTCCTTCCTTCAAAGACCCAAAGCAGTTGCGGCGTTTTCTGCTTGTCAAGCTTCTCAACGGCGAAAAGGCTGCGCTAGCTGCCAAGCAAGCCACGTTTGCCAAGAAGCGTGCACGCACCCTGCAGGCGCTCATTGAGAGCATTTATGCCGATGCCAAGTCAGCCGGCCTCGTCGCGAACATCACCAGCTCGCGCACGGGGCGCTCCAAGCGCATCTCAAAGCCCGTCACAGATTTTCGTGCCAAGGGCCAAGCCATCAAAGTTGATAAAATTCGCTCCGGTGCGGCCCCCACCAGTACGCTGAGCAATTCGGGCGAGGCCTCTGCGCTCACCGAGCCCTGGACTCCCATTTGCATCACCACCGAGTTTCCGCAACAACTCTTCTGCGGTGATCAATGGGATGGCGACCTTCTTGTTGCCACTGAAACTGGCGTCTACCTTGTGACCATCGGTGCGTTTTGAGAACTTGAAGAGCGCACTTCTGCGCCTTGGTCTCAAAATCCCATGATAGTCTACGCCTTGCTTGAACCGCCTGGTGGTTGATCCGCACCGTCTCACCTTTCTGTCCTGGTTGGCTGCTTCTGGGGTAGGATTGCATCGGAGTGGAGAGCTGAACATGGCGTGCATCATTGACAACAGTCTGACCGTTGCACAAATCTCCGTGGACGAGCGCGCAGGCTTTGCCATCTTTCGCACCATCAAAAGCTCAGACCTGGCCGCCAGCAATGGCAGCGGCGCGTCCACTCGCAAAAATGCCGGTCGAGGCTCGCAGCTCTACATTGTGCCACTTGACCACCTTGTGCAAGCCCGGCGGGACCAAGTGCCCCTGTCCAAAAAGAGCCTCAAGTCTTTTGTCCTTCCCGAGGCCCGCGGCTGCCATCTTTTTGCCATCAAAATGGGGAGCTCCTCCACCACGGCCTCCTTTCTCAAGCAGAGCTGCAAGTTGGCCGTAGCTGTCGGCAAAAAAGTACGATCTCTTGTCCCCCTCCCTGCTCAGCGTTCTGTTGCGTGGCACGCATGTCGCTCCATCACACTCTTTTCCGCGGCCCCCTTGGTACGGAGACTGATCCCACTTCCTGACTCGACTCATGTTAGATTAAGGCCTTTGCCTACGGTGCTGCCGGTTCGGGCTTGAGCGGGCAGTTTTCGCTCATTGAGGTGCGGTTGGGATGGGCTCTCGTTGCCAATGCTCCACTCTTTCTGCATAACGCTTGGGGTTTGCGGTCTTTGCTGCTTGCTAGGAATTCACCTGCAGCGATGTGGTCATGTCTCTGGCCGTGGGCCGAGGCCAGCCCGGTAGCTCTGGCCAGGTGGGTGGCAGGGCACGATTTATATGAGTTCTCTCAGTATTGCTGCTCTTTCATTCGACATGATCGAGCTGATACCCTCACGTGATACCGTCACGCTCTTCTTGGTTTCGACCATCGGCTTGTGCACTTAGATTTGTGTGGGATTGGTGTCGGGAGACTATCAGCTCTTGAAGCTTCAAGAGCCATTCGAGGTCAACGTTCTCATTAATGCTGACGACTATGCCCACCACCTCGAATCGTACTCCTGCCAAGAAATCGTTGAAGCAGAGGGTGACAATACCTACGAGTACATGTTAGGCTATAACCGGGTGCGACTGCCGTCCCCATGTTCGCACCTGGTCATTGCCACTATGGCCCAGCACAACCCCAATCCAAATTTCGCTGGCAGTGCCCAAGTGTTTTCTGACTGCCCTCCACGTTTTTCATTTGTAGGCCACGGCCTTTCGTGAGCACAATGGTGCTGAAACACGCGACTTTGAAATCCAATGGCGCTCACAACCGCAAGCTCTCGGTACGCCATTTCGCATTCCTCCATGCAAGTGTTGTCGTCTTGGTTTCACCATCCTGTCTTCTCGGCCCCGTGCAATGCAGTATATGTGAACCCATACATCTTGGCCTTTACCCGCGATGCCATCCATGTTGCCACGCTCATCAACGGCAATCTTGTCAAGGTACAATGCGCACTTTCTGCCTCATTGAAGCTTTGCCAGCGTTGCAGACGGTGCGCCGTCCTCCTTGCTGCTTGCTCACGTCACCATGCCAGTCCCTTGCGCTGCCCAATTGCCGACACTTGACCGGAAAAGTGGATGTCTTTTTCACCTCCATGACAAAGGAGGGCAACCTTTCGTTGTTTTGCATTCCACGTCTCAACTTGAGCGGGCGCTCACCAGCCTCGGCAACCTTTGACGCTCTGCCCACCCATGTTGTGGTGCGTCAGCTCTCACCGCTGCAGTCCATCGTTCGCCTAACTTGTCATCTATCTGCTTGCTCCCGTGTACTCATGATCTGCCGCAACTTGCAATCTCTCGCCTGCCAATATTCTTGCTGCAGGGGCGGGCTTATGTGCGCAAAATGAGCATTGACAATTTTAGCGATGCCGTGCGCTCTGCACGCGAATCTGTTGCCGAACTCTACGTCAATGAACCAGCGAGTACCGCGCCTGCCTTCAAGACCCTGGTCGAAGAAGACTAAGCGGTGCTTACCCAATTACTACTGGGGTCTAGCAAGACTCGACCTTTGTTGCTGTGCATATCTGATTTTTCCTTTCTGTTTTGGTTTTTTTCAAAGGGGGTTTGGAATTTTGGAATTGTTTGGTGGATGTATCTTTTTTTCCCATTCTTTGGTTACTTTGGTGTCGTTCTTTTTAAAAGGTCCGGTTTTATCTCCGACGTTGTCCTGAAGAGTTGTCGGTGGTGGCCAAGCCCAGGGTCAGCAGTCGCTTCTCAATCCAGTTTTCTCCGCTGCGCGGCGAGACTGGTGTTTTTTCCCACTGCTCCCTGCTGGCGGTGTATCGTTGCGGTCCGTGGCCTCGGCCCACATTGCATTTGACGAGAATTAATTTAGACTTTGCTATGACGGATGGCAAACAATCAAAGCTTGTCAATTCAGACAAGAGAAAGAAGAGAAGAAAAACGCAATAGAAAGAGGAGATGAGAAAACATCATGTCATCAGAAGGTACTGGCCTCCTCCTCTGACACAAACAGTGATGGGAAACTAAAGGGAAGAATAGGGAAAATCATAAAACAAAGCCGGAATGCAACACACACACGTGCTATGAACACTGGTTTACGTGTGGGCAGCCGGCTTAGCTAAAAAGTAATCTGGGTCACAACTCTCCTATTTAACCTCAAGGATCTCCGGAACCTTTTCAATCACAACAGCGAGCAAGCGGTCTATGTAGGCGCGAAGCGCATCGTTGGTTTCAGCTTGACGCTGAACACGTTCAAAAAGGTCATCTCGGGAGGCCCCATTCAGTTCGGCAGCCAAGGAGTCGGCCTGGCGTTCGGCCGCAATTTCCATGCCGGCCTTGACAAAGAGGCGATTGTATTCTCGTGGGTCACGCAGGGCTCGCTCAAGCTTATGGTATTCCTACAACGCAACCACAAACGGAAAAGGAGATCATGAAATTAAGTTTAATGTCGGAGGCCATTCGAGTCGCAGTCCCGAGGGCGTCGAGACGTACATCATCCCGCTTGCTCAAAGCAGCTTCGAGCTCTTGGCGCGAGGATTCCGACTCCTGCCGGTGATCGTCCAGCTCGGCCCTCAAGGCTGCCAGCGTATCCTGCAACTCCGTAATCTGCGCTCTTCCCGTGAGCAGAAAGTGCCATGCAACAAGGGTTGCGCATGAAGTCACGATCAAACAACAACAACAAGCACGGGAACACACCTCCTCGTGAGCACGGGCATTGAGCGCCTCGACGGTGTGCTTGAGTTCCAGCTAAGATGATGCAAAGCGTGAGTCAATGGCAAAGTTGCAGTCAGGGCAACCTATTCGTTGTGGTGAGCAGGCTTTGCAGCCCTGTCTGACCTCAGCACACTGGCTCTGTTCTGCCAGCTCACGCTCACGACGAGCCGTCGCCTCATCGAGTTGGGTCTGAGCCTGGACGAGGTCCGCGTGAAATTGATCAGCCTTGTGTTGCAGTCTAGTTGAGTAAGCGGTGCGCGTTGTACCACGAGGCGCAACAAGGTCAGAGTGACGGCAGGGCCATGGGCACCGAGAGGAACTGTTGAGAAAACCCAGGACAGCAAACATACTCGGATTGTTCGCGTTTGCATTCCTCAAATTCAGCCTTGATGCTTGTTTCTGCGGCCTTGGCCAGTTGTAATTGCTGCTCCAAAGCGGTGATGCGCTCACTTGTTCGTTGCTCGACTTCCGCCTGCGGCGCGCGGTGGAAGAATTTGGACCAAAACGTTGAGCCACTCGGCTGGTTTGAGAGACCGATGACAGAGCTACGAGTGTACACCCACCTTTTCGGCGCGAAGCTTGGCGACGGCGGTATCTCGTTCGAGGCGAGAGCTGCTGCGCGACTCCTCGTCGACGAGCGTGAGTTGTTGCTCGTAGTCTTCGCATTGTTGTTCCAGACGAGCCAAGCGCTGCTTGAGCTGCTCATTCTCCGTGTGTGTCGCATCTCTGCTCTCGCGCAACTCGCCCATTTCACGCTTCAGCCGTTCATTCTAAAGCGGGGCGGGACGGTCAAGGCGATAGAACGTGGCAGGCACGAGTCAAATCGTGGCTTTTCGGTGCATCTCTGTGTTGGCACGCTTACCTCTTGTTCAAGCTGTTCAGAAACATGCTCGGTCACTTCAGGAAAGACTGCACCATTGGAACCAGCCTCAAGCGGTGATGATCCTCCATTGCTAGCAATAGTAGAGGCTCGGCGCATAGCCGGCGAGTTGCTGTGGGTTGGTGTGCGAGCCGTGGGGATCAATGCAAGGCGCTCGGGGTACTCGGGGTGCTTGTGAAAAACAAAAGCGGGTCTCCAACGAGGCGCCAATGCGGGCGTACCGAGTTTCCGAGGGCAATGAACCCTCTGATTCAAAGGCAGGCTCGGAGGCGCGGCGCTCAGGTAGTTTGCGTCGCGTTAGCCGTGGCGTTTCGGCGGGCTAAGCAAACGCCACCTCCAATGAGTCACAGAGGAAACAGGGAGGCTGGAACGCCAAGCGGCCGAGGGTATAGTCCCCACAAGGGGAACACATACGTACCCGGCCTTTGAGGCGCTTGATGCCCTTGGCAAAGGCTGTAAAGTCCAAGAGGCCTGTCCCTGCCGTGTCAAGTTTGCTCAGCGAAGCCAGATCCTGTATGCAAGTAAAAGGGGGGTGGCGAGTGAGGGTGAAGGTGAGGGTTCGCCTGGTCATACACGGACAAAGCTAAATAAACACGTGACGCGTGGACCTGTGCATACTTGATAATTCATGCTCTTGGCAAGCTCGAGGAGACGATCAACGCGGACATGCTCGTCTCCATCGTCGCACATCTGCTGAAAGACATCATAGAGCTGGTCGTCGGAGATGTCCATCGCGGCAGATTTGGCAAGCGTCGCACCACCTCATCCAACTAGGTCTTGGCGTGGCTGGCGTCCAGCTCCTCCTCCCCCGGCAAGGCTGGAGGGTGGGTGTGCGCTCAATTGGACAGGTCATTGTGCCTACGTGAGTTGAGCACCACGAGCGGGATGAAAAAAGGGGGCGTCCAGCCCACCACCAGCTCACGCGCAGGCTTGTCAAACATCCCCAGATCAAGCACGGCATACCCGTTTGCACGCCTGCAGGTAAGATATCCCAAAGTCTGCGTACTTTGTACCTGATCCCACTCAGCAGCAGCAGCACCAGGCAGCAGGTACCAGGCAGCAGCAGCACCAGGCAGGTGAAAAGAGAGAGAGAGAGAGAGAGAGAGAGAGAGAGAGAGAGAGAGAGACAGAGAGAGAGAGAGAGAGAGAGAGAGAGAGAGAGAGAGAGAGAGAGAGAGAGAGAGAGAGAGAGAGAGAGAGAGAGAGAGAGAGAGAGAGAGAAAAGTCACAACAACAACAACAACAAAACCCAAGAAGAGGCATGAAAAGTATTTTACTACAGCAGGGCTGTCCGCTAGAAAACAAGCCCACATTTAGTAATTAGTAAAATACTTTCTTGCTATAAGCTCACACTCAACTCCAAAAAAATTCGAATTGTGTGCATTTGCGTCAACGGCAGTGACTTGTGGCAGGTGGCCGGCCGCGATAGCGGTGATAGGGCGAAGGGCTGGAGTAGAGACGCGGTATCAAAGGGAGTGCTCGTGTGTGTGTGTGTGTGTGTGTGTGTTTGCGTAAAACGGGCTGTGCGAGTGCGAGGTGGTTAGAGTTTTTCAACGACCCTCGGCATGTTTCGGCGCAAAAAAATGCCCGAGTCTGGTACGTACGATGACTTTGCTCGCTCTGCGATGGCGGGCGTCGTTGCTTCGGGGCCACTGCTCCTCTCCTCATGAGACTGCTTTGTAACAATATCTATCTATCTCGGCTGTGCTTTGGCGATGGTTGGCATGGATAGCCACGGCTTTGCCCGAGGCGGCGAAGAAGACCTTTGCTCGGGGCGTGGATCAAAACAGTGCGTCGCCCCTCTCTCTTCTTCCTGCCAGCTTGGCTTGGGACGCCGGCCCTAACCCTGGGTGTGCTTGGGATCTGTGCTGCCATCAGTGAAAATCATCCTGCGCGGAGAGCGTGGAGTCGGCAAGTCCACCCTCTTTGCCCGACTACAGGGCAAACCCGTACCCTCTTCTCATCAAGAGACCAGCGAGATCCAGGTTGGTGTCCTCCTGTTTTTGTTTAATCTTACTGCTTCACATGCCACTCTCACGCGACAGCCGCCATTTGCATGCACACTCAAGGTGACCAACATTCCCTGGAAATACAAAAACTCGGCTGGCGTGGTCAAGGTGAGCAACCTGGATTTGTTCCCGCCCCGTGGGACAAAACAGTATGCACCGCGTGGACCTGCGACGCTCACCCTTTGCTGCATGCCAGGCCGAGATTTGGGATGTCGTGGACAAGGGCAAGCCCAGCAACAACAAGAACGTGCCGCTTGATGAGGTTCTGCTCATTCTTGTACCTGCCAATTTCCTGCTCCCTGCTTGCGCCTCCCCTGCCATCCACTCGCCATTCTCACGTGCACTTGGCGCATTGCCATGCACAGGACACCCCCATGTGCCTTGATGCCAGCTTTGTTGACGTTTACAAAGGTAAACGACCAGATGCCAGATGCTCGTTCCCACGTCAGCATCTCAATGAACCTGGCGGCCACCCCTCATGCGCCACCCTTTCCACAGGCACGCATGGTGTGATTCTGCTTTGCGACGTGACCAAAAAGTGGACGGTCGATTATGTGATTCAAAAGATCGCCGACGCCCCACCCAACATCCCGACATTGATTCTGGTAGGTGCTCGGACTTGGATCGCCACCTCTTTCTTGTCTACCCTCTTCAACCTTCTTGCACAAGTTTCGCCTTGATCATTCCTGCACCCCCCGACCATTAGGCCAACTTTGTGGACAAGCAAGAAGGCAACAGCGTTACGGTCGACGAGATTCGAGGGCGGCTGGAGGAGATCCCGCGACCAGCCAACGCCCCTCCCATCCACATTTGTCGTGCCAGCCTGGCCAACGGTAATGCCACCCTCCCTCTTGCACTGTGGCACTCGTCCGGATTGAATCTTAGCTTGGCTTCTGGTTTAGCCTGGCTGTTGCTTCAGCTTCCTTTTTTTTCTCTTTCTTTCTTTCTTTTTTTTTTTTTTTTTTTTTTTTTTTTTCTTTCTTTTTTTTTTTTTTCTTTTTGTTTTCTGTGTCAAGTAAACACATTGGAGTCGCTCGTCTCACGTCGATGTTCGCACGAATGCAGACTTTGGACTCCACTACGTCAATCGTTTTTTTGCAGCGCCTTATTTATTCGTCACAGTACGCAGCCCCCATCTTTGAATCCCCGTTCACCCATCATCAATTCCACCGCCTCGACGCTGGATAACACAGTCCTTTGTTTGCTCTTGCACCTGCCTTTGCGACAGCGGCAATGGCACGAAGCACAGCTGGCGCGCAATAAGGAAGAAAATGCACGGGTTGAGGCTGAGCTAACTGAACACGGCGCCGATTCGGAAGAGCAGGACTTTACAAAGTTGGTCCGACTGTGGGGCGCAATACTTTCTCAGTGTGACCAAACGAGGAGCCGTCCACACGTGCCTCACTTCTCTTGCTTCTCGCAAACTGCTGTGCAGGTTTATGCAGCGCCGCCAAGAGCGTATGCAGGCTCGACAAGGGACCGCAGAGGCTGGTACGGGGTCTATGCTTTGGTTCTGCACAACCCGACGACATGCGATATATTTCCACTTTATCAGCCTCATCGACTCTTGTGCTGTGCAGCATCAACTTCTCCGCCCGCCGTCGAAGGGGCTGAAAGTGGCCATTCCAGTCCCAATCATGCTTCGGCAGCCACCAGTGCCATGCCCAGTATGTGCTAGCCACGCCCCTCGTCTGTGAGCTTTCTTTGCTTGCAAACTCACAATTGTTTGGCCTTGTGGCGCTTGAATTGCAGGTCGCAGCGCTAGCATGGGTTCGTCGATGTTGTCAAAGTTTCGCACATCTTTTATGCGCAACCGCTCCAAAGGTGAAGTCAGCAATGGCCATGCAGGTGCGAGCGGTCGTTGTCTGGAAGTGCCATCTTTTCCATCTTTCTGCGGGTCGCAGCCAGCCATTCAGTGCCATCACTCACGACCCTCGTGTGCATCGGACTTTGGGCACGATGCGTAGCTGGTGCTCAGGGAGCAGGCGCACCTGCAGCTGCCCCCGAGCAGGTGGGCTCGGTGGACGACTTCAAGCCAGGTATGCCCAGCTGCCGTCTCGTCTGTGCTGAAGCATACTCTTACACCTTGCTTTTACCTCAACCCACTTGGTCTGGTGCGCTTATATTCTTAGCCGAAGCATTGCCGGACGATTTTTTTGCCGACTTGAGCGACGAGTACGTCACATCGCCCCCCAGTTGGCATGCTCACACCTCCTCGTTTGGCCTACATGTGTAGTGTTGCCTCTTGACCTCGTGCCTGGCGTCTGCTCCCTGACTTGTTTTTTTCCTTTCATGTTCTTAGCCCATCTCAATCGGCATCAGCAAAGCCGTCGGCGGCAGAAGCCTTTTATGAAGACGACGACGACGACAACGACAACCCGCTCGTTCAAGTGGCTGCAGATACTGATGAGCTGGATCTTGGCCATGAAGACGCAGTGTCTTCCGATTCTGAAGATGAAGCCGAGACTGTCAAGTCTCAGCCAAAGTCCAAATCCACCAAGCCCAAGTCCCCAATCGTCGAGGCGAGTCAACCGGTGTGTCTTACATATCACATATCAAACACTCATTCAACAACGCAGCACCATGGCCCTAACCTTCCACTTGCGTTTCGTCAATGTGTCAATGTTCTGGTATGCTTGGTGGCAATCAGACCTCTACCGGCGGTGCCAGTGGCAATGCGTTTGCCGACGACGACGACAGTGATGATGAGGTTTGTGCCGGCTTGATTTTGCTGCGGGCCTAACGATGAGAGTGTTCAGTAGAGCGTATCGTTAGAGTGCTAACGTGCGAATGGGCTGGCGGTTGTTGCCAACGCATCGCAGGGGGAAAACCCCCTGGTCGTCGTGGCTGTCCCTGAGGAGGATTCAGATGAAGAAGAGCCGTCTGGAGTGCGCCCCGAGGTGGCTGCAGATGATTCAGATGTGGCCTTTTCGGATGATGATGAAGCCCCGTCCATGTTTGCTCACCTCAAGCCCCAGGTTCCACCGCCAACTGCAGTCACTGCCGCGCCTGCTGCTCTCGATCCGGTATGACGGCGGCTTGCATGGCTCTTGTACTGTTGAACAAGTTGCTCATGCGTGTGCTTCATTCTGCTTGGCAGGTCGAAGCGGCGCCAGTGGTGGATCTGGGCCACTTGACGCTATCGTCTGTCGTGGATGCAGACGAATTCTATGGTTCTTCGGGAGATGAGGACACACAAAATGTGCTAGTGGCCCAGAACAACGAGCCTAGTTCGACTGAGGACGAAGATGCTGAGACACCATCGTTGTCAAAAGCTGCTGTGCCTGCAGCAACCGAGCACGATTTGGCCTCGGCAGCCTTTGACTTTAACCCAGCAACCGATGTCTACACGGCCCCACCCGAGTGAGTATGCCTTTCGAACTAATCGGGCGGTCTACTCCTGCAGCAGTTTCAAAACATCATCTCTTCCGCCACTCACTCCCTTTGTCACGTGCGTATTATGCAGAGAAACCGGCAGCCCTTCTGGGGAGAAGAAGAAGAAGAAGAAGAAGAGCAAGGACAGTGAGGTGGCTTCTCTTGATGCGGAAGCGGCCGAGAAGAAGAAGAAGAAGAAGCACAAGCACCGGACAGAACGCGAGGGTAGTGACGAAGGCGACGATGACAATGGCAACGACAGTGATGGGGCCTCAGACAAGAAGGCCAAGAAGAAAAGCAAGGACAAGGATCGTGATGGCAGCGAGCGCAAGAAGAAGAAGAAACACAAGCACAAGCATAGCCACAGCCACCGCGACTCGGGCTCGGATGACGGCGGCTTGGTGGACTTGTCGCATGCCCCGGCGGAGACTGACTACAACCCGATTTGATATTTTGTGTGGGCCAAAGGACGTTTTCCCCTTGTGTTGCATTTGAACTTCTTACAGATGATGGGAATTGATGCCAACTTGAATCGCTCAACTGTGTCCGCAGCTTTGGCTTACAGGTCACGCAAACATCATTGGGCTGGGGCGTTGGCTTGCAAATCACGTTTTGCACTTGATTGCTGGGAAAGAGGGGGAGGTGAAGCAGGGAAGTAGGCAGGAAAAGACACAAAAAAAAAAAAAAAAACGGGCTCGGCTCGGCCGACGGAAAGAAATACATCACAAGCACCGCTCGCCTCGAGCAAACGTGTGCTTGTCAACAAAAACACATCAAGATGGGAACGGCCAAAATGACAACTTCAAGCGCAAGGAGCGATCATACAGGCTGTGGCTTCCTTTTTGCACATCAGGCACAGCGCGGTTGTGTTTAAATGCCCAGATCATCAACACGACTGACGAGCTGGTAGTGGTGAGTTTCACCGCTGCTGGTGCGACCCGACACCCAGAAGCTCTCGATGGGCTCGCCCTTGGCGGAGCGTCGCCGCGGACCATCCCGCACACGAGCCACCACAAACCACAGGGTCACAAGTAGTCGCATGCCAAACGCAAACATGTTTGCTGCACGGTGCGGCCGAGTACTGCTGAAAAAGCAAAAAGCCGCGGCGCGGCCTGATGATCCTGTGTGCTTCAATGTCTCCTTTCACCTGTCGTCGACACAACAGCCCCGCAAGCCCCACACGATCAGCTTGCAACATGCACCACCAACCATACCAACAACGCCAACTCACCAGCACGTCGTCAAGACTGCATGCACTGCTGTCGGACGTCGCCGTGGGTACGTGCGTGACCCGTCCGTCCGTCCGTCCGTCCGTCGTTTTGAAAAAATGAAATGCGCAAAGGCCCTGAGCGGAAGTGTGTAAAACATCACACACATTTTGACGATTTATTGAAAAGTATTTTACTTGTTTTCTATCTTCTATAGCAGTTGTGTGTGTTTTTTTTTTTTTTTTCAATTTTTCATCTTTTTTTTCATTTTTTTCTTAAAAAGTTCTGAAGGGTGGTGACTCGAAGCGAGGCAACGGGCAGCCGGGTGAAGCTATCCGCGGACGGGGATACCACTGGATGGTGGTGCTGGGATAGAGACGGTGCGGGTTTGCATCTCCAATCGGGTGAAGGGGTTGGTGCGTTGACGGGTGTAGGCGCGACATCAACAGGATGCAGGCCGGCGAGGTTTGTGAGGTTTGCGTTGTCTCGCTGCTGCTACAAACCCGAGCAGCCCCACTTGCTGACGCCGTGCGAATCAAATGTCTCGCGTTTGACAGGCGTTTTTATACTTTGTCGTCGAGGCGATGCTGACGCTGCTCGAGAGTCCAGCTGATGCCGTGGCCAGCGTGATACCATGGCTTCTCCAGTATGGCGATGAGCCAGCGCGAATTACGCCTCAAATCATGCGCACCTTCTTCAAAGCTGCCTCTCCCGAGCTGCAGCAAGCTATCCGCGAGCGGTATGCCTTCAATCGGAAAAGTCGCCGCGTCGCAAAGCGGTTTTTATCTCATGCCGACTTGCCGATATCGATCCCGCGCCTCCTTTCTGCAGTGCTTCGACATACATCACCTCGGCTGAGGGATTGGCTGACATGCTGGCCCAAGCTCCCAAGTCAGTTATTCTTTGCTGTCTGTTCTAGTTCTAGATGCTCGTTGTGGGCAAATGTGATGCGGCCCTTGCTCACATGGCATCGTATCGTCGCTCTGGGTGCAGACTGCTGGCCGTAGCCGATGACATGGAGGAGACGGGCGTCTTCGCCATCAACTCGCCCCTGGGCCGATTGGTTCGGACTGTCCTGCTGTCGCTCAGTGAGGCCGAGCTTACAACCGTACGTTGATGGCCGCCTGCCGGTCATGACCGAGTCGTGCCTATTTTTAGCATAATGGTCTCTTCTTTCCTTATACCTCATGCCTGGAGATAGTGGGGCACCTTGTCCGACCAGCTGCGACCCATTCTAGCAGCCTCGTCTGCTCAAGAATCTTCCGCGCCCGGGCAGGGCAGCTTGGATAGTGTGTCGGCCGTGGATGCCGTGTCCATGCTCTTTACCAATGAAGATGTTGACCTTGCGACCCATCAAATACGCAGTGCCCCGGCTTTACTCAGTCTGTTAGTCTTTCGCTGCTCGCTGTCTCCGACCCCCCAGACGCCCGCCTGTCGGTCATTTGCCTGCCTTTCGCACGCGCGTTTCTCATCCTCATCACATGTGCGGCACACACCCAGTGCCGAGCACAGCACCGCAGTGCGTGACTATTCAGCCTCTCGTGATGTGTGGGTGTGGCTGTACGACATTGCCCCGCGGGAGGTACGGCCTCCATAATGCGAATCCACAAAGTCTAGCCGACCGCCCCTCTGCCTCGAGTAGTGTTTTGGCCCACACGAGCCGTGTCTTGGCCCACACGAGTCGTGCGTGCAACTCGATTCACTTCACCTGCCCAATGCTCAAACATCATGCATAGGTTATGCACCCATCAACCATCACAAGTGACGTACGTTGCATCGATCGTGGGATCGCGGCGTTACAGCGGCATTTTGCTTAAGACTGACATTGAATCTGCCCTGGGCAACTGTGCAGTTATCTGGGGCTCAATATGCTGCCCTGGCGCGAGCCCAAAACGAAATTTCCTTCGGGCATCGTCAAGCTGCGCTTGACTTTGTCTTTGAAAGTGTAACACTTGCGCAAGCACTCGGCGATGAGCGCTGTCTCCGCTATGCCCTGGTACGAAAGCGTGCTGAGTTGTTCTTTTGTTGCTCTTTCACAATGCCGGCCCTGTCATGATCATGGTCTTGCAAACTTGGACCTGATGTCTCATTTTCGTGCATCATCTAGGCTTGGATCGCAACGCTCGAACCCGACCACGCCAAGGCCATATCCCTGCTCAAGCTTTTTATGGAAAAGGAGGTCGGGCTTTCACACCTGCGCTTCTTCCAAACAGATGCTGTTGTAGCTGATGCTTGCTTGGCAATTTCTTTATCTTTGTGTTTAGGATGCCGACCCCTTGTTGCGGGCCAAAATGTCAGCACAGCTAGCATTCCGCCTCACGACTCAAGACACACCCTTGGTTGAGTATGTGCTGCTAGCACCTGTTCCAGTGTTTCAGAACCAATGATGCTGCATTAACTACTTATCATCTGAAGTTTGGGCATGCTGATCCATCAACCTGGCTGTCTGGTAGAATTCGAAGTCTTCTCGCGCACGAGTTGGAGCGTCCTCAAACTGTCGCATCCGCCGAGGCCACTGCCACGCTGCATTTGACTCTTGCGCAGCTTCTGCTTCTATACGGCCAGCGGTGCGTGCCTGCACATCAAGCCGATGTTCATCGCTTCTCCAGCGGATGTCCTTTTTACTGCAACAATGCATGACACGTTGCTGCTGTTGTGTGGGGCTGTGGTGATGTGGTGCTGCATTCTAGCTGTCAATGCGAGCTGCAGCTGCTCAAGTTGCAAGCCCAAGAGGAAAAACTCACTCCAGTTCAGCAAACAGCGCTGTTCCGCCTCTGGGCAGCTCATTTTAGCAATCTGGTAGCATTTGTGCTGGGACGCTTGCCAGTTTATTTGTGGCTTTGATCGCGCTCACGGGGTCTCTCGGGCACATGTCTGTTTGTAGAACGCCTTGGAACAGGTGGCTCGCTTGTGTAGCTCTCAGCGGGCTCGGCGACCAAGTGCCCGCGAGCGTCTCACCTTGGACTTTTTCGTTGCGTTTTATGAGCACAGTGTGCTTTGTTCGCAGCCTCAGTGCAAGAAGCGAGGTTGGTGATACTCCTCAATTGCGCATGCGCTCGATGAACATCAAGCCAGGCTCCTTCTCAATTTACCTTTGTCTCGTCTGCTCGACCGCTGGACAGATTCTCAGCTGGTCGTATTAGAGCGTCACATGGAGAATTATGCTTTGCACAATGGTCTGTGCCAACTGCTGCAGCGACTGCGAGCGGCGGATCGCCTTGCCCAGAGCCACGACCCACACTCTGCATTTGAGCTTCTTGCCCCTTTGTCAAGCCAGCTCCCCAGCCTGCTTGCATCCATCGACCCAGCGCGAATCCCGGATGTTTTGCAGCTTCAAGTACGTCTGAGTTGCATGCCCACGTTTCATTGCGACTGCCCCATTGAGAATCGGAACCCTGGCCAATCTCATCCTGGGCCTGGCAATTGTAACGGCCTAGTGTGCGTGCCTCTCGCGACTGACCCTTTTATGCGTGGCTCGAGCGCAGCACATGTTGGCAAAGGTATGCGCGCGGCGAGTGTTATTGCTTTTGACTCCCATATCACCTCTCACGCATCGCCATGCCTTATCCGGGCTTCTGCCCAGACTTTCGTTGATCGAGGCCGCCAATTTGCGGCAGCACACCACTTGGGTGCGGTGGTACACTTTGAGCTATTGGGCTGCCTTGTTGAGGTAGGAAAAACATTTTCTTGGCTCAAACTTGGTCGTATTTCCGCCAATCGGAGCACTTGCCCCATGTTCATTCATTCGTCTCTTGGTGCATCTTATTCTACTCCGGTGGCAGGCATGCAACGGGTCAAGCCCCCATGTTGAAAATGGAGTGTTTGAAGATCTCATTACGCAAAGTCTGGCCCAAGGTCAGGCGGTGGTCTCAACCTTTTTTTTTTAATTTTTTAATTTTTATTTTTTTTTCAAATTGCTCCTTGTTCTAACGTCAACTCTGGCCCTCTCCTCTGGATGAATTTTGGCGCAGGTACCATGGACGATCGGGCTCTATTGCACTGGTGTCGCGCACGGCGGGCCAAAGACGCTCAAACTGCATGTACGGCCCATCATGACACTGTTGCATCATTGCTTCTTCTTTTGCGGTTTTATGAAGTCATTATTTTGTTGCGATAGACGAGGCCTTGGTGGAGGCTGCTGCACTTGCCCAGCAATCAAGCCACGCTGTGTTGCGCACGCAAATTCTTCAAGCTGCTGTAGGTGCAAGCATCTTGAATGTGGCACGCCTCGGCCGGATGTATCTCACTGTTTGGTGGCCGTGTTGCATTCGGGTTTTGCAGGCGCTGGCAGCCCACGAGCACGATGATAGTGCCATGCGCACCCATTTAGCGGCGCTTTTATACGAGGCAGATGATTTGCCTTGATTTCACTATGTTGATTGACGAGTACACCTTTGTCAATTTGAATTGAGGAAGGAGTTGACATCAGTGGTCTTTTTGGGGTGCTCAAGCAGAAGATGGCTCACATTCCACAAATTCAGTCTCGGGAAGGGCACGACGAACAACACCAAGCCAACCCCCAGCACGCTGAGCCTCGATGCTTTCGTGAACAAGAGTTAGCGCGACCGTTGAGCGGGCCAGACGGTGTGGGCGTAAGACTACAGCCCCCAGGCGATCAGGCGCTGCGCAGGCCACTGTACCCTCAACTGGGCGCTGACGCCAAAGGCGCAGCACCTCGCTCGCCCAAGTCGAGTCGCGAACGGCATTGGGCAGCAGAAAGAGGGCTTCAGCAACGCGACCAGGGCAGACCTGAGAGAGGTGCAAACCCACATGGGCGCGGCGCTCAGCCCCTTGTAAGGGCACGCTGCCGAGCGGCACTGGTAGCCAGGTGCGTTGGAGCTCAACAGGAAGAGCTTCGGTCATTTTTTGCTGCCATGCTGCACCTGGCTGCTCGTCCACAGATTGGTGGACATCTGACTGGGCATATAGGAGCAGGATATCAAGCTGACGCTTACTTGCGCTGGCTTTGGTAGCCAGCTCCTTGAGGTCAGTGGCGACGCTGGGCCAGGTCTCTGCGTCCACAACAGCTGCCACCGGCACGACGCTGCTCTGAGGCGAAATAAAGCCCGTGTCCACCTGGCCTCCAGTTTTGCGCACCAGCACCTGATAGCCGCGTGACACAACTTCCAGCTCGTGTTCAGATAGCGCTAGGAAGGCCTCAATCCCAGCCTTTGGATGATCAGGGTGCTCCTGGCTAGGAGGGTTATGTGGGTCCTTGGGGCTGCGTGTGGGCCATTCGTAGTCATCAAAAAGGAGGTAGCCACCCTTGCGTAGCAAACGCCAGGCAAGCAGCGCGTCCAAGAGGGTCGAATGGGCTGCATGGTCTGCATCAACATACACCAGATCAAAGCCCTCGTCGATGGCGGGGCCATCGCCATGCCAGCCGTTGAAGTCATGCAGAGCGTCCATGAGGGCGGGCAGCGTGAAGCGTGGCACGACCCGGATTTTATAATGCTGGGTAAGGCAGCGGGTGTTGGCGTGCAGTCGCTGGCGACGTAGCTGTCCGGCTTCCGTTTGCATGTCATCAAAGTGGTCAATGCAGACCAAGCAACTTTCCGGGTGCATGGATACGAGTTCCTTCAGCCACATGCTCATGCTGAGGCCCTCCCAGCTTCCAAGCTCCAGCACCCGAGCTGGGCCATCAAGGCCCAGGCGCGCACCTTCAGGCCCAAACCACTTGCGCCAGTTGGCGAGATGCGGATCAGCCCAGCGTTGATCCGGGGTCACGGAGAGCGGCGCACCAAATTTGCGAACCAGCGAGGCTGTGGTGACCGCCTCGTTGGAGTCGGTCCTTGGCTCTTCCCTGAGCTCCACGGCGCACCAGGCAGCAAAGTCGGCGCCACCCGGAAAGTCACCAGTGAGGGCCTCGACCGTACGCTGTCCGACGCCTCCGTGGGTGACTAGAAGCGTGTGGCCAAAAGTTTTCACACCAGCGGTCAGGATAGCTTGCGCCACGGCCGCCGTTCGGGCCTCGCCCACTTCCCACGCATCCGTGGCACGGCGGGGATCCGGAAACGGTTGAGCGTGGGGCTTGAGCAGAATTCGCTGCCCGTTGGGGCCCAGGGTGGCATCTAGACGAGTGGAGGCCAGAAGCGTGAGTGAAGATGCAAGTCGGGTTTTGAGGGGCGGCGAGAGCAGATGGCGCACCAACAAAGTCTTGCAGCTCGGGCAACGAGTGAGTGAGGTGCCCGGGTCGACTACCCGTCTCGCCAAACCAAGCCTCACGCTCGTGTTCGCCGAGGGCGGGATCAAGCTCAATCTCGGTCAGGCCAAGCTCACGAGCCACGATCGAAGCGGTTTGCACGCAGCGCAGCCAATCACTGGCCACGATGCGACGCACGCTGCCGACGGGAAGGTCTCGGCTCAGGGCCACGGCCTGGCGCGTCCCTTCACCCGTCAAGGCATCGTTCCAAAAGCGGCGTTTGCCCGCTTGTTCTTGATGGCAAAGCTCCAGGTCAAAGTGACCATCGCGCGCAAAGGCTGCGCGTTCGCAGTGACGCGCCACAAACAAGCGAGCTGTGGCCATGTTGATCCGTGGTAGAGCAATGTTAAAAATGACGAAGGTCCCACCCACCCTTGCCGTCTAATCACTCCTCAGCGCCTCAGCTCCGCAGCGTCCAGCTTGCTCCTTCTCATGAGAACTACCGGATTCCTGCCAGCAGCACAGTCGACCGTGTCCGGACACAAGCAAACGAACTCGCTCTCTCTCGTTTTTCCTCTCTCTCTCTCATAAGAAAGAACTCAAACTGTGTGTGTGTGTGTGTGTGTGTGTGTGTGTGTGTGTGTGTGTGTGTGTGTGTGTGTGTGTGTGTGTGTGTGTGTGTGTGTGTGTGTGTGTGTGTGTGTGTGTGTGTGTGTGTGTGGTGTGTGTGTGTGTGTGTGTGTGTGTGTTGAAAGCAGAGCAAAAGAAAGTTTGCGAGATCATGAGAAAAGGTTCACGGAAGGTGCTGTCCGTCTGTGGGTCCGCTTCTGGGGGTGCCTGCTGGCTACCTTCTCTTCCTATTCCCTTGGTCAGAGCCACGTGCACCCACATATTCGTGTGCTCGTTCTCGCGACCTTCCATTCCCCACACCCATCTTGCCAACGCCCTGATTCTCCAAAACCTACGCCCAACGAGCAAGTTCGGCGGCCTGCAATGATCTCACATGGGGTGGATCAGACTGGGGCAACTCAATTGCTAGTCACGTCTGATAACGGCATCACGCTAAGCGGTGGGGATGCGCTCGTCACGATACAAGCGTTGGACCAGGGCACCGGCCTTGGTCGCGCGAAGCTTGAGGACCTGGCGCTGCACCACGTCGGGCATGATGTCAAACTGGAGGCAGTCTGCGATGGCCACGTTGCCTGCACAGCGGGAGTGATCGGTTGCCCAGGAGAAAAAAAGTGTGAGAAAAGCGAGGTGCCTGATACCGCGCAGGTCTTGCCGAGGAGCAGAGAACTGGGGGCGTACCAGTGTAGTTGACATCGGGGCAGATGACGGTGGCGGCCAGGCTGGCAAGGGTGATGTCAGCACGCGTCAGCTCCTTGCCAAACAAGAAAGGCCCACCGCTCTTCTCCAGCTGCTCGTCCAGCTTGGCGAACATGGCCTGGGCGATGAGAAAACCAAAGAAAGAAAGAAAGAAAGAAAGAAAGAAAGAAAGCATTGTAAGATGGCAATCGCGACTCAACTTGCGGAGCGGCCTCGTGATGGACCGTGGCGACGCGCACTTTCAACAATAGCGAGAATCACACCTCCACGCGCTCCATAACGCGCTCGGCGGAACGCGGGGAAATATTCAACATGGAGCGTACGCTCTCGCTAAGATTTGCAACCCAGCGGGTGAGGCAAGGCCTGCAGGTCACATCAAGGCTTGAACGAGACAGCACGACAGGCCAGGCAGCTGACCGAAGCAAGGGGTAGATGTACGGCAATAGCATGCGCTGCCACGTTGGGATGCGCTTGTCCTTGATACCCCACAGACCCAACAGGATTTGAGGATGATCGAAGATGTGTTGGTATAGCTACGGCAGCAGGCAGCGAAGGAGTCGGAGGCAGAAGCGGAGGGCGGATATGAATCAACAAGACGGGACCAGCATCGAGTTCAGAGTCGCGTGATCAACTACAGCTGTCGTACCCAGCGGCGGCTCTGGTTGCCCAGCACCTCGCACATCTCCTTCTCGAGTTCGAGAATTTCGGGAGTCGGCCGCAGAAACGCGGCCCGCTCCGCAGTTTCAGGCGATCTAAGCCAGTTACAGTCGGACAAGAGGGCGGAGCGGTGGCGGTGTGAGCCGCGCATACCGCAAAACAGCAATCATTCCGCCGTAAAGAGAGTTGTTCTTCCTGACTTTGCCCGTGTTATCGCTTCCAAAGACGGGGACCCAACTCACGCTTGGGCTTGCGCCCAGAGGTAGTCCATGATGGCCGAGCTATCTCCGATGACCGTTTGGGCCGCTGGCAACTCCAACCGCGGAACCGTGCGAGCCTATTGGTAAGAATCCATGAGCCAAGCGCCCATGTCATCAGGTGTACCAGTGCTGAAGCTGGTGGGGACTGAAGTTCTGTTGTATGTGGGGAGTGCGCGCGCGTGGCCGAGCCAGCTGACTGACCTGCATCAGGAGGCCAAACACGCCAACATCGGGCTGCTCCTTGTACTCAAAGTTGAGGCGTTGCATCGTCCAGCGCACGCGCTCGACAAAGTGTGAAAAGGTGATGGTATGTAGGATGGGCGTCCGTTTCTTGGCTACACAGTGCCACGGGGTCCCGGGCATCATCATGATCAGAGAGCGGCCGGTCACGGGACGCCTCCGATTGACGCCTCCAAACAAAGACGCTGACCTTTGAAAAGAAGCGCAAAGCGCATGGCCATTCCAGCCAACGCCATAAGGGGAATGACCCAAGCACACGTCATCCAGCTGCTCCCCGTCGCCAAGGGCAGCAGCAGCAGCCACAGCGCATATGCCGTCTCCGGATCTTGAAACCTCATCATGCCGATCAATGTCTTGAAAAAAACGCGAGAGAGAGCGAGAGAGAGAGAAAGAGAGAGAAAGAGAGAGAGAGAGAGAGATGTACAAATTCGCACAAAAGTCAATAACGATAAACCAAAGCTGGAAGAGAGATAGCGTTCAATTCGAGCAAAAAGTCAGAGAATATTGAATTCATCTTATTCATGTCCATGTCCGCACGTAATTTAAAATTTTGGGCAGCAGGCCAAAGGAGCAGTCATGGCAGCGGGCAAGGGCGAGCATGGCGGGGGTAGTGGCGGTGGGCGGGTGCCGTTGGAGGTACCACTTGAAAAGGGAAGAGACGATGAATTTGCCGACTACTTTGCCAAGGTTGAGCCAAGCCAACAGCAGCTTATCATGGCCTGCCGAGATCGGGTACGGCCTTGGACCAGGGTGGCTTGTCTTGTTGGTGTCGGCATGTTGCATGCCCGCCGTCCTGTTTGTGCATGCCCTGCTCACGGACCATGGCTGGTGGGGTTGCGTGTCTTGACGTTGCTGCGCAGGATGGCTTTAGCAATTTTCACAAGGCTTGTATCCTTGGCCTCTGCCGCACTGTGCGGCTGATGCTCCGCTGCGGGGCCCACGTCAATGAAGTCAACAAACTCGTGAGTGTGGGTGTGGTGCAGCCTTGAGTCCCGCACCCGAGTCTTTGCTGACTGCAGCGCTTTGCTTTGCTCTGCAGAATTGGACCCCTCTCTTCTCGAGCTGCAGCGTCAATGTGGACATGGACATGGTCCTGCTGCTGCTGGCAGCGGGCGCCGACCCGAATATCAAGACCGTGGTATGCCACATCACGTCCCCGAGCCAGCCCCGGCCAAGGGTTGGGGTCGCGCTTTCTGTGGTGTCTATCATTCCTGCCCATGACTTCGCCGCTGATGTGAGGATCATCCCCGCCTTGGCAGACGCAAATGGCTCCGCTGCACATGGCCATGAGTAATGGTCCCATCGAGCTGGCCGAAGCTCTTTTGGACGCCGGGGCCAACCCCAACGTCACTCAAGAGGTAGGAAGACTTGGTCCTCCGTCTGATGGCGAGGCAACGAACGCCATTATCGAGCGTCCTGCTTATCCCTATCTCTTGGCGCAGAGTGGAAATACGCCGCTGCACATCTTGACGTGGGACAACGATGGCCAAGTCGGGGAGCGCGAGCGCCAGCTCTACCGTCTCATGATCAGCCAAGGCAGTGATCCCTTGTGCGAGGATGTGGTATGTCTTTGCTCCACACGCGCCGTGTCAAGGCGCAAATCATCTCACACTTGCGTCCTTGACTCTTGATTGCACGACAGTTTGGCGTTTTCGCCTTGCACCAATGCCCCGCAGCGGCGCGTGACATTTTCGTTGAGCTCGGAGCTTCGGTGCTGCGAGCTCGACTAGCTGTTCTGTGGACCGTGGGCGAACTGGCGCGTGACTCTGGCACCAGACCCGATGTTGACTTTCCCTGGGAATGGGTATCCCGCCAAGAGCTCACCGAGCGAGCCGTGCACCAGCTCAACGGCCGCCTCGAGCCCGGCGATGACTGACCCATAAGACCCGATGGCTCTACCAGCAACGTTTCCATGCTCTTGCCAGCTGCAAACCCTGTGCCGCCTGCCCGGCCTGCCCTTTAGACTTGAAGTTTAATCTATGATTATTATGATGAAGAGAGAGATTTAGAGAGAGAGAGAGAGAGAGAGAGAGAGAGAGAGAGAGAGATTTAAAAAGAGAGAGGGTTTGAGAGAGAGAGGGTTTGAGAGAGAGAGGGTTTGAGAGAGAGAGGGTTTGAGAGAGAGAGGGTTTGAGAGAGGAGAGAGACTCTGATCACGAAAGAGAAGACTGATCACAAGAGAGAGATTCAGAGAGATTTAGAGAGAGAGAATTCAGAGTGTAGAGATTTAGAGAACAATAAACATCGAGGGAGTTTGAGAGATTTAAGAGAGACGCGGTTCGGCAAAAAAGGGTGAAACCGTTGATGATGGCAGCGTCGCAAGTGGAGCTGCGCCAGCTTTTAGCGGCGTCCTTGCATTTGGCGACGCGGGCGGGACAGGTGGGTGGGATTGGGGTTGACGCGTCTGCTTTTTTTTCCTTGTATCTCTTTGCTCATGGAACCGTGGCGGCAGGTGATTCGTGATGTGGCTCGCGGTGGGCAGCTTCACGCGGTGGACAAGGCCCTGGACGAGGGGCACGAGGGCACGGCGGAAGAGCCGAGCCAGTGCGAAGATCCACAGACCATGGCTGACCGACGGTACTTTGCTCGCGAATAATTCCTTGCCCGTGCCGTGACCTCTTTGGATACCAATGAACATCCTTGCCCTTAATGCCGGCATGCATAGGGCGCAAACCTTGATCGTCGGATCGCTGCAGCAGGCTTGGCCAGAATTGCAGATTGTGGGTGAAGAGGAAGGTCTGTCACTCTTTGTCTCTTTCCGTCTTGCCTCAGCTTCCGGGTCGGCGGGTGGTGGCACCCTAGCTCGGGGCCTTACGACCTGCTTGGGCTTTTTTTGGAATCTAGGCATCATTACGAGTCCCGACGACCCCAAGGATCTGGTCCAAGTACCTTCCACTGAGCATCCCGACCTCGAGGGCAAGCCCTGGCCCGCAGAACTGGCCAAACCCGTCGATATGCAGCGTGTGACAGTGTTTGTCGATCCTCTGGACGCCACCCGCGAGTTTACCCGCCGCGTTTACGAAGCCGTGACAGTCCTCATTGGCATCTGTCTGGGTATGTGCCAAGAAAGCATGGATTCTCCCTCCACGCCCTCGGATATCTGGGTACTGATTCACACTGGCATGTCATTATTTTTGTGATCCAAACCTAATCATAGATGGTCAGCCTGTGGCGGGCGTTATCGGCCAGCCGTTCAAGACCTCGCGTGTCGGTGAGGCCTCGGTCGACTCTCCAGGCCGCATTATCTACGGCGCTGTTGGCCTCGGCGTCTATGGCCACGATCCCGCTCCCTCCATGCCCACAGATGTGCGTGACAGCCAAGCCGGCACTTGAGTCGGAATGATAATCCGCCCCTGCTCAATTTTACCGTCGCCGGGCCTAATCCCTATGCTTTTTTTTTTGTCCCCCGTTGTGCCCTTTGTTACAGGCACAGCGCCTGCGCGTGGCCATAACCGCATCTCGTCTCGATGGCGAATTGCAAGCGGCGCTCGATGCCCTGCAGCCCGATACCATTCTGCGGTTGGTCGAGAGTGGCCTTGGCCGTTTTGTACATGGTCGCCGGTCGGCCCCGCTTGGCAAACCTCGAGGTCCTCTTCTTCACATGTGACCTTGTTGTAGGGCGGGCGGCACGGGAAACAAAATGCTTTTAGTGTTGGAGAACCAAGCCGATCTATATTTGACCACAGGCGCAGGTGGGATTCGCTCACTCTCTGGCCGACGGTGGGGCCTACGTGCGCTTTGTGAAGCGGAGTGCCTTCATTTGGAACTTCACTCGCCATTCTAGGCACCAAGCGATGGGACACTGCTCCAGGCGAAGCTATGTTTCGAGCCCTCAAGGGCGTTGTTACGAGTAAGTCGGTGCATCAGGTTCATGGTGCCTGCTTTGTCCCCAGGCCTTTCCTTTCCTTCTTTGACCCTTTGGGTCACAGGACGATCATCGTCCCGATGCCACCACCCGTCTTGCACTTACTCGATGACGGCATGGTAGACCGAAATGGGGAGCCGTATGACTATCCGTTCGCCAAGCATCATTTATTGCACAACACCAAGGGTGTTCTGGGCACACTGCGCCCAGAGCTTCTGCCCGTCGCTGTGCGCTGTGCCGGCCTCGACGATCGCACGGCGGACATTACCAAAACCCCGTCTGGTGAACCCATCACTGGTTCGTCATAAATTGTTCCGCACCTCCAGTCTGTGTACACGACTCTGGCATTTTCCCTCCTGCTCTCCCACTCCCTGGCCTTTTTTTCCCCATTCTTTTGTCGCGCTGGGCGCGTGTGTCGAGTTGGGTTGAAGGCTGGGGAGCTAGAGATCATCATACCTGATCTCCAGTCCTGCAATCGATCAACCCCTCCAAGCGCACCCCCTCCCACGCACATCCATCTCTTGAGCCCGCACTCAAGCGCAAGCGCAAAAAACTTGATTTGATTCCCCATATCGACTTACATCAAGCTGCATGCTATGATATGGCGTTGCAGTGGCATGGATTCGGGAAAACCTGCAGCATCCCAAGGCAAAAGCTTGCATTGGCTTCTATGCACCAGAGGCCACGGCTGTTCGTACCCGCCACAGCCATGTGGTCAAGATGGTTTTGCAAACTCCAGGCATGCGAAAGGAAACGGTACGTTCTCGTCCTTGCGTTTTCCGTCAAAGCTGAGACACGATTGATCAATGGTGCAGCTCTCACGCCCCCTTGACCGCATTTAGGGAGCCCGTACGCTGCTGTTGAAGCGCTGTGTGGCCAAGGACATGACAGCTCGTCCTGCGGGCAAGCTGGCGCGTGATGTCAAATCGTATCAAAATGAGGCCATGTAGGTCCAGGCCGGGTGTGCTTAGACAATGTGGTATCGAATGAGATGCACCGTCGCTTACCCGTGCCGTGCGTCTAGGTTTGTGCGAGACTTTGCGCAAAGGCTCGCCGATGAAGCCCACATTGCAGTGGCCCATCCTTACTTTACGCACGTGGAGCCACACGACGATCCTCTGCAATCAAGATTCATGACCGTCGTCGAGTCGCTCGAAGATTATACCCAGCTCAACGACTACACCTTTGAGCAGGCTTGCGTTGCTTTGGGGACCATTGCCAAAATGCACGCCTACTTTCTCGCCCATCCATCCTTGTTGGCGACAGCTCAAGAACATCTCTGGCCACAAGGTCAGTCCCTCTGCCAAGCGCCCAGGTCAAGCGCCCACCACGTGCTGTTGATAATCTCGTTACACGCTCATCTGCGCGAGGCGTAGGCGGATATTGGGATCTGGAAAAGCGAAAATACGACCCGACGGAGATTCCTCGTACTCCACAGGTATCAACCACATGCCTCTATCATTGCCGTCTCGGTCGACTGTTGCTTGTTAACAGACCAGTCTCTTGGTGCCTTTCACTTTGCGGGCATCACCCACGTCCACTTGGTAATAGACGTTTGGCAATATGATTGCGCGTTTTGCCAGTGATGAAGACCCATTCTTTCGGTCGCCCGAGGTGCTCGCGTTGGGCCAGGCCTATCGGGATTTGGCACCAGTCATCAACCAACGCCTGCGCGCGACGGGCGCCACAGTGCACACGGTCATTCATGGGGATTTCAAGGCCGCCAACTGCTTCTTCCCGCGCATCAGTGCTGGTTCTGTTGCAGAAATGAATCCCACAAGCGACGACCTGAGTGGTGGGATGGCCCTGATTGACTGGCAATGGACCGGCATGGGGCTCGGTGTGATGGACGTCATCTACATGTTCGTGACGTGCTTGCGAGCACCCGTTCTTGAAAGGTACGTGTTTTTGGGGGATGGCTGGTCCATTTTTGTTTTTACTTCTTCTCCAAAAGCGTCTGCTCATGATTGTCCGTCTTGGAAGCAGGGAAGAAGAGCTGCTCGAAGTTTATCGGCAGCAATTCGAGATGTTTTTGCACAAATTCGGCGCCAACATCAGCTACAGCCCCGAAGAGTGCCGTCACGACTACGACTTGGCCACTGCTGATTGTAGGTGCATTGCCCTTTGGCATTTGCATGAGGTTCCTTTCTTAGACTTTGATGGTTGAGAAGTGTTTTGTCTCATATCGGTGGCTGGTGCGGCAGACATTCGCATGCTGCTAGGCTATGCCATGCAAAACATGTCACCCGATGAGATGGCGCGGATTGCGGTGAGCATTGTCTTGTCCTGGCTTGGTTCTGGTGCTCGAGTCAGATGCTCGTCGTGTAACCCCTGCTGTGCGTTGCACTCTGGACTGCTGTTGCCAACACGCAGAACGACAAAAGCCGGGGCATTTATGCGCGGGACAAGACCACCTTCAAATGGGTTTTGCAAAAAGCCATCTCATTGCGGCACCAGCTGGAGACGGCCTAGCCAGCTGCTCCATTGGCTCTCCGTTAAAAGAGTGGCCGCCATGAGTGACTTCAGAGGGTCCGATCAAGGTGCTAAAGGTCGAAGGAGGTTCAATTGACGTCTAGACCTGTGCTCTCTATAGCATTTACTTGATCTCAACGCTCTTGAGTGATTTGGTGGTAACGTTGCCCTTGCCCTTGACCTCAAAGGCCTGGCCCTTCCAGGCGGCCACGCAGGCATCACTCGTCTTCATGTCCGGCTGCAAGGTTTCCCAAACCTTCTGCTTGCTCTTGAGCTGTGCATCAGGTGCGCCATCGCTGGCACCGACGCAGGTGACGCGGTCGCCGATGGCGGCGCCCTCGGGCGGCGACAGGGGCTCAACGGCATCGGGTCTATGCCAATTTACAGAAGCGGTCAGCTTGGTTGGTCAAGGAAACGGACGCAGATATCGAAGAGGGAAAAATGGGGAAAAGGCTACGGGAGCAAACAACGTACGTGCTGGCACAAAGCAACATGCCCTCGCTCATGATACCGCGCATCTTGGAGGGCTTCAGATTGCAGAGGGCAACAACCTAAGAAAGAAATTAGAAAAAAAAAAAACAAAAAAAACAAAAAAAAAAAAAAACGGCAAGCCGGGCATCAGACAATAAAAATTTTATAATCAAAGCAATTAAAGCAAAAAAAAAAAGCAGACGACGAACCATGCGGCCCTCAAGCTCTGACTGTTCAACACGGCCCACGAGGCCACTGATGATGGTGCGGGGGCCAGATGCCTCACCCAGATCCACCTGATGGAAGTAAACACGGCAAAAGCGAGGCATTCATGAAGCTACAGTTGTGCCAAAGGTGGCAAAGCGAAAAAACAAACGAACGACGTTTTTTCAATCTTTCCCAAGACTTTTTAATAGGGAGCTATGGGGGACCAACCTTTTCAACAAAGAGTTTCTCGGCATCGGGATGACGCTCCACGGAGACAATCTTGCCAATGCGGATGTCCAGGCGGCTGGGGTCCATGGCCGTATTTTCGGGGCCAGCAGCCGCTGGGGCAGCACCACCCTTTTGCTTGGGCTCCTTGGCGGCCTTGGGCGGGGGAGGATAGGCTTCGGCCGTAAGCTTCTTGAGACGAGGCTCCTCGAAACGCTTGCGGATGGGGTCCAACAGGCGGTTCAGCACGGCAATGACGCTGTCCTTCAAGTCTCCAGGATGCACGTTCTCCGCGGCAAAATCAGCGCGCAGCTTGGTCATGTCCGTGTACACGACTGTGTCCTGATCCTTGCGCAGCAAGTCAAACTCTGGTGGAATCGGGACAGAAAGGAGTACACATCAAATTGATGAGGGCATGGCGCGGCTCGTCGGCGCAAAGGGTGCAAGGCGATTCAAAACGTACGGCCGTAGATGACAAAGATGACCTTCTCAACCCACTCAAGCAGGGGGTTCTTCTCCACGTTGCCGGGCTCGCAAAAGACCTTGCGGATTTTCTTCTTGACGGCATTTGGCGGGTCGAGGAGATCAATCTTGGAGTCGATATCCGATGAGCTCATCTTGTCACCGGTCAGGCCCGGGACCATCACGTTCATGAGATGGCAGCGCTCCTTGTAGCCAAGCTTGGGCAGGTACCTGCAACGGCCGAGGTGGCGCGAGACGTGAGAAGATTTTCCACAGGTCAATGTGCTTGCTCTGGCCTCGCCACACGTGGGGCCGATGCAACGGCACGGGACAACTGACTTTTCGGCAGACATGAAGATCTTGCGTTGGTCAACACCGCCAAACTGGGCATCGCAGCCGAGGTACTCTTCATCCAGCCACTGGTAGACGGGGTAGATGAGGCCACTGAGCGGAGGGCTGGCGCTCTGCTTGACGACCTCGGCGCCGGCCTTGACGGCATCGTGCTGGGAGCACATGGTGAACAGCTTCATGCCATCCAGCGTGTACTTCCTGTCAAAGTCGAGTCGGGTTAGCTCAAAGCGAGATGCCTTACATGCTCGACAAGTAGAGCGGGGAGAGGGTGAACAAGCCAGGGAATTGGGCCGGGCAGGGTGGATGATGGTGGTTGCAACGTACTCGGAAAGCTGGTAAGAGGTACCAATGACAAACTTGAGCTTGTCCACAGGCACACCAATGGACTCGAGCATGGCCTTTGACAACGAAGAAAATGATGCGAGCATTCGACACAGAGAGGAGGAGCCATGGTGAGCCTTTTAAATGAAATGAACGAGAGAAGGAGGGACGAAAGCTTGTTGCGTTGAAGGCTCTCAGCAGCCGTACCGTGACGACCTCCTTGTAGTACTCGACACGCAGCTTGAGAAGCTCCCAGGGAGCCTTCATGTTGTCCAGGTAGGCGTGCAGATCAGCCAAAAGAATGGTCACCTAGGAAAGTAGGAAAGGAAAGGAAAGGAGAGGAGAGAATCAAGGTGATTGAGAATGTCGTAAATGGTAGAGCGCGCGGGCCCGCCCGACGAAGGATGGCGTGAGAAGACTACATCATGTACCTCGCAGCCAGCGCGCAGAAAGTCGGAGATCTTGGACATGGGCACAAAGTAGGCCAAATGAGGCTTGCCAGTTGTGGCGGTACCCCAGTAGATCTTGGCATCACGCTGCTTGAGA